TTCTTTGCAATTGAACTTTTCTGTGGAGTTGAATATGATTTTATAATGTAGGAAAGTAAAATACTCAGTCAACGAAGTAAACAACCGGAACTAAGGAAGGAAACCGCCTATGGCTGCGGCAGTAAATCTCGAGCTGAAGGAAATGTGAATGATTCAATACTGACCTACTCGCTATGTTTACAAATATTTTGTATATAGGATAACATAATTTTTGTTACATATAAACATCCTAATTTCATGTATTTATATAGATAATGTAATATTAATATCTTTAAATTTGTTAACATATAATCTATATAGCTTTTTTATAATTTAACGAAAAATCAAACTCAAATAATGTATACAAAAAAGTGAAGCCATTTTGAACCCAATTAAGAGTTACATGCCTTTACGGCAAAAGGTTGTCTACAAACTTGATTGTAACTGGAGCTTATCAAATATCGATGAAATTAAGCAAAGCATCACTACTCGAGTTAAAGAACATATTTCATATAGTAAAAATAGTCGTACGTCGGAGACAGCAGTGTGTGAACACATAGTGGACAAGCCAAGCCATTACATCCGGTTTCATAAAACACAAATCCTCATTAATTATAAAAACATTCTAATTTCAATAGAGAAAATGACTGGCAAGTATCTAACACCTAGGATCACCTCATTAAATATATAAAATCCGCGACCAGACTACAAGACCTCAAAATACAATTAGTGAAGTCGGCGTGCATCTAGAGCAGTACCCGAGAAAATTAAGAAATTGTTGTCGGTAGATAAAAAAAATTAAGGAGAAAGAGTCTTACAAAAACATAGTTGAATTAAGTCAGTGGAGGCCTAGTGGTTAAAGGCCCGCCTCTCATGCATGAGGGCGCGGGTTTGATTCTGGCAAGTACCAATATGATTTTTCCGAGTCATATGCACTGTCTGAGAGTATTTAGACACCACTGACAGACGGTGAAGGAAAACATCGTGAGGAAACCTGGACTTATAATTTCACAATTATAAGTTTGAAATCACCAACCCGTCTTCAGCAAGCGTTGGTGCTTATAGCATTCCCAAAGATGGTTGATGTCAGGCAAGCGGCCGGTCGTAAAAACAATTAGCCAAAACTATTTACAACGTGTAAGGCAGACCCTGGCTAAAGCTGGGAAATCGCCAGGAAGAAGAAGAAAAATATAGTTGAATTGAAAAGTTCCTCTGTCTTAAATTCTTTTAAAAAGTATCCTATGCAATAAACTAGCTGCGAATGAAAGTCCCACTAAAATCATCCAATAATTACAGTGATTAGTCGGGACAAACAGGCAGACAAACAGATTGACTGACACACAGCCAAATAAAAAAATTAATTGTATTTTGGATTTAGGTGCTGTTATAGGTAAAAGATATTTTATATTATTTATTGATATATATTGGAAAATGTTTTGAGCCTGTTTTATACTTGTCACTAATTTAAAACTGCAGTTTCTCTATTTAAAATGTTTGTATATTAGTCAGACATTAACTGATGAATATCAGTTTTTTTTTTAATATATTTTATATATTCAAAATTTAGTCATTGAATTTTTGAATAGGTAGTAAGATGTGTTTGAAGGGCGGTGTGGGAAAATACAATCAAACAAGAACATATTTATTATAATAGTTTACGTAACATAGGACTTTAACATATTCATGACAAAAGGTAAAACAATGTCAAACTGTATATAACTATTTAAACTTGCTTTTGTATCGTCTTCTAGTAAAATACAAAGACTCTAGGGAAAAGAAACTACAAATTTGAAAACTACATTGACTATAGCTATACTTAAGCGTACAAACTGATAACGAAGCCTTTTATATTTAAAAATATGAATTTTCTTAAACTATATACTAATATACTTATCAATTAGTAGTTCTATTATATTTTTATAAGCTAAAATAAAAACATATTAACATGTTTTTATTTTCTCCTGAATTTGATTTAAGTATTAAAAGTTTTATGGTTATCAGCAATGGGTCACGTGGAAGATTTTTTACTAATTTTATTTTTCACTTTTCAAGATATTCATGTTAAAGAAACTAACAAAATAATAGTTTAAATATTTTCTTTATACTTCCATTTTACAATTTAATTCATTATTATAGTATAGTAGTACTTACCCACTGTTTTAATCAATCTTGCCTCAGACTGATTAATCTTTGTTAAATAACTTGTATTTTTCGATTAAAAAATCGATACTATGTATATGACATATTATTTTAAGATGATTAAACTTCACTATTTTTGACATTGGCAATTTTTTTATTTCTGAAATAACTAAAGCACTCCTCACAGTAGTCAAGATTATAATTCGTCAAACAAATTAAACGTTGACATTGGTTAAACCATTGACGTATACTAATGGACATGCCTTAGAGATGAGAATTGCGGCACTCCGAAAGAAAGAGAGGAAACGAACTTTCGGTCTATCTTTATCTCTCTCAAATTTAACTCATTACTCGAATATACAAGAATCATCTATGAGGAAAGAGATAGTGCTAGACCGAAAGCATAGGCCAACTCTCTCTCTTTTAACAATAATCTCTCTCTTAAAATTACTGCAGATTATACGCATACGGCATGTTCATTAGTATATGTCGATACATTAGACGATTACAGTGGGAATGATGCCACAGCAAAAAAAAAGTAAAGTTCGGAGTATTAATACATTTTCACTTCGAAAATAACTGTTTTATTTTAATTATTATTAATTAGTATTTTGAGTGTAAAATAAAACAAAATATCAGATAATTTGACTAAAGTAAGATAATTTGGAAATATTCCTTGTTAGATATAAATTTAATATACCATTCAAACTACAACTTAGACAAGCCCGGGCGATAATAAAACAATATATGTATTTTATATGTTTTAATATTACAAAGGTAACTTTAAATTCGTACAATAAATTGCATATTATAGTCATCTTACATTACACATAATCTTGATTTAAACATTTTAACATCACTAAAATATTTAAACTTAATTTTTTAAAAATTAAGCAACTCACACATAACATATAAATGTGGAAGAAACAGATGTTATATATTTAAAAATATACTTATTTTAAACTAATCTAAAGTCTAAACATTACATTTTACAGTGTAAACTCTATATAACGACACTCGATTTAGCGACAAACTCTCTAAAGCGTCGAAATCATTTGACTTTGGTTGGTTTAGCTTGTCTACCATACAATGATACACTCTACATAGTGGCACACCCACTCTCAATAACGACAACAATTAAGTAATAAAAAGTACCTTTTAAGTTGCTAAAATTAGTAAAAACTGTGCAGCTGTGTACGTTCCTTTGTCGCTTTGTTATCCTAGCCCGCAATAAACTCGAGTATCCCTATCATGCATACCGAACTTTCTAAGAAATTCGTTCTTTTGTTTACAATTACAAATTGCTTAAACGTGTCGACGGTTTTTGACCATAAGTAGGAGTCTTGTATTACCTATACGTTAACATAAAAAGGTGTTCACAAAATTTCAAACTGTAAACATGGCTAGTAAAAGAAAATCACTGGGTGTTGACGAAAAAGTTTTACTGATAAGCGCAAAAGAAACGGGAGAGAAGATAAGCGATGTTGGCAAACGATTTGGATTTAGTCGCTCTACCGTGTCTCAATATGGAAAAATAACCAGAGTGTGATCAAAAGCCTCAAGGGTCACTACAGAAAGAAATTATAGATGGAGCAAGTCGAATCTGAGGGTAAAACTACTGTTAATATGCTGCATGCAGTAAATTTTTTATCTAAAGCCTGGGAAGAAGTGACACCCACAACTATACAGCACTCTCTTCGACATGCTGGACTTTGTACCAATTCTACGAGTGATGAGGTGGAAACGGAACCTGAGTTTGATAGTGACGACAAACTTCCATTAACTGAGTGGATTCAACAGTTTAACATGGCTGGAAATACGGTAAATCTTCAAACCTACATGGAAGTAGATGACCGCATCCTTACAACGGCTTCACTCACAGACAAAGAAATTTTAGATTCAGTGAGAAAAACTGAGGATCAACAGCAAGAAGATAAAGAAGATGAGACATATGAGCCTGAGCCTCCGCCGAGAATTGAAGAAGCTCTTGAAGCAGCTAAACTACTGGAAAATTATTTCTTTTATCACAAAGATGCCTCAATATCGCAAGATATTAATAAAATAACTAAAAAAATACAACAACAGTACTGGTGCAGCAAAAGACGTCAAACAAAAATAACAGACTATACGCAATAGCGTTCGAATAACATTCTTTTTTATGTACATAAGTACTAACACTAGTCTGAAATAAACTTTGTCTTTTTCTAATTCTGATTTTTCTTCTTTCTATTTAACGGCAACTCTCTATAACGCACTAAAATGCACGGTCCCTTCAGTGTCGTTATATAGAGTTTACACTGTATTTATAAAACTTAATTATTTACACATGTTTGAAGAGTAGAAATATAATAGGCACTTAATTGTCTCATTGACTTTCCTTCACAATTATTTCATTGTTTAACTTTTTTTTCCATTGTGTTTATATTTGAACCAAATCAAAGCTTTATCTTTACTTACCCTACATTTAATTTTCTGAGTAATTCATCATTAAAACTATTACTTCAATATTACAGATTAAATAAATTTTAATCTGATATAACTAAAAATTACTTTAAAATTTAAATTGCACTAAATGACATTATTAAAGAATCATAACATATGAGTAGTTAAAACCTTATTGCAATAAAATTGAAAAGTACTTTAAATTTACCAATCTTACTTAAGGATACAGAGACTGCAAAAGAAATCAAGCATTCAGTTTTCTTTTATATAAAAACAGTTTAAAAAACAACAACCTTGCCTTTTGAAGTCAGCTTTACATATGAAATATGAATAAAATAGCACAGACAAATTATTTAAAAAACATTTTTAAACATCCGCAAATAAACATCATCATCGATGATAATCCGTCACCTATATTTCGGTTCGTTCGGTTCGGTTCGTCACCGGTTCGAGCGACACCGCCTGGCGTATTCGGGCGCGACTTGCTGCAGCCACTGCGGTTGCACAACGGACACGTTGATTAAGAACGATCGCTGCGTGTGCAGCAACTCCGTGTACACTAGTGCAGGGTTCGCAGGACGGCCGTGCAGCACGCTGGATGGGTGCAGAGACGCGGCCGCGCCCGCACTCGTCACGTAACGCCCGCCCGCACGAGACCACGCGCAGTTCGTGAACAAACCGCTCAGCAGACACTTCAGCAACTGAAACATTTGTTTCTTAATGAGTATTCTGGCTTTATGTTGCAAAATTTTATAGTTTGCGTATAGTTGAATAATAGTTTGTATTTACGTTTTATTTTAAAATTTTACTCACACATTAAATACATGATTTAAAAATTATAATTATAATTTATACGTAAACATACCTGATCCGTAGCATTTCCACAACTCGTTACTGCCAAATTTAATCGTTGGCAAACTAGAAGTAATTGCTGACGTACATCATAAGCGTAAGACAAATTCTTGTGATTCAAATAGTTTTCACGACACCATTGCTGAAAAGGATTTTATTTTTAGTGGATTACACAATATAATTCAAAAATGTTCTATTCATGCCAAAAGTAAACATTTAATTCTGAATTCTTTTATATTACAAATAAACAGTAAATATGTCGAGATACCTTTTTAAGAGGCGCCTTACAGAACGCTTTATAAACGTTTAGAAGCGTGATATGATCACCGAGAGGCGATATAAATTTTTGCTTTACTTTCAAAGCTTCTTCCCTTTTGTGTAATGGCGTGTGAAACACATTTTCGCTGGACATTACCGCCACCAAGCTCAGAGCCTGGAAAAATTATACGATTGAACCCGAGTATTAGGAGTATGACCTTTTGATATAATACATCCATTAAAATTGTGATAGCACTTTAAAATATTATCAATGGTAGATGATATAAGAATTATGTAGTACTATATAGACGATAATAATACAGCTTTAGAAATTAATTAATAATATTGAAAAATATAACACCACTTTATGTGAGGGAAAAAACATTTGTTAATAAATTATTTAAAATTCAAGTAATGATAATTACACAATTAATATAATTAATTGTTCCAAAATTATAAATACATAATTAAATTATACATCCAGCTGACATATTATAATTAATGCTTGATTCTTTCCATTAAAATTACCTCTTCCAAGCACCCATACTCTGGAGCACATAATAGTATCTTGGCATATTTCGGGTCTATTGGGAATGCCGTCAATTTCTTTCCGAGAACCGTTAATTTTGGATTACTTTCATTATCTACAGCGCCTGAAAGAAATGTATTAACGATAAGTGTTATATATTAACTACACTATTTTCAAAGTAATTATTCCCTGATGATAAATAAAAATTTACCTAATTCTTTTAATAACAATAAAGCAGCATGTATTGAATCTTTCGGCGGTGTGTCAATCAATGGAAACGTTGCGGGATCCAGGCCAGTCGCTATCAACATCAAAACTGTTGATGTGAGCGGACAACTGAATAAAAAAATTAAAACTTCACATTTATAGTTACATTAACAGTTTTACGTACACGTTATCTCATTGCTGGGGTCTGTACGAGTTTTGCCTCGTCAGCTTTATACACCACTGTTCAATATAATGTTCCGTTGGTCCTGTGCAAAACAACTACATAAGAATATAACATTTTATTGAAAAATTATTGTTTTTTAAGAAATTTTATTTCGAAATATAAAAAATATTGGCGCTCTATAAATGACTGTTTTATCTATAATGCTTGTGTTGTATATGGATATAAAATTGTAAGAATTTGCCATTTCTCGAATGTCTGATAATATTACGGTAATAAATGGTACAGTATATATTTTAAACAAATTAATGTATTTAAGTCAGATTAAGAGTCTCACTACAAATAACAAAAATTAATTTTGACTCAACCTTTGTAAGATTATTAAATATTTAAAAAAACCACATACATATTTGAAGTTGTTTGTATTCTTAAAATAAATTTTACTTATAACGAAAAATCTAAAAATATATTTTTTATATCTTTTATTATTAACCTTTAATCAGAGGAACTAATTTCTAATCTTGAGACATCTAGTGACAGTTGTATAACAACTAATGAATTCCATTGAATTTGTAATTGATGGCTTTCATTCCTTACTATAAGGTGAACAGAGTATTGTTAACATGAGATTGCATAACTGGAAACTAATGTCAATATTACATTCAGATAATTAATCTGATATTGTCGGTCAAGACTGATGAATGAAACTGAGTACTTAGTTTTGGTATGGGTACATATTATGACAGTTGTCTCATCAAGCTGCCTTACACTGTACTTTTACAAGTTCACATCGTCACACTAAAATACTAAATTGATACTATAATGTGCAATGATTTATGAATGGTAGCTCGAAATTCACCCGTACAATTTGACTATAGAAACCTCTGGTAGGGTTACTATAATGTTATGTGTGACGTCATCGTACCGTACTATTTCCGGTAGATTGTGTTGCCGCCTGCATTTAAAGTCGGTGGCTGTGTATAATCTGTATGAGGCGCCGGGTGCGGTCCGTCCAGCGCGCCCCGCTCGCTGCCAGGAAGCCGCCTGAGAACACGGCACTACAGACAAACGCTCGGCACCGGTACGAGTACACCACGTCCTGTAACAATAAAACAATTTTTATATTTATACTAGAAGACCCGGCGAACTTCGTATCGCCCTATAATCAAGAAATACCTTAGCCTCAGAAACACGTGGTGGTTATGCTATTATTAAATAGTCGCTCATATATGACGTTTGTATTTGTAACATAGCGCCATCTTTTGAATACTTAACTCAGTCAACAGATAATTGTAATAATGACAAATAATTTTCTTTAGTAGACAAATAATCTATACTAATATTATAAAGCTGAAGAGTTTGTTTGTTTGTTTGTTTGTTTGTTTGTTTGTTTGAAAGCGCTAATCTCCGAAACTACTGGTTCGAATTGAATAATTCTTTTTGTGTTGGATAGTCCAGTTATCGAGGAAGGCTTTAGGCTATATAACATCACGCTACGACCAATAGGAGCAAAGATATAGTGGTAAATGTGTAAAAAACGGGAGAAATCATTTCATCTTTGAAGCCTTCCGTTGCGTGCGCCGTGAAAACGGTTCAAGATACACAAAAAATATGTATTAAAGAATAATAGCTCTTTTAATGATCTAAAAAACACTCCGCGACAGTATATGTCTATCTTTTACGATTAACTCACAAAAACCGTTTTTATGGTACCTAATTTGGTCGAAATAATTTGTTTAAGTTGTATCAACATAATAATATTAATCTTTATTCAAATAAACAAATAAATATGTTGTTGGTTAAGAGTACTTCATTGTGAATAAAAAAAATATAGGTTATATCCTGAAAATTCTACGGGAACTCGACTATTCCGAAAACCCCACAAGAATAGCAGCTATGTGGGAAGAACCAAAAATCTGCCGTAAGTCACTATTCCACGCGAACGGAGTCGCGGCAAAAGCTAGTTTGCAATAAAATAATATTGTGACTATAAATTGAGATGTAAGCTATCCTATCTTTCAAGTTGGATCAAAATGCACACGGAATGCAAATCAAATTTAAAATTGGTTTAGTAGTTTAAGAGTCCATCTCAGTAAAACACGTGACACGAAATTTTGATATATATAAAGATATATATTAAACCACATGGATTTACACATGGAGGAAATTTTAAATTTCTGTAATCGAATTAATGAAACAGATAATAGACTGTGGAATAAACTAAAAAACTTTGCTGAAATATAGTCCAGACAAACCTTCTTGAAGTAGATAACGATTTATCAGTTTCTTTAATTTCATTTACAATAGAATAATTATCATCCTAAAATGTATGTTTATATACTAACCTCTCTTTTACAACACCTGTGTCAATAACATATCTTATTTCTGGTATCGTCACAGAAGCTTCAGCTATGTTTGTTGCTAAGACAATTTTTCTCATTCCAGGCGGTGTTTTTTTCCATACCAACAACTGTTTAGCGGCGGGTAAACCTGCATATAATGGACATACCCTTATTTGAGGACCAACAGTTTCCTGGAATTTAAAAATTGTGCTAAATACAAACAATAATGGCACTATACTCTTAAACCTATACAAATGTTATATATAACAATTATGAACTTACTTTAGCTATTTGCTTTATATTAGTCATAACAGTTTCAATTTCTTCCTGTCCAGTTAAAAACACAAGGAAATCTTCACTGAAATAGAAAAGAAACATTAAATATGTATTTTTTATTTTATTTTGAAATGGGTAGTCCTGCATATTTGCAGCATGACCAGGAGTGCTGATACCGATTTTTTAGGTATTGTATAAATATATACACATAAATATAAAAGTTTTTGCTATAACAACGTTTTAAAAATTTGCTAGTAAAAACTTACTTAGCTGGAGTTGTTGTATGTAACTGGAATATTGTACATATTGCAGCATACTGATAATCTTCATGTTTAATCTTAGAGTGATATATAGTTACAGGGTAAGTTCTTCCCTCTAAGTATATAACAGGACAATTATCATAATATTTTCTAAAAGAATCCACATCCATTGTCGCTGACATGACTATAACCTGATCAGTATAAAATAAATTTAATGTCATAACATTAATTAAATTTACAGAATTAATAGTATAAGTGATAACTTAATGATGAAATTGAATACATGGAGAAATACATTAAAGTTAACATCAAGTAATGTCTAATTAAATATTATAGTTTTTTACAAGATAATGAATAAAATAGCAATATGTAGTTTAAATTCACAAAATTAAATAAAAAAAGTGGTAGCAAAATATAAACCGCAATTTATAGATATAAAAACTTTCTATCAAGAAATTTTAAGCTGGCACATAATAACATGTGGCTTTTTATATCTTAGAACAAAAATTAATAATTTCAAAATCAATAAGGTGTTTGTGATTGCAGAAAGTTAAAAATGAAAGAGTATACCTTTAGCGGATTTTGTTTCTGTCCATTTCTTTCCTTTTGTGCGAGTTTAACAATTCCAAATAAGACATCAGTATTTACAGTGCGTTCATGGGCTTCATCTAACACAATAACAGAATATTTTTTCAACAATGGATCTGATACAGCTTCTCTCAATAACATTCCATCTGTCAAATATTTTACTTTCGTTCTCGGACTAGTTACATCTTCAAATCTTACTGAATATCTGTGAAGAAATTTTTGAAATAAATTTCTTATAAATAGGTCTGACTGGTAAATCTTTAGAACATAATGAATAAATCAATAACTGAATGCAGTTATCAATAAGCTGTATAAACTATATGTATTAAATCTATTAAAAAAATAATAATAAAGAGAAACTGTAACTTATATATTGAATATTAGAATTAACAGGCTTTAATGTTAGTAGTAGATATATAAAATTTTATTAGATACATACCCGACTATAGATCCAATATCCGTATTCATTTCAGCTGCCACTCGTAAAGCTAGAGTGATAGCGGCCACCCTTCTCGGTTGTGTCACAGCCACACAACTCTTACCCTCCAGTCGATGTTCATGAATAAGCTGAGGTATTTGTGTGGTCTTACCACTTCCTGTCTCACCGATTAATATCATTGTATCATGTTTTTTTATTTCTTCTATAATTCTGGAATTATATTTGGATAGTGTATTAAAAATTTTGAAGTTTTCAACTGACATTAAAGGAAATAAAGTAAAAATAAATAAAATAAGGTATTTAGAATAGCAAGTATTATTTTGGATAAAAGAGTTACACCTGGCTCTCACTAAATAAACTGGTAATGATTTTCTAGCTTCCTTTAAGTCTTCTGTGTTCTCTTTAGAAAAATTATTTTCAAGTTTATTATTACTGGCCGCTCCATTGTTTGTCTGCTCTTTATCTTTCTTTGTGTTTGCATTATTAACACATAGTTTTAACCTTTTAACTGTTAAATCATTTGTAATTTTCGGTTTTTCTCTACCTATGGATGCGTACTTAGAATCCATTATTACTTAAATACTTTCTACATCGCTTCCTGTGTCTTAAATTATCTATAGTTACACTCCAATCCTTCAAATTTCTATAAAAAAAATCACAATAATTAAGTACCTATTCTACATAACCTTAAATTAATTGAATTGAAAACAACAAAATAAAAAATTGTGAAGACTAAAAATACAATCCTACATTCAATGTTGCCAGTTTGGATTTAAAATTGCGTAGTTATCCTGTTATTTAGTCTTCGTTATAGCAAAATTTAAATAACAATTCTTGTGATGGCGAGATTAGAAACACAAATATGTGTAATTTGCAAGATATTTTAATAATAAACATATGTAATTTATAAATGTAATTAAATACATATAAAACCTTTTAAAATCAAGTGGATCGATTATACTTATCCCAAAATGTTTTTTAAATAGACACCTAATTTGTTCTTATCAAAAAAAATATCGCAATTCGCAGTCTTACCGACTGACATGAGATTGACTTGACATACGTCATATTTGTGAAAAAATAATAATTTTGAATTCATATTAAAATTTCTACAATTACACTGTTTTATTCTTATATATGCAGAATAAAAATTCAATTTTTACAAAGTTAAGTTGTACTTGTTTCATGCTTTTGTTCTAAGAAGAAAATGGCATCTTTTTCAAGAACAGTTTTTAAAACTTTGAAAAAAAATAATATTCTACAATGTCGTACATATGTTAATCCATTTACGAGAACTTGGAATATTTTAACCAAAGAAGCTAAATCGGGTTTCAAAAAAAACTATGACTATGAAATAGAGCATACAGATATTGTAGTTATTGGTGGTGGCTTTATAGGATCCTCTGTAGCATACTGGTTGAAAACCCAAGCAGGAGAAGGATTATCAGTAGTGGTTTTAGATAAAGATCCTATAGTAAGAATAATGCATAAATATTGAATGTCATAACATTTAATTCCTTCAGTATTCAATAATATATATTTTTTTATTATTACAGAACAAAAAAACAAAAAAATTATACTCCCATGGAGTTTTGGGTCAACACTATTCCTTACTCGAAAATATTTATCTTTCCCAATATAGTGGAGAATTTTTAAGGAATGCTAAAGAACATTTAGTTGAAGGAATTGATATACAATTTTATCCAAATGGTTATCTAACCTTAGCCAGTGAAAAGTATGCAAATAAACTGGAGAATAATGTGTTATTGCTTAAAGAATCTGGTATAAACAATAAAATTCTGACAGTTGAAGAAATACAAAGGGCATATCCATGGATTGATACAACTGGGATTAAACTTGGTATTATTTTATATAAATATATCTTGCTAACAATTTGAAATACAGATTTCACTAAAATAAATTTTGATTTTTAGGTTGTGTTAGTACAGAGTCAGAAGGAATTTTCGATGCCAATGCCTTGCTCAATGGGTTTATAGTTAAATCCAAACAATTAGGTGCCTGTTACATTCAGGGTGAAGTTGTAGGCTTTGACATAGAAAGACAGCATGATGCTTTAATGGAAGGTGTTCCTTTTGGTTCACATAAGAAAACAAACAATTTGACCTATAAAGCTGAAGATGGACAAGAACGCAACCTTAAGTTTGCAATTTGCATTGTTGCTGCTGGTCATGAATCAAACAATATTGCAAGATTACTGAAAATTGGATTAGGTGATGGCTTATTACAAGTTGGTTTGCCAATTGAAAAACGGTACTGAAACTTATTTTTATTCATTATATTTATGAAATCTAAATATTATTATAATTTTATTTTTTTATATTTTAGGGAGTACAATGTGTATTCTATAGAAGAAACAAACAATAATGTGAATTCAGATTTAAATAGCCCTTATGTGATGGACACAAGTGGGTTATGGTTAATAAAAAATGGTTTGAGCAATAATGTAATATGTGGTCAAATCCCTAGCTTTTTAAAAGATATTGATATGTCCGCCAAAGAACATATGTTCCAAACATCATTAGCAACTAGATACCCAAAATTTTCAAATTCTGAGGTAAAGTTATGAAGTATGTATTAAAAATTTATAAGTATGTATGTTGAATTTTGCAATTCTTTATCTGCAATTGTTAGCCAATTTATTTTAAATATGAAGTTTGGGGTTTTATGTTACTGCCTATGGTTTCTGTTCAAACAGTTTCTGCCATATAATTTTTTAAAAATAATATAAATTTAAATTTTCTCCTAGTGAAAATTTCAAAATATTAATCAAGACTATTAACAAACTTTTACTTTTTTTAACTTTAATTCCTGAGAACAAAACTAAAGCATCTATTACTAAGCCTAAGGAACAGTCATCTAATAATATTTTACATTAATTTATAACATTTTAGGTAAAACCATTGTCAACAGAAATTGTTGATTGCAATACTTATGATGATTCTGGAATATTGGGAGCCCATGTATATCATAACAATATAATATTTGCTGCTGGTTTTGGAAGACAAGGTGATTTATTATTTTAATTTATGTATTAAAACCTGAATATATACACATCATTTTAATATGATAAAAATGTGAGAATTTTAATTTTTTTGTTGTAGGTGTACAACATTCCCCTGCAATTGGAAGAGCAGTGGCAGAATTAGTAATTGAAAGCCAATATACAACAATAGATCTAACAAGATTTGGTTTTGATAGGTTATTAATGGATCAACCATTAATAGAGTCAAATATGTATTGATCTAGTTTATGATCAAATTTGTTAAATATGTTGAGTAAACTTAAGTTTTAACTAATATAAATAATGACAATAGCACAATAGTAATGACAAATGTGTGCATGTATTATTTTGTATTAAATGATATCTAGATCAGTTTAAAATTTTTACTGTCTAAAAATAATGAAATCCGATTAGAAATTTAAAAAAAGTTATGTATGTAGTCTAAATGTAATTAATGTAATAATAAAATAAACAATATGAAAAACAAAATGAACAAAATTCTTTATTCACATAAATTACAGCCATTATGTTTTATGAATGTGAAGTTTTAGTTATAAATTATTTAAATTGAGCTGGAGGGGTTGCAAAAAGGGCTCCACCTTGTTGAGATGCTGCACGGGATGGTGCAAATCCGAGTAGCTTTTGAATATTTTGCCTAAAAATTGATAATTAACATGTATATAATTGAATAACATATTATATAAAGATTTAAATCTCATTACCTTATGCTCATTGTGCATAAAATGTATAGGAAAAATAAATGAGCAGTCAGTGTAGTCATCTCCAGGTAGATTACGGTGACTGAGACCTTGGATCCAGGATATTGGGTGAAAAGGAAGCTTTGCTACCACTCTGCCATCAAATCTGAAAGATATATACATTTGAGCTTAAGATCGAGACATAAATGGAGAATATATTATATTAATTGTATACCTACATGTTATTAAACATGCTCAGTAAAGCTGTAAATGCAAAACCAATAGCAAACATGGATTTCATTTTAACTAGTGATAGGTCCCTATTATTATTTTTCAGCCTCTCTTCTTCACGTTCAATTTTTTTCTTGTGTTGCTTATCCAATGAATCACCATGTGCTTCTTTTCTTTTCTCCACTAAAAGTGAAATAATATAGTTAATTTTGGCCTACTTAAAAATTTCAATAAGATGCTTTGTTTATGTAAAATTAAAGTTTAAAACAATGCATTACAATATTGAACTTACACTTCTTACTTTGGCGTTCAACTTCTACCTTTAATTTTTGGTACTTTTCAGTTCTATACACCAATATCCATGTGAGTCCTGCAAGAAAAAGTAAGAAGCTAAACTTTTCTAATACTTCACTTTTTAAACTTTAACATAAGCCAACATTTTAAATTTAAAGGTAAATGTTCCCTGATAGTCATGTTAAATCAAAAATTCACCTTCTCCCAAGAAAGCAGTACATACTGAAATAAATACTATCAATAAAGGATCACCCCACATTTTTCTTCGCTTATATTTAAATTTTAAGCTATAAAAAAGCTCTTATTTGAAAAAAATCACTTAAAAGGGTAATAAAACAATATTTGAAAATATAATAGGGAGCAGGAACGAAGTGATAAAATTTTTAGATGACAGTGACTGGAGCACCGAAGGTTTCATCGATTGTCAATGTCGTTTTAATTTCTCTTTAATTTTATCTATAAGCTTGTGAATTAAACAAGTTATTCTATTAATAATTAGTACTTAGATTCATGTAAGAAAATAAAACTAATAAAATAAAAGGAAGTTTTGTAAATCATTTTTTTCTTATTTAAAAAAAAAGGTAGTGTTTTATATATATAGTAAAAAATATACATAATATAGAATAAAAATTAAATCATATGAAGAAGATAATTTAATTATTTACTATTATTATTCTAGGAAACGTTGGCCCAATTGTCAATCTTTACTCCTTGCTCGATCCGCATTTGTCATTTCATTCATTATAGTTCCATTCCAATTCCGGCTTTGTTCTATTTTCACTTCATTCTTTAAGTCTAAACTCACAATTCAACTTTTCGCTAGCTAGCCTGTAGCCGTGTGCTTGGATCAGCGACTGTTGCGGAATTATATTTTAGGGAAACTTCTGCCTTATTTATTAATCATTATCGTGTATATATATTTGTAAGACAACAAATATATTGTAATTTAACTATAAATGTAATCTTTACATAGCTAATTATATAAAATCTTATGAATATAAGATAACGGAATGGTAAACTCCTGTACCTAAATAAAACAATATTTATGTGAAAAAGAAGTAATTGGTGTATAGTATCATCGAAAGAACTCGAATTTATCTGTGTAGTCCTGTGTAAACTAATTATTTTATACCTCCATGATGGTATCGAAAATAAGCCGCCATTTTGTAATGCAAGCAAGGCGTGGCACACTTGTGTAACGTTACACTGAAATTCTTTTTATATTGCGCAGTTAATAATAAGCATGGTAAGTTTTTACTATTATATACAATTTCCAAATCTTCATCCTAAATATACCGAAAATTGTTGCTACTGAACGAGCTCTTTCGCTTATAATTTCACATCTAAAATCAAATCGCGTATTGAAGGAGTATTTAGCAGTTTTACTACCTAATTTCTTTCTTTTTATTCCTTTGTTAAATTACTCTTCGATTAGAGTACTTTAGAAATCATATTTGTAATTACATTATTGTTTAAATACATACATTTAAGAGTTTTTGTAACAATATAACATACTATCATACAAAGAACTTCGAATGATATATATGATGTACGATAAAATTATGAAAGCATCATTTTGCGCAGCATCGACACCATTTTGTTCATAGTTCTGACGTCAGCATATTATTCCTTTTCATACTGAAGAATTTTAACGCTTGCGAAACACAAAGAAGGAATAGATCACGTAAAATATGATTACTTTTACTAATTAATATTCATGCATTATCTATTAACAACACGTGGAATTTAAGTATTGGATGGACTTTGACCTTCAAAAACGATGTTATTTCACCATATGAAAAGTCAAATATTACTTGTGAATGAATTACATGCCCGTTTTTATACCATACATTAGTCACCATATGCGCATTTTATAGTACTTTATTTTATTCTTTTAACATTTTTATGCTTTCTGTAAATAAAATGTGTTTTAAGTATTTACAATAATTACTTTTGTTTCAGCCCCGTATAGATCCTATCCAACTACTAAATTGCCTCAGTGTTCTTCTCTCACCTGATGGAGGCATTAAAAGCAGGGATGAAGTTCAGAGACTAGCAAAGTAATTATTTAAATATATTTATATAATTCATGATAATTACTAATCACCATATTTTAAATTATTAGTAATCTAACAAAAATTAGTGTTAACATTTAGTTATAATTAAGTAATTAATTAATTAGATAATATTTTCCAATATTTTATGATTTCCTTTTTTTCAGGCTAATGACAAAGTTTTCAAAGAAGCTAGTCTCTAAATGCATTTATATCCAAATCCTCAAGTGTACAGAAACTGATTTATTAGGTTTATTTATGGGATCAGAAGGTTGGAGACTAGTACACATGTGGCTTACAGAGAGCATTGTTGCCAAAAATTGGCCTTTAGTTAGAGAGTTATTGGAATTACTGTTATTGTGTCCAGTAGATATAGAAAGGCTAAAGACAAATAACTGTCCTAAATTAGTTAAAGAGCTGTCAAAAGACGGAAATCACTCCGGTAAGTTGTTTCATTTATACCACTATTAACACGAGTTGTTCTTTTTATAATAATGTCATATCAGTGTTATTTAATATATGATAATTTTAGGAGCCTGTTTAGTAGATTATTAATAGACTATAAATGTCAAAAATTTATATGTATTTTTGCTAATTAGTATTTTTCTTATTGTAGTTATAAGAGCATTGGCAACAAAATTAGTTGAACAATGGCTCAAAACAGTGAAAGGAGGAGAACAAGTAGTACCTATGCATATTTCTGAAATTCAACAAATTATAACAGATTCACAATTGGAAATTAAATTAGAAGATTTAAAAAATGATACATCGGATAATGAAAAAGATTTAGATGACCATGACTCTTCTAATTTGGAAAATGATAGTAAAGTAGAAGTAGATGAAGAAACTCTAGAGACTCCTAGTAAAAATGACATCTCTGATAAGGATGAGCAAAATATGGAAACTGAAGTTTTACCAGTTTTAAAAATAACTTTAAAGAATGGAAAACAAATCTTATCACAAGTGGAAGATGACAGTAAATCTTCAGAAGATTCAGTTGACAAGGACACCACAAGAGAAAAACAGAAAAGTAGAAGTAGAGACAAAGACAAGAGTGAAAAAAGCAGTAGTAGTAGTTTATCAAAATCTAGCTCCTCAAAACATTCGAGTAGATCCTCATCTAGTGATAAAAGGAGTAATCATAAGGAAAGTTCTAGTAAACATAGTAGTAAGGACAAATCAAGGGATAAAGATAAAAGATCTTCCCATAGTTCTAAGTCCAAATCTAGTAGTAGCAGTTCTAGTAGTAGCAGACGTTCCAGTTCTTCCAGTAGCAAATTAAAGGATGAAAAAAGTAGCAAAGAAAAAAGTAAAGATAAGGATAGCAAACAGAGTACAGAAAAATCTGATGATAAGGTGCAAACTGCCATTAGCAAATTAGGAAAAATACCAAAATTGAGTGATGTTAAGAAAGAAAAGCTTTCTATTTCTATAGAAGTACGAAAACCAGATGAACCAAAACCAAAAACTGTGAAAACATTTAATTCTAAGTTTAGGAAACATGGATTAGAAGAAGAAATGAAACCACCTCCATCGAGGGCCACTTTGCTAAGCAACAAGAAACCACCACCTGCACTACCACCAACAGTGTCAATACCTAAAAGACCATCACCTGTTCATAATGACACTCCTCCAGAGAAGAAACCAAAACCATCTATCGATCTTGAAAAGCCAGGATCAATAAAACTTATACCACCTAAACCAAAGCGTGAGTATTATTTTTTAAATCTGTTGCCAACTACTTTATTAACACATTTTGTTTTTACAGGAAATAATGTCCACCAAGATTTGCTGTTTATAGTTTTGCAACACATATTCAAATATATAAGTTGCAATACCAAGTGTGGTAAGTCTAAAATGCATAACTTGACGGGTCTCTTAATACATGTTTTAAAATCATATGTAAAGTATTTATTTATGATGAAAATAAAGGTTAAAATTTTAATAACTATCTTTTGATGAAAATTAACCTAAATCTGTTCAAAGTTTATATTAAGAGGTGGACGAACTAGAGCTTCATACAAGCCTTGGAAGACTTCACGCTGGCCATTGGGAACATCGCTGCACCTGATACACCCATCAATTCTTGCGGGGACCCAAAGTAACATAACGAAAAAATAAAAACCTTTAAAGACAATTGGTAACATATTATCTGGAAGTAGATGATAATAAAACACTCTTATTTCGAAAAAGATTACAAATAGATAAAACAAATAAGACATGAAAAATGCAATCGACAATTGGGTGGCTCCAAAACAAATTGAAAGATTTTCATTTAGAATATGAAATTTATAATAAAACAGCTTCAGCAATTGAATCCAAAAACTAACATTAGAATATATAATATATATGTAGTAATACATAATGGAATATAGGTAGCTTATATTTTCATAGAACAGTTTACGGTTACATGTAGATAGTAATATATTCACTGTATGGAATATTATCATCAAATTTAAAAAGGGTATTTTAACAATGAGAAAAAACTCATAATTTTTCGAACTATACATACATTTTGAAGATAATGAAATTTTTGTCCAACAAATATGTGTATGTATGTATATTTATATTTAAAAGATATTGACCACTCAATAAGGTTACGAATAATAAGTAGTCATAAATAAGCTTTACACTACGAATATTAGACAAGGTTTAAATATACGAAGATGATGTCTAAAATCTATGTGATATAAAATGCCTATACGTGAAAATATTTAAACGAAAAAATGTAGGTAAAATTTGTTTCGGATTATAGGTTTTCTCTGTATAAACAATAGAATCAAGGTTCCTATATGATGTGCCTCGTAGAAGTTTGCGTTGCTAACCTACTAACCGACAGTTTTAAGGTTTTTCAATCTAATTATCGTATTCGTTGAAGATTTTTAGATGAAATTACTTTTGAATCTGTCTATTTTTAGTTGGAGTAAGCAAACTTATACTAGCCGCACTGAATATTTATATAATAGTCGATCGATAAGTTTGTCTATTGTGCATATCAAAAACTAATCACAGAATACATAGGAATAATTTCAAAAGATATTTGCGATTAAATTGGATGGAAGTGAAAGTAACGCGTGGGACAATGTCAATAACGAATTTTGCATAATCTTTGATGAACATGCACTGCCCAGCCCCTTGGCAAAAAGAAAGAACCTCAAAAGATAACTCTTGTAATTCATTATTGATACGCATAATTCATCTTATTAGAAGGCCGATTTTTAATTGTTTTTTTCCTTAAATATTAATTTAAAAACGATGTGAAACTAATCGCGTCTTTATTTATAAAGCTTTGTAAATATCTTCGAGCATTAAAAAAAGAAATCTAAGCGTGCGAAATCGTACTGCTGCTATGCGTTATTCTTGTTTTACATAGAACTGCCTGGTCTCTTAGGCGGCGGCTTTTAGAGAAATAGATATGGTGTAAACGTGCAATTAAATTAATTTCAGATAAACGTATGTTATTCTTAGTTCTAGATAAAACCAAGAATAAAATGGTGAAATCCTGACCATTCATTTTTTTATTTAGTTTTTAACCCATATCTATTAGTTGCAATAATTAAAATTATAGTACAAAAAGATCTACTAAGTAACTTTAAGTTCTGTTCATTATCTTCTCACACTAGATAGTAAACTGTGACAAACATTTATTACGTTCAAGGGATTTTATTTTCAACGCACTTTTTATCATGACGCATAAATTTAAAAGGAATGTTACATATCGCAATATGTTATATAAGGTAAAGTGATAGTTCTAATTGTCCATTATATTTTAATTTCCTGCGGGCAACTAGTGCCAAGTTAGAACTTAAATATGTTAGCAACCTGTAGGTGAGGTTTGAGTAGTGTTTATTAATAAATTTATATATATACATATATATTTAGAAACACACCCTAATATTATGTGCCCTCAACGGTTACTGTTACGGTCCGATTTTTTAGCTGAGAATTATCTCCCACGAGGTAAACAGTTGTGTTGGAACCTCGATCCACATCTTTAGAAATGATATCGTCTTTAAATTATATAGAAGCCGCGTGCTGTATTAGGTTCAAACTCTTAGTATTTGTTTTTGTTTTTTTGTGTTAACATGCAAAGCGTAATTATTCAAACGTTCTGCGATAATGCTTTCGGTATTGATTGTATCGTATACACACCACTAGGTAGCAATTTAAAGGGTTCGCGTTGCATTTTTTTCAAATTGCTGAAATTATAGATTTTTGATTCGTAAATTAATTGTTCTACATAAGTTATAAAGTCTACACTTTTATATAAGTTACGCTTCGCATAGGAAAATATTACTTTCAAATCTAAGATACCACTATATACGTGCTTATCTTTTATGAATAAGTTGAGAATGCTCACACTAGTATTAATTATTGAAAAGGTTTTTTGAAGGTCGAAAAATTGTTAAAAATAAATCGTACTCTTAGTACGAAGTGTAGGTAATCATCAACCCAAATAATCCCTTTGTAACCTTTGGTGTTTAGGAATTAGAAATATCAATAAAATATAACATAAGTGATTCAGAAATGAAATACTTGAAACGGTCGCGTATATTTTAAATACTCAACTTTTTGTAATGTACTTACCCAATAGTATCAATATAGGAGTATAATAAAAACTGGAAACGCTCTGTATGTGGTGATGCGTTTCCAACTTTTGGTAAACGTACATAACTTACATGTGACTAAATTATTTTGTAGTAACCCTTTCATAAATACTTACGACATTCCTAAAGGTTATTTTTATTTATTGTTTTTGTTTAGTTTTAGTTTACTTTGGAAGCTTCGGGTAAAACAATATCAATGCAAAACTTTGGAGAGCTATAAATAGAGTTCCGTAATCATGATTCAACTGTTTCGTATTGTTGTATATTCAAAGATTTCAATGTTAAATCGAAGTGAAAAGTTTTTGGAAGAGTGAAAGTAACAAAATATATTTTCTATTAACTATTATCTGAAAAAATAACTTCAATCATTCTATCTATATAAAATATAACATATTATTTATATAGATAGTCCGTGATAGTTGTTGGTTTTTATTTTTGTACCATTTTGTGTTTTAGTATACTATTTTTCTTACCTGTGAAATGAAATACCTATTTTACTAACACGTAAATAGTTTAACCGTGAACTCAGCATAAAAAACGTCTTTATGTGGATATTGAGCTTCCGAAAGTAATGGCGTCTCGTAATTATTATCCTGTCTCTAGTTTTTTCTCATTTTTTACATTCATATGTACACCTTCCCGTATCAATAATTCCACTCGGGGATGTAAGTCGGGATTAATGGATATTAATAAATTAACATGAATTTAAAATTATTGTATGTATAATAGCATTTCATGAAAAGTTAATTTGAATTCAATATTGTTATAAATTTAATACTATTTATTGAAGAAAATTATACTATTAAAAAAATTTCAGGGACCAGAAGTTATGCATTTTAGATGAACCATTTAATAATAATAATAATTTTGATTGTTTTTGCATTTTATTAATAATGTATTCTTTGTTTACAGCCATGGTACTTCAGGAAAGTGATATGTTTATGGATGCTTTAAATGCCTCAGCTACCAATAAAAAGGAACCGAAAAAGAGGAAACGGCGCACCAGTGGTTCCAAGGATGGGAATTCGCAGAATGATGGATCACCTCCTCATACACCAACTGGTGTTACCAGTCCTAATGGAGACAGTAAATCTGTACCGCCAAGATTTTATCAAGATACTCTTGACGAAGAAGATAATAAGGATAAAGTGACAGATAAAAACGAAAATGAAGGTGAAAATTCACCAAAAGCAGCTACAAAAGATAAAAGTCCGGAGGATAGCATGGAGACAGAACCACACACATTAACTGTAAATGGTATAAAAGGTGTCCTATGCTATCACAAACGAAAAGGTCCCAAAAAAAGTATTCGATGGAAACCAGATTCTGAGCTGGAAGAAATACAATACTTTGAACTTGATGAGACTGAAAGAGTAAATGTTACTAAAACCTTTACTGACATGAAACATTTAGAAAGAATAAATGAAAGAGATGCCTTCCAAAAAGCTAGGAATCTCAGTAATGATGACATAATGGAAGAGAGGACTAGTTGGAGACCTTTAATACCACTTGATACAGATGGTCAAATCCAGATAGAATATGGCAAAAACAGCAAAGAAAAAGATATACAAGCCATACGTCAAAAGGGTACCCTTCAGCCACTATACTTCCATAAAGCTATGATACCTGACTCACCCCATGAGCCAGATGTCGAAACTCACACTTATGCTGAACCAACAGTTATTCCACTAGAAGATGTTACAGGAAACCAAGATAATATAAGTGATTTTAGAAATATGCCTTGGCCTGAACCAAAGGGTAATGCACCCCCAACAAGCAATAACAGTTTGAATGTTCCATCGATGTTTCCACCTAATATGTCTCAATACCCAAACAATTATCCTAATCCACAATTTCCTGGAGGACCACCAGGATTCCAAGGTCCTCCTATGATGTCAGGAGAATGGCAAAATGGAGTTCCTCCCATGATGCCAAATGGTATGCCCGGTCCGATCGGAAACAATGTCATTGGTCCAGGTGCTATGCCCCCAGGTTCTATGCCACAAGGTAATGTGCCGCCAGGTCTATTGGGACCGCCAGATAATATGATGATGGGCCCAGATATGTTTGGAGGGCCAAACCATATGTTTCCAGTTCCACCTGATGGTTTTAACATGCAGCAGAATATGTCCCTTCCTGTCGATTTCAATATGTCAGGTCCACCAGGTCCAGATTTTCCTGGTAATTTCAGAGGAGCAATACGCGGCCGTGGTTCTGGTGGACATTGGAGGGGTAAAGCAGCAGGCGGTTGGGACGGACCCCCTAGGGGGCGGGGAGGTGGTCGAGGTGGAGTCCGCAAAGCTGTGTGCATTTATTTTCAAAGAAAAGGGTCTTGTCGACAAGGTGAAAATTGTACATTTTTGCATCCCGGAGTTAATTGTCCTTTTTAAAACAAAAGTATGGGGGGTGGCTTGAACACTGTAATCTGATTAATCTGTTAGAAAAAACTTTATTTATATTGCCATATAAGACTGCATAATGTACATAATTATATTTTTGTAAATATTGTAAAGTTGTTTTAAGGTTATACAGAAAACTAAAAATAAACTAGGTACTTTTTCAAGTTTCGTTTTATTAAATTAAATACATTTAATTACGTACATATACATTCTTCCTAAGTTGCTCAACTAATATATATCCTAATATTAATGAAACACTAGAATTTGACTTATAATTGCGAGATAGTTATAGTTAGGCTTTTCGCAAACTGAGAAAGCCAAAGTGAATAATTTTTTCGATAGAGCTTGTTTCTTACAGAACGAGATTTTTTTTGAACGGGTCATATAGATGGCGTTGATTATAATTATTCTGCCAGACGCCATCTTTTGAAAAAGATTATAAAGTCCTGATTAAAATTTACAATCTCGAGAATTTTGTGACTACAAGCATAAACATAATAACAATAATTATAAGCAAAAATGTATTATAAAGTCGATTCTAAAAAAGACATTTCCTAATCCACACTGTCCATGGCTATTTCAGAAATATACGTGACAATTATGGACATATTAAAAAAAGAAAGTTTGAAAAATATGTATATATTTTAACTATTAATTTTTAACTCCACTATACATCTACTATATATACATATATATATATATGTTTAAAAGTAAAAATACAACTAGAAAAAATTCAAAGGCCAAATTTTAAATAAACGCAACTGAATTAAGGTTTATGAAAAGTAATGTTGGTTTAGAAAATTAAGGTTTAATGTTTTTTTTTTCTAAATATGCTAAATAGCTTATCAATTCAAAATATTAAGAAAACATGTTACACTTGATGCTTCATGCTTGTTTCTTTTTTTAAATTAGTATTTTAGAGTAACGACAAGTACCTAACATTAAATACCTAAGTAGAAGGTTAACTCACACTCATAATTGAGGAGAATGTATTGGTAATTGTTAAATACTACACTGCATTAAAGTTAACAATAGCCTGAGAAAAATATATATGAAAATGAAATGCAACTACAAAGTTTTTGCGTCTCTCAATCCTCGCTGTCTTCGTTGACTGTCTGGGTTCCCTAAGAATAAAGAAAGCATTGGATTTATATGTTGGATATAAAGATAGTTTCCGAAAACACTAAATATTTTTAGGCTATAGACTTAATTAGAAATTTATGTTTATAAAAGCAACGCTATTAAATTCAAAATAAGTATCATCGAAAGTAGTTTTGGCAATAGTTACATTATAAGGAATATAGAAAAATATATTCCGTTGCAATTTATACTTGAAACTCAGATAAAAATAAAATCCAAGTAGTAAATGAGAGACTTATACTATCGAAGGAAACGAATTTCTTTGTTTGAACTTTAAAGTGAAAGTATAAAGTATTAGGGGAGTGATGACAGTGACACGCGTCAGAATTCAGATTATCAATCGCGACTCGCGATTTAGGTATTCATTACTCAGTGATCAGCTCGCACAGTTTAGTAGTTATTGCGGATCCTTAATTCCTGTCATATTAAATTGTTATCTGTGTATTAAGTGTTTATCGTAAAATTAGTTAGCGTATGTCGTAAAATTATAGTTATTATGTTACGCCGAAGAGAATATAAGCACCTGTTTTATTTTAACATTTTATTATTGTGTTGTTTTACTACGTAGTATTATGACTTCTGTATAGGAATAAAGACGTTTCTATCGTTTAATGTCCAAATAAATAAAAACTCCTTACAATGACAAATAGCTTTTTGTAAAATTTCATTCGTGTTAAATATTAAGACAATAAATTATTGTTTAATGATCAGTTTTATGAAGGTGAGTGAATAACGGATTATGCAACGCTGGTTTTTCTTGAAAGAAACTAAGAAGTTGCAAAAAAAAATATCAAAAAAAATGTCTGGGAAACAAATAACTGAAGAAAAGGAGATTGAATCACAAGAATGGGTGTTCACTGTGTCTGTACCAGAAATTGCTCCGAGGGAAAAAGTTTATTTAACGGGAAGTACAACTGAACTTGGGGAATGGGATTACAAAAAAGCTGTCCCTCTCGAAAATGTAGAAAACACTGATATGTGGACTAAAACTGTAATTATACCAAATACTTGTGATGTATACTATCGCTATGCAATATGTCTTGTCAATACTGAAACAAATGACATTATAGTTCGCCGCTGGGAAACTCACATACACCCAAGAGTTATAAAGGAAACAATGCTTCATCCTCATACTGATATATTTGGTTATAATGAAGGAATATACAAGGTTAATAAAGGCTGGCTTACCTTTCAAACATTAATCCAGTTTAAATTTATGCACAACCCTTTAAAGTTAAAAAGTCGCTTAATTGGCCGCCTCATGAATATTAAAGTAACACCTGTTAAACTGTCTTTTGGGGCTGAGCCACAAATTGAAGAATCCTCCTTAAGTACAGATACAATGGAAGCAGAAGTTCCTTGTGGGGTTTTTGTGGAAGTAGCTACTCTTGAAAATGACCCCATGGTTTGTCACCTGCAACCTCAAGAACAATTTGGAAGAGAATACAAGCCCAATGATGTATTGCTAGTAAATCTGTTTGCCCCGAATCCTAAAGGTCTAGCATATCTTATAGATTTTTATTCATACAGTACTAGGGCATCTGTAGAAGATCCTCCTTGTCATGTTGGTTACACTTATGTGTTACCTAATATGTTTAAGCCATCTGAGGGCTCATTAGAATTACCAGTTACATGTAATGTGAAACATCGGCCATTAGGTACTATTAATTTTGAATACCTTATAATTTCTCCAATGGAAGATGGTTTGTGTAACTTAGAAGTTTCCTATACAAAACACTGGGATCCTTCATGGACTGGATTGGAAGTTGGTCACAGAGGTTTAGGTGCCAGTTTCAAAACAAAAGAGTAAGTTAATTTTATACTATATTATATTTATAACTTGATATTTTAGATGTGTACTTAAATTCCTTTATTGATGTAGGTCTCGACTTAAATCACTGTTTGATAAAAATTGTAAAACACCCTTTTATAGAGTAGGAACTGGGCCTGCTAGATTGTGCTCCACATTATTTAAATTTCAGGGGAAATGCCATTCGTGAAAATACTATAGCTTCTCTTAAAAAAGCAGCTGCCAGTGGAGCAGACATGCTGGAATTTGATGTGCAACTAAGTAAAGACATGATACCTGTTATTTATCATGACTTTCATGTGTGTATTTCTATGAAAAGAAAAAAGGAAGTTGACTTCACAGAAATGCTTGAATTGCCAGTAAAAGACTTAACCCTGGAGCATCTGCAGAAATTGAAGGTATTCTGCGACCCAGTAAACCAATGTCAATACTCAATTTTTTTTATGAGTATTGAAAGTCTCTGATTGTAGAAATATTTGTGTATTGCAAAAACAAAATTTGTATCACACTTTTTTTTATTACCAAATAGGTTGTCAAAACACAAATGTTAATTAACTCCTTAGGTTCCACATAAATTTGTTTTACATTATTAACCTGTAATTCAATGTTTTCACAGGTTTATCATTTAGTAGAAGGACGAAATCACGAAATTCTTTTCTTCGATGAAGACCTCGAGGAGCATCAGCCATTTCCAACTCTTGAAGAAGCCCTGAAGAGTTTAGATGAGCATGTTGGCTTCAACATTGAACTTAAATGGACCATGGAACTCAATGATGGCACGTTTGAATTGAACAATCCATTTGATATGAACACATATGTAGATAAGGTAAGATAATTTGCATTTTAATATTTTTCTATTGTATGTTAATGTATATCTTTACATGAAATAATGTTAGAATATAATATCTTTCAGGTCTTGGAAGTGGTACTAAAACATGCTGGACAAAGGAGAATTGTACTTTCCTGTTTTAATCCTGATATATGTACAATGGTCCGTTACAAACAAAACAAATATCCTGTAATGTTTCTCACAGTGGTATGTACAGCATATTATTATAAGAAAACTTTAATAGCTATTGAGAAATAATAATGACAGTCATGCAGTTTAGAATACTATGTTTATTTGTGACTAATAACTAGTATGTAAATGTTGTATGAATGAATACAGTTCTAATATGACATAAAATTTTGTCGTCTTGACTTATTGATTGTCATAGGTTAACATCAACATAAATAATTTTTTAGGGTGTGACAGAGAAATACCAGCCGTATCGCGACCCACGTTGTCTATCCATACCTGCTGCAGTACAGAATGCCATCAGCTCCGACATCCTCGGCATTGTGGTACATACAGAGGATTTACTTAGAGATCCTACACAGGTTGGTATTCAATTTAACATAATTATATACATAACACAGATGGCAGGTTTTGGGTCTGTTATTTATTGTATTAGATATTTAATATATATAATTATAATATTATTTATCTGTGAAAAGGCTTTTGAAAAACCTATAGATGTAGTGTAGACTGTTTTTGTTAATGATGGTACAAGTTTATGTCAATGACCTATTATCATATGGTATTAAATTTGTTTATTTATTTTCCCCCACAAAAATAATTAGTATAACGGCCTTTTTTGTTTATAATTATTGTGAGCTAGACTCTATTGTTCTTACGTATTATAAATTTGTGTTTTCAAACATGATACTCTTTATTTGTTTAAACACTATAGGGAGGTCAGTGCACTTAACCGTATTGTTATCTTAAGGCATACAGATGACGTATATGCACAATGACCTAAGTGTTACCATTTTGCTGTGCAAAGTTCATTGATATATGCGTGCGTTCAAATTGACCTACTCACACATCACATTGACTTTTGAACTTCATTCAGAAGCAATTACTAGAGGAATGACATACATATCATGTAATACAAATCTTTATTACTTTGACATGATGTTATTTGTGTAAATATTAAAGTACGTCATACAGCTCAGAAAAACATCAACATAACATAATAATAATATAATACCACTCGTTCAGTTAATATTTAGCGAATATTGTCCAAGGTTGATTTTAATAAAGGTTTTATGAAACTCGTTTTGTGATAACACGATACGAGGTATTAATATTATCTAAATATGTAAGTATTAAGGCCAACGAGTGATAAACGTATTGCTACCTAACTTTTTAAGTATTTTGATGTCATAGAATAAATTGTATACAATTTTAAGTTTTTAAAGTTTAAAATGGCGTATGGTTTTCTATGTTTTTCATTACATATGATATCTGTAAAAATAAAAAATAAAACAAATAAAACTCGATAAATTTATAAATTTTATCACATGAAATTGAAAGCATTATTCTAAATAGCAGCAAAATTTATGGAATTTCTAATTAAAGACTTTTCAAGAGGAATAATTCCTCGCGAAATGGTCTATTCAACAAAAAAGATTTTTTCAATTAGAACCAGTAGTTAATGGGATTAGCAATTTTAAACAAACAAACAAACTCTTCAGCTTATTCATATTAGTATAGGTTCAACTGAATGTGTTTTTGTCACGGAACTCCTCCCAAACGGTTGGACCGATTTTAATGAATTTTTTTGTTTGCATTTGGGTGTTGCCCCAAATAGTTTAGATTTACGAATCAGACCGGCAGATTGCGCTGCAACCGGTACCTAAGTTAATTAAAATGAAAAGGCTGCAACGTAGGTTATTATATATATTGTTTTAACACACTTTGTATTATATTTCTTTCCGAGTGCAACTGAGGTCATTACGCGGACGGAATCTTGATTGTTAAAACTAAATATTTTTTATGTTGAACTAAATGTCAACTAGATGTCTGAAAGTTCCCGGGTATGATATTTGAAAAACGAAAAAACAAGTGATTTCATTTGTACTACATCACTTTTGATCTGTTAATAATAATATAAAAAGTTATTGTACCACTAATAACAAAAGGCATACGATTCTGGTTTACAGGTCAAATTAGCCACCGATGCCGGTCTAGTCATATTCTGTTGGGGCGATGAAAATAATGACAAAAATACTATAAAGAAACTCAAAGAAATGGGTTTGCATGCTGTGATATATGATAAACTGGACCAGTACACCACCAAAGAAGTGAAGGTAAATTTTGAATACTAAGATACCTACAAAACTAGTAGTACATCACACATCACAGCGTAGTATAGACTTAAATATTCTAGCTTCACTTCACTGCTTCACATTCTATACGACGCAAGACAAATAACACTTCAATATAAATAACAAACAAAACTAACAAACATCATTGAACTGACAATAACATAAAACAAAGGAATAATATCTAACAATAACATAATATTTGTCGTGCGTACGGAGTGCTAATAATTCTTCCTATAGGAAAGTATATTCCTGATGGAGGCGCGAGATTCGCAGCGTGATATCATGAGGTTGGCTGCATTGGACGCGTTGCCTACCGATAGCACGTCGAGCCGTTCCCGATCCCCCTCTCGCCAGTTGTCGCCGGCTCAATCCTCCGGGGACGGGCAGCTCTATCTCGATCTAAAAGCGCGCCAAAAAGCGGCCCGCTCAACTGTCACGTCGCTGGAATCACTCGCCTCGTCCATAGACATCCGCGATGAACCCGAACGTAATCTTAAGCGGAACAAGGATCTCATTATGAGCATAGACAGGGAGTCACAAATTAAAGAGCAGAGGAATTCGTTTAAGGGCATCTTCCCCGCTCCCAATACGACCACGGCATCGCCGAAAAAATCCAGAAAAAGCGACTTATCTTGACAAGGTCGCTGAATTTTATGAAAATTTTTCTTGCTCAGTGATTTTTTGCGAATTTTTGCCTATTTTCATTATAAAACTGTATTCTTAGTTCCATTAATTCATTTTGATGGTAGTTGATATGATGCCACCACACTGTAGTCAAATGCCACCCATGAACAATTAAATATGTTTTTACATACGATGCTATTATCATGATTTTTTCTATATTTTTTGTAATTCAATAAATTTTTACGGGTTTCCTTGCGTATATTTTTATAACATGTCTTACTCCCTGTACCAGTTTTAAAGTAAATCACGTCTTCCAATTCAATTTATAAAAATTTGATGAAATAAATGAATTTTCAAATATTGGAAAAACATAACCAGTGTCTGTATTGTAATTTTTGTTTTTTTATTTTATATTATGATCATTAGTAGTTTGTAGATATTTACATGAATTTATTCTTTTATATCAATTTTGCAAGACTTAAAAAAAGAAAAAAAAACAGCAAAAAAACAAATTTGAGAGAATTATTTAGACCATAGTATTCTTACATTTTACATTAAAATAGAATAATAGCATTATCAATGTATTGTTTGTATCTGTGATATTAAGTTTGTAATTATTTTTGTATTTGTTTTATTTGTATATATCACGTTTTATTTAAATTGAATTATATTGTGATTCTTCTCTCACTGGTCTTTTATTAATCATATAAAATATAACGAAGTGTTTATTCCACATGTCTGTACGAAGGATCTAGATGTCCCAACTAAATCCAATTAAAGGTATTGCTAATTAATAAAATAAGTAACTTTTTTACATTCTTAAATAATAATTAAGTATTGCGTACTTTGGATTTTACATATGCCTTCTGTTATTTAAATTTCATTATCTATGCACTTTTTTCGCTATTATGACCCTTCACTTATTTATTACAATATTTTTTTTATTAAAAATACACAATTAGTAAAAATATCGACAATGTAATATTAGATTGATTTAGTATTAATTTTTAGCTATAAGACACTTCATAAGTTTTTGAAATAAATATCAAGCATTAGATAAATAATTAAAACGCTTATAAATAGCTTTATATATGTATTTTTTATCATCAAGTATAAATATGAAATTATGTATTGTTCTATTTTTGCAGTGACAATAAAAAATATATAATTATATATTGGTTTTATGTTAATAATACGGAAGTGTAAAAAGTTTGTTTAATTTTTTTGTCTGTAAGAACGTTTGCCTTGATAACTTATGAATAATCCTTAGTCATTTGTAATTATGGTAACTAAATTTTATTTTTACATTAAATAAAAAATATGTGGGTTAAGTGTGAATAGTGATGGAGCAATCCATTTTCAATTATTTTATTTGGCTGCATTAAAATTGGTAACAAGGGAGGGATCTTTTCTTCCAAAATAATTTGTTTTATTATTTCCATGTTCTTGTTACTGTTTCAACACTATAGACGGAAGTTATGTAATCGAAGGTCAGTGAGATGTTATCCTTTTTATTTAGGTTTTCTCTATTTTCTTGGAAGTGTTTCCTCAATGTGAATATTTTGCATTCAACTATTAAGAGCCACTCGTGACCAAAACCTGCAGTAAATTACAGTAAATATGGTCGCGGGTGTAAGCGCAATGATGTACCGCGGCAAAGCGCGACGCCGGAGTAGGTACGGTGGGTTTTTAGTCAATAAGAGTCTGACACTCCCTCTTGCCCCACCTAGGAAAAGAGGGGTTATTTGATGATTTTCTCCTTTAAAAAAGAAAAAATACAGGAAATATAGGTATGTACAGTTATTTTTACATCAAACACGGATAATGGTTTTGATAAATCAGAAGTGATGTTAATTTTTGTTGTTGTTGTTGTCAGCTAATATTTGATATCAGCTAATTTTAGATTAATCCAATGCGAAGGCATTACTCATTTGTATTTTACCGTAAGATTAGGTACATAAAAAATGTGGTTACTATAAGATTAATAATGTCGAAATAATACTTAAGAATTATTCCCAACTTGAATAGACAGTCATGTTACTAGTTATCTTGCATATCCAGACATGGTGTTGTTAATTTTTTTATTTATAATACTTATCAATCTGGCAGAGTTGACACGATCTTATTTTTATGTTTGCATTCTTCACCGACGACCCCAATTTATATCTTATCATACACCTACATCAGGTATTGAGATCAGCTAAGGCTGAAGTAAATAACCTTTTTTCTTCTCCATAACCACAGATTTTTTGTTCCAAGTGAACAAGAAAATTTAAAAAAAATTCATTAGTAAGTTTTTGTTTATGGACAAACGTATTGAAAATTCTATTTTGGCTGGTTTGACCGTAATTATAATAGATACTAATAAGACCATTAGAGGACTGACATTTTAAATAAATGGGTTCTTTGGCAGACCTCAGAATTTCTACCATTTCCATTGGTGAATTTAAATAGAAACGAAAAACCTTTTGGTTTGTTTAGCTACTATATATAATATTTTAAATAATATGTTTATCTAACTATCGTACATAATTATTATGTCGTATGATTCACTTGATATTCGAGAGATGAGAATGCACGTGATTGTTAGTTATGACCTTGATGTAAATGTATGTTTATGTGCGACGTTTGTCGGAAAGCGTTGCTTACAGAGAGTGTACGTGCATTAGTTAAGTTTTTTTGCATTTCCTACAATTTACAAATCGGCATCGTGTACCTATTAGAAGTTAGATATGATGTATTTTTTCCTGACTTGTTAGAGAGTTTCATGTTTAAATTTAAACACAGAGCAGATAAGTAAAATATGAGGGTACACATGTATGTATGTATTTAAGGAACATGAAATCTCCTAAAATTCCCTCGAACCTAATTTTTTAATAGGTTATATGGTTTTGTTATATTCTTGTTTGATATTTCCTAGCCCGTATTTCGTCGTCCATTGATTATTATTCTATTGTCAATACATAATCATTATAAGCTGTTAAAGCTTCATATATATGTAGTTATCTATATACAGTAATACCTCGGACTTACGCGATAGGTGGGACTGAGTGCTATCCGCGTAAGTCGAATTCGCGTAAGTCGGGGTACAATTTTGCATATAAAGTCATACAAAGTATGTTTAATTGGGACTGGAGACTAAATAAAACAATAATTTAGGAAATAATTAGTATCTAATTCTAGATAATATGACAAACTATATTAATAGAGTGTATAAACACAATCCGAAGTTATTTTGATGTAGAAGGTTTCATAAATTGTAACAAAGTCGTCTGACGAGTCAATGATTTTTTCTTCTCCCGTAATATCTCCTCGTATCATCCTAGTAATTTTTTTATTCCATTTTTTGTAACAAAAATTCGCTCTTCATTGGAGTCTATGCTTTCTAAAATTGTTAACCCTTTCTCAATCGAACTGAGGGCTTCTGTCAAGTTTCCAACTGTCATTTGATCTTCTAATTGAACTGGATCCAAAGAATCATTATCAATTTCTTCCTCTTGTTCATGCATTGTTATGAGCTCATCAATTGTAAGCTCCTCATTGTGTGATTCCAACAGCTCTTGAACATCATCACTATCCACTTTTAAATTTATTTGTCTACCAAGTTCGACAACGTCTTTGATCACACTGCAAATTTCATCAGGCCCTGGCACTGATTCCACCTGAGTCTCAGTGGAGAAAAAAAATGGACAGAGTTTATTCCAGACGCCATTTAAAGTTTTTTGTGAAATTTCATTCCAAGATTCTCCAATGATTCTTGACCTTGACTGCGCGGCGTTCAAACCAAAAAAAAAGAATATATGTATTAGAAAATTAAATCGCGTAACTCCGAATTCGCGTAAGTCGAGGTAGCGTAAGTCGGGGTATTACTGTAATTGCATTTTTGTCAAGTAACTATACCTTGTTTCTTTGATGGAGCTATTGTGAATCTGTATACTTATTGTACCTACATTTACGATTAGAGTTTATGAGTACGTAGAGTTATCTATTATTTAGTGATATATAACTAGAATATTTTTTTTCGTATTAATAAAAAATCTATCGTCATATTTTTTCGTCCTTTAAGCGTGAAAGAAGAAGAAGAAGTGAGTGAAAGAAGTTAGAGTTTTCTAGGCCAATATGGCTATGACAATGTAAAATGCTTGCATTATCAGTATGTATATCATGAAATTAAAATTTGTTGTTGTACGTATTGTTACCGATCGATTTTCTATTGTCGTTTCCGTTTTCCAAACATTAAGTAAGCAATTTTCATTACCTAAGTGAAATAATTTTCAACAATCAGAAATAAGTTTTACTTTTAAGTGGTATTAAACAACACACTAAACTTCTTTGTCCTATTTAAACGTATTTTTTCCACGTAACAACTGTTTCCTATAGAGACGTTATTTCTATCTTTTGATGAAATACGACATCCCTTTTTAAATTCAATACTGATACTTGTTACTAAAACTTTCGGGCTCATATTATATTTATTACCCTGGTAGAAAAAAGAGGGCTATTAACATTTTAACGTCCATGTGTTTGTCTGGCTGTACTATCGCAGTTCTTAAACGGATGCACCGATTTAAAAGCGGTTTTTCCATTTGAAAGTCAGATTCCTTGCGGTAATTCTTACCTTGTTTGGTCTAGGTGTAGCGAATTAATAGTATCAGCTTTCAACAAAATGATTTAGGACATTGTTGGTCTACGATAAAGTGCCTCATTAAGTGGTTTCGATTAATTCCTCGCGCGTGTCAGTTTAATGGAGTAGGGATTTTTTAAAATTTAATTATAATTTCACTTATCTTACTTCCAATAGGATACCTTGCATGTTTCATTTATATTGTGGTTTATTTAATATTGTCCAGCCTTTACTTTTCTTATGATTTATTTTTTATTTTCTTAATTTTGTTGTTTTCGTCCGATAAAGATCCTCTCGTCAAATACAAATTTGCAATTTCTTATCTGACTTGATATATGAGTTGGAATGGGTTTGCATTTCTCGAATCCTGAACCAGAACGACACTTACAGTTCATTAGATCGTGTGTAAAGAACATCAATCTGATCCGACGAAATAGGAATCAAACTTGTTGCTAGATTACACTACTCCTCGGGCATCTATGCTTTGATTTTAATAGAAAAGAAAAAATATATACTATTAAAGTTTTAATTTAATTTATAACAATATTCCAATGCACTAAGACTTGTTACTGAAAATAAATTAAAATACACTTGCAATATTAGGTTAGGAAACAAAAAATAAAATAATTTTGAATTTATATAAAGAGTATATTTGATATTATATATAACTAGGTACAGTTAGTAATATTGATATAATTAATCTATTAAGTACACACTTTTAAAGACATGACCAAGGACGGAATAAATTTACAATGATCACAATTATATAACGATATACCATACATTTATATATAGTAAAAAGTTATTATTAGCTCACATGAGCAACATCATAAAATTCATTCATTCATAAAGATATATGAAACGTTAAAGTTAATACAAACACTTAAATATAACCCTTATTTTTAGATACATAGAGTTCATTATATTATATGCTTCATTTAAAATACATGTGCGTAAGATTTGTAGGAAAAATTATTATTTAAATTTTTTCGGAGTTTATATGGACTTTGGCTTATTTCAAAATATTTAAACACTGTAACAAAATTCATATATGTATATTGAAGGATTGTTATTTTACTAAAATAAATAGAGACTAGTAAATTCTAAAACTAAAGCAATAATAAAGGAAGTCACAGGTGTATTGTAAATAATTTACACTCATATATTAATTATCTACTGTGTATGTATATTCAAATATGAAATATATTATTTTCAGCGAAATGCGTTTTAATTATTTAATAGTAGAAGTAGATATACTTACTATTTATTATTGAAAACCAATTTTTTTTTCCAGGTACAATAGGAATAATTCAGATTTAGTTATTTTGTTACGTAACATGGTTATACACAAGTATGTACCATTTTTGTGAGTCCTTTACCTTACTTTGTGCTAAACATGTGATTAAATATATGTATATATTTTTGTGTAATAACTTACAATATTTAGATTATTTAATTTAAGAATTCTTTCTTTTATTATGGTATTTATCTTACATAGCTGTTACACTTAATAAAATAATTGAATAAAAAAATATTTATCAAAGAAAAAATAAATGACCATATTCTCTTATTTTGTAAAATTAGTAGCAGTTTTTAACATTGTGCCACAAAGTAAGTAGTACATGAAAATAAATATATAAAAAATATCCACAATATCTAGAAGTAAAAAAAGTAAACCAGTATATAAAATTGTAAATAGTTATTGCAGAAATAATTTCGCTGGGTATGTGGAAATATGTATTTATGAAAATTAATGGTAGGTATATTAGTTTGTATATATGCTTAAATAATTATTCTTACGCCTATAAATAAAATAGCACATCATTTTTAAATGGCCACATTTGACACAGATCTCTTTAAATACTAAAATTTTTAAATAATTAAATACGTTTTACATGTAATTTCAATGGTCCCAAAATATATTTTTCACTCCATATATAGTATATACACAAATAATTTCTAATCAAACAAAAAATTCTTCTAATAATACACTGTGGACGGATTTGTTGCAGTATTGAATTGGTCAATATATTGAAATACTTTGATGAGGTAAAGTAAAGTACTTAGCTATGCCAGCCGGAGGTTTTGTTTTAAGGTGCTCTTCTATAAACTGACAAGGGCATACATACTTTTCGCCGTGACGTCCAGGTACAGCGAAACTGAGATTCAATTTGTTTCTTAAAGCGTACATACCCCAGCGAGCTGCGTATCTTAAATATAGAAGTGCACCTCTTTCCTGTTGAAGAAAGATCAATTAAACACATGCATACAACAAGATGATATTTTAACAAATATTAGGACTTGCCAAACATAAAGCGGTTTGGTCAGTCCAGACCGCGTCGCCTAAGCCAGTCGTTGCAGAGTGGGCAACAGGCCCTAGTATCTTTGGGCTCTTTATTCCGCAATATTTCCTCGCTATATTGACAAGGGCATAGAGCCTGTGTTAAATGCCGTGGAGCCGCAGGGTTGCCACCTTCTTCGTCCAACGTCCAATCAAGCCGACGACGTAAGTAGTCTTTTCCCCACCGTTGAAGGTACCGCAGGAAAATTTGCTCTGCCATATCCTGCACATTTATGCTTTTCTTACCCGATAAATTACAAAACACCTTCTTAAAAAGTTGTTAAATAATGACGTGAATGTTGTAATTATTTGTTATTCTGCTATAAAAAAGATCTATTTGCAATTATGAAAAGTTTAGGAAAGAAGAGGAAACATGGAAAAATCATCAGTTATACAAAAAGATATCAATTAAGCAATATGTACAGTTTTATCAAACAATATGAAGACTTGTATACTTTAAGCATAAAAAAAATCAGTTAAATAAATTGTGTATTAAGCAACTTATGTTTACTAAAAGTATATACCTGCATGAAAAGTTATACTAAATATTTGAATGCAATTAACAATAAACATGCACATGCAAGTAACTTAGTTACAAAAAAACACCTACATAAAATATATAGATGTAAATTAAATATATAAATTTATATGAAAATGTTGGGAAGTGAAAGCATAGTAATGTTAGGGATATGGCAAACAAAAAAATGCGGTACACGACTTTCACTCATATAACTTATGTTTATTAACAGCACAGTAGCTGTTACATGTAAACACTAGTACACATATTTTCATAACTACATAACATTCCACAATACCTACTGTAACTATGTTACTATACTTACCATGTGCTATACACATATTTTACATGTTTATTGGAAATATGTGAATACATTAAGTTTATATATAAAAACAAATTAGATACTATAAGAAACACATAATATATACAACCCTTTAAATTATTAAACTCTAAAAATAATAAAAATGAATATTTACCTGTTTTCTTGATAATCTTGTTGCATTATTCCCTTGTATAACAATATCATTAGTTGATATATCGAGTCTCTGTTCCCAACCCTGCATTATTGTTTTACCCTCTTCACTTTCAATAAATTGCTGTAAATGTGCTATACAAGGTCCAGAGTCAAAGTAAATGTAGCATAGATTTACTTTGTGACATGATAACTTTCCCCTATCATCCAATGCTAGCAGCAGTTTATGTTTGTTTAATAGTTTGTTAACACTCGCTAAACACTGTTCAAGTCCTTTAGAGAGTTTGAGTTTTATCCACATACACAAGAATATTGCTAAAGCATTTAACACCAACCACAAAACTCCAAGTGATAATAATAAAAGTCCTGTTAAGCCAGAGAATAGAAGTGTAAGAAGAACAAGGAAGGCAATAGTTATCCAGCAGACTAAAACTCTTTTGTAACAAATGTTGTATAATGTAAAGCGAGCATCATTTACAAGAAGTTCCATAGCATGGACATATTCTTCAACTGTAAGCTAAAAAACAGAATGAAAGTTAGTTTCCTTATGTTTTCTTAAAGCAAAATTTTACACTATAATTCAATAATGAAGCTACCTACAGTTAATCCTTGCGCCATCAATTCTTCTGGGACTAGCTCTGGACGAAATCGTGCGGCCGTTATCCATGGCCATTTAGTGTTTGTAGGTAACAAGGTCACAATTATGTCACCATTTTCTAAGAAATTAATAAAATTTGTATAGAAAATGCAAACATTTTATTATAAAAATTCTCACACAAGTTTAAGACACTTACTAAATCCATGGCGTACATTAATATATTCCACATTCTTCATCACAGAACTTTGAGACACAGGTTCGACAGATTTTTCGCGTTCCAAATTTACGTGTACGGACTCTGTTTTCAAAACAGCAGGTACTTCAGACCTATGTAAAGTAGTACCTGATTTTGGACTTTCATTTAGAGGCTGTGGTTCTATATGTAATACACTTGTTTGAGGAGTCTCATCATCGAACTTGACCCAACTTTTCCTTGATTTATCATTATTCACATTTCCATTTGCTTCAGCAATTTCAGATGATTTATCTCCCAGATCACTCATTTTATTGCCTTATTTTAAAAGTAAAAGCTTATTTATCTTAAAAAACTAATCCAATAAAATAATACTAGAATGATATGTACACAAACTTTACGTTTCACTTTCGTCCGCTAAGTGTCACAAATGACAGTCGGCAAGAGACAATCAACGAACACTGTCTCAAGACTGATATAGCCACTTAAAAAAGTATATATCTCGTCTGTTTTAGAAACAGACTATAGATTAAATCCACGTACATTTTATAGAAATGACGTAGACAAATAAATAATAAATATTTATAAGTGTAGAGTATGTACTCAAGTAACAACAGACCTTAAACTATTGCTAGTTCGCCTCTTGTATGAAAGCAGTGAGTAGGGGGAGGAAGCTGCGACCTTTTAATATTTTAACGCAAAAGAAACATTTGACGTAAAATAAATCTCCGAATTATCAAACTAAAATCTGACTCAATCAATGTAATTAGTCAATAATTATTATATTTTTTTTAAATTGTTGTTTTTCGAAGATAAAAAGAAATTTTAAGGTTTAAAAATATACGTTGCTACGCTGTTATCAGCTATACAAATGAAAAATAGTTTAGTCAAAAGATGTTGAATATAAAAAGCAAAGATATTGTTAATTTACTTTATAAAAGAAAAATACGTGGATTTAACGTGCGAGTGTCCATCGTGGTCCATCGCGGACCCGGCAATATAGGACAATATAGGATTATAAAAATACGAAATAGTTTTAAATAAAAGAATATACATATTTAAATACAAATTATGTATGTTCAAAAAAGAATTTCAAATACATATTTAATACCATATTATCTAGTTTATCGATCTAAATACTGGTTCAAATATGTCATCTCTCATATTCCACTTATAGGATAACTTATCTACTAATTAAATGAAAAATCGCTCCCCAGATGAAGGATTCGGTAAGCCAGTTCATATAAATCATCATTTTAAATCTTAGAATGAAAACTGAGAAAAATAAATTAAAAATCAGACAAAACTATTTTGTATTTAATTATGTAAGTGGCAACCGGAGTTTCCATGACAACTACGAAACTTACTTCTATGTATAAAATAATGATAATAAAAATTACATATTAAACTTAATCTTCACCAAAGACTACATGTTTGCTAAATGTTAGGATAGCAATAACATTCCATAGCTTCTGTGATTTCAGGAATCTTCTGGTTCACACGGTTTGGTGTTCGTTTCGCGGAGTCAGAAGCGTTACTCGTTATATGATATCTATAGGAACATAGTTGCCCCGGCGATGCTAATTTAATTTTTAACATGTTACGCGTACGTAACAATTTAACAAATAACTAAATATTAAAAAAAATACTAATAATAATAAAAAAGTACTAAATGATCTTGGAAAAAAGGTATCTTATACTGTGTAATGGTATCTGTGTTTCAAATATATGTACATATATTTGAAATAGTTATCATAACGGAGCTTTGTTATTTTCATATTTTTTCAAATACTAAGTGATACTAGGCAGACGAGATGAATCCGATAGTATCTGATAATCTTAGTTTCACTTAAATTAGTACGAGCAAAAAATCTAAGATGTCATCATGTACGTATTAAAATTTAAAAAATGTTCATACTCAATGAAGTTTTTTTATTTGTTTTAATAATGTCAGATCCATCTTAGGATATGGACATTTTAAAATTAAGTCAAGCTGGCCAAAACTATTTTACCATGAACAATTGAGTTATATTGACATGTTTGCCTAGCTCGTGAATAAATAAAATTGTTTTGCTTGTTTAAAATGCTATCAATTACAACACAAATGCATTTTTTGAAAATTTTTGACAATCTGTAGTAGAATGGCTGAACCAATTTCGATGAGAATTTCAGTCGCAGCTAGGTAAAATATGTAGGTAAGTTTCTTAAATTTCCATAAGTAAAAATTTTAACACCACGGTAACAATAACTTGTTTTATTCTTTTGTCACTCTAGTGTGATAGTTAATTAATATAATAATGAAATCATATTGTAAATCTTGTTTCACACAAATTCGGTAATGAAATAATCATAGATACAATAAAGGTATTGAAGGCTATACACTATCACTGAACAGAAAACTGTATGTAGTGGTGATGAATATATAATAAATTATTATATACTTATTTATACATAGAGTGAGAGAACGACAGCATGTTAGTATCTCAACAACAGCCTCTTCAACCTTTTCTCGACCAAATTATAATTCGATGGAAATACAGGCGCACTTAAACTACTTCAATCCTTTGCTATGAGCACGAGCAAGGAGTGTAGCACTTCGTCCGGATGAACAAGAGGTCAAGAACGAAAATATTGAGGCCCCCCGTAGATCTGGTCGTCTGATGATAGAAAGGGGATGCAGGAAATAAAGCGTGTAATTATATTCACACTCTCCAGATTGTTTCCTGTAGATTGTAGAATACTTAGGGGCTGGCTATTTATTTTCTTGTACTCTACGCTGACTAGATTTGATTTAACCAAGTTAAACTTTTAAAAAAAAACCATTTTGCACGTCTGTCCACTGAGTATAAGCAAGCGAGGTGGCATTTGGCAACGCCTGCATGGATATGAAATGATATAGTAATACAAATAAATACATATAATCGAAATGGATTTATTATTTTAAAATATATCCCTCACTGATTCAATACTTTTTTTGAGTGTTACAACTTACCCTTTTTTTTTTTTTTTTTTTTTTTTTTTTTTTTTTTTTTTTTTTTTTTTTTTTTTTTTTTTTTTTTTTGTGCGCACTGGGAAAAAATGCTTTACGCATCCCCTCTCCGTTGAAGACGGAGAGGGGTATGTGGGACTCCCCGGGAAAAGGATTCCCGGTATACCCACTAAAACAACCCAGTGGCGCTCCGACCTCGCCTGACTGGCAGGGGGCTGGGAATCCTGTTTGCGTCCAGCCCCCTGCTGGCGATTGCCCACCTTCTGGCGGACCCCTCACGCCCCCCCAGGTGGGGGGGGTTACAACTTACCCTGGAAAATCCAGAAAGGCTATCGATTTTAATAAAAATTACGGCAAATATTTTTGATATATTTCTTACATGTTCTAGTCAATTTGGCTATAAATACTGTCACAAATAAAAAAAAAACAATAATAGTTAGGATTTTTTCTATGTATTTTTATTCAGTAGTGCTTATATTGTGTGCGAATACTTACATTTTCGAGGCAATACATTGTGAAATATTTTGTGCAAGTTCTAGTTACCACAGCAAGCTGTGAAATTGAACGGGATAGCATTTATAGCTCTTTTATAATTACCTGCATTAACTATTATGTCATCAATAATGTTTGACAATTGTTGACAAGCTGTGGTTTTATCCTTAAAAGGTCCTTGCCAGACAATTTAAGATGTATTCAATATTCATTATTAGTTCGCTAGGTTTAGTAGGTACCTATCTATTTCTGTATTAATTTTACAAAATGAAAAATCTATTCATAAGGAAAGAACCCTTATAATCATTAAGTTAAGTAACGTTTGACGCAGTCTCCCTTTTCATTAATAGCTGAATTGAGAGTTGCACAAAAACGAGCTTCTGCGTGCTTTGAAAGACCCTTGATGTTATCAATCATCTCCGGTAGTGGCACCAATCTTATGCTCACGTAAGTAGATCTAGCGACAATCTAAAAGTTTTAACACCCAGTACACTACACCTCTACACGGAATAACTAAGTTACTTATTCTTACTTTTTTATTATAATAATAGTGACTACAGAACTACATATTGTACGCCACTATCCTCTCGTCTGCTCGTAATCACGGTTGCTGTACGTTCCTAAAGTAATACAAAAGTCGGAAAAATGTTAAAATAAAATAATATAATCTCGTAGTCATATTCGAAAACCTTGTTTCATTTTAGGTGTTCACTGTTTTTCTTTTCTGAACATAAGTTTTACGTTTGAATATTTAAATTTGAAGTTAACGGACAAACATATTAAGTAGAATAACTCAATGAAGGTCATCGGCCTAAATACAAGTCTATAACTTTTAGAATTTAAAATAGTCATAATTTCATATTCGTACAAAATCATATTTAAACCTATGATAAATCTTGTAAGTTATTTGTTACTTGACCAAAAATAAAAACGACACCAAAACCAAAAAATAAACGGCTCAACGGATATATATATTTTTAAAATCAGAAGATCTATAATCTGCGTTATACATCCAACTTAAAGAAAAAAGTATTAAAACATATATGTAGATATTAAATTTGTTTAAAAACTATATATATAATTATACATAAAGATGTCGCTTTAAGTAATGTATTTAAGGCCATTTATACATCTTTAAATTTTGGCGGTTTGATTTATTTATTGCTTTATAGATAGACTTTCCATGTATAGCTCTACCTGACCGAAATGTCGTTTGACCGGTTTTCTTGCTTACACTTGTGGCCTGTATAGTCCGCACTCCGCAAAATCACTCCCACAAGCCGGTTCGTCCGCTCATACAGTTTTAAAATAAATATTTTTTACTTTACGCGATACAATAACATTGTTTATTTTTTCTTGATAACGGAATAAAAAAGTGAATATAAAATACAATACGCAATTATATGGTGTGTAAAAAAGTGGGTTTGTTTACTCGAGTGTTTAATATATTATATCTAGTGATTATAATTTAACCGTAATAAAACTTATACGACTAACATAATTATGATGCACTATAGACCTACTAGTTTGGAATCTTTGCCGAAGCAATTTGTTTCAGCAATGAGAACCCTTTTTGATATCATGGATGATAAACAAACTGGTTATGTTAAATTAACAGATATTGAAAATCGATGGCGCGATGACCGTACTAAGGGTCTTCCTAGAGGTGTTATTGAAAGTCTACAGAAGGTAGCATCTCATGATGGCTTACTAACATTTGAAAGTTTTTGCACAGGTTTAAAAATATGCCTATTACAAAATCATGCACAAAACGCAAAGGTTAACGCTATCAATGCGGATGTTGACAATTCTGTTATTCGCAATCAAATATCTCAGATGAGCCGACCACCTTCGGCACCTTTAATCGACATAGATAATGATAATGACGGAGATACGAACTGGAATTTAATGAGAGTTCCTACGAATTCCAATCAACGTAGAACAAACAGTATGCCCCAATTAATAGAAGACAAAGATTATTTGAATAAAGAAAAGGATCCCATACCAAAATTGCTTCAAAATGACAAAGAAAAATCTGTTTCTAAGCCAAATGCGTCTCAGGGTCTTAGTGTTTATGGACCTCCGAAGCCTCCTCGATTGGAAAAAAACGCGAGTGATAGGAAAGATGTTTCCAGAATAGTTTACAAAACAGATGATATTTTCTTAGAGAGTAATAATATGGGCAATAGTAAGTTGGACTTCCACGACTGTATGTCTCAGTCATTATTAGACGGACAAGGTCGGGGTCTGGGTGATGGTCGTTCAGCTATTGGAACTCAGACAACTTTACGAAAAGCGTCACGGCGAAGGGAGCCGCGTCGCCACACTTTACACAACGGTGTTGATTATAATCTTATAAAAAGAATGAAACAAATTGAACAAGAAAAAGATGTCTTATTGCAAGGTCTCAGTGCAGTTGAAGAAGCTAGAGAGTGGTATCTAAAACAACTAGCCGAAGTTCAAGACAAAATGCGATATGCAGGCAGGATGGGGGCTTACATTGTAAGTCTACCTTTCATATAAGCTTATTACTTAATGAACCACAGTTTTTAAAAATAAATTTCTGATTTATCATGACCGCTTTTTAATAATAATTACTTTTTTAACGCATTTCTCGCATCGTTTTATTCACTCTTTTCTATAGTTTCAAAAAAATTTCTTTATTTTCATATAAAACTAAGTAATGGCTCATAAGTTTATTTTGATTTTCATGACTTTGAGTAAAATAAAAAAAATATTTCCAGGAACCTTGGAATGAAGCCCACCAAGAACGAATTGAACTGTTAAAGGCAAGAGTATTGGAATTAAACCGCCAGCTAGGTGCTTTAGCAGCAGGATGGCGTCATGGGCCTTTATCCCTACACATGAATCTCGCCCTACCAACAACAATGAACACAATGACACCTGCACCAAATAATGCAAATGTTCTACGATCTCAAAATAGGATGCTAGCAGAGGTTCACAATTTATTTTATCCACATTATAATAATATTGTATAATATGTATATACATACATAGAATTAATGGTTTGAATAACAACACTGGCCTTAAATTATTTTAGATACATAATATTGACATCTACAGAAAAATTAACTAAAATCACATTAATAAAAGAACACTATATAATTATACATAATAATTTGTTTTCTGTTTCAGGAGGTCAATCGCAAAAATGAAAGAATAACTGTTTTGGAGAGAGAAAAATCAGCCTTAATAAGAGAATTATTGCTTCAACGTAACAGAACAAAACTTATGGAGAGTTTTTCATAGAGGAATTAAATCATTAGGGATGCTGTGCCATACTATATAATATATTAAAAATAACCATTAATGCATTATTTTAACATTACATATATCATTTGTAAGTTAAAGTCATGTGATGGCAGAATTTATGTAATATGTTTAATATATATGTATATACAAATAAAATATCAAATATGACTACAACTATGTTTTATTACGACAAATTGAACTTATAATTCTTCAATTTACATTAGTATTGTAAAGACTGTAATCATACTCCCTGAAAGGCACATCATATGTTATATATCCTTGATCCCAAGCTCGTTCAATGGCAACCAATAGCTCTTTATGTTTTTTCTGACAGAGACCAGTTTTAGAAGGCTCTAGGATCTGAAATAAATTAATACTTTATAGTAAAAGAAGATTGGCATAGACAAGGAACCAAAATTTTAAAATAATATAGAAGTGAAACTGCGACAAGTGTGATATAATACTTTAATATCACACTTTCTTTGAAGAATGTTTGATATTCTACATTCTTTCATTGAATATAGATTTTTATGGCTGTATAACAGTACTGTTAATAACACAATAGTAAACATTTATAAATAATAAATAAGGTTTTACCTGTCCAGTGTACTCTGATATAAACTGTTCTAGAAGGGATACATTTTTTGGATCAAGTATTAAGTACTCATCGCGGCAAACTGGGCACGGGTTCCCTGTCGATATTATACCATTACGAATACATGTTCGTCTTGTCTTTCTGGGTGCAAATCCTCCTTTGTGATTGCGTCTATATAAAAACCATACTGGTTTGTCTCCATAAGTTGTTTTATATGCGTCACTTTGCAAATATCTAATACTAGTTTCTAGAGGAATAATTTTTGTTCGGTCTTTTGTAGGATCTATTGGTTTCTGTTGTTCCTCGCTTTCATCGGGTTGATCAGAATAGTAACGTACTGCAATTCTTATATCTGATAAAACTGCTCTATTAATAACTGAACGAATATTATGGAAGAGAGACATTATAAAGGTTTATATTATTAGGTTATTTAGGGGAAAATCATGGATATGACACAAATAAGAAATTAAGTTCGATGTATTGACTTCTAAACAAATCTGTCAAGTGTAGTTGTCAATATAACTAAAGATTAAAATAAAAATACAAATAGATATTTTATGCTTTATGAAATTATTTATATTGTTATATTTATTGAGGTAAAGGATAATTATTATTAAATTTTATTACATAAATTTAAAAAATAATATCTAATATAATTATCTTTTTTACCTACAGCTTAAAAGTTTTGTAATTGTCATGTGTATCCGCTGTCGCTGGATTCAAATGTTACTGTTTTTAACCGTCTCGATTTTGTTTACGTACTAATCTACAAAAGAATATTGTATTTTCTTCGATTCGTCTATAATTTGTTTTATAAGATTTTCGATTGTCTTTACTATTAAGGTTTTAGGTCTATTATTTATAACTGTAACCAAGTGTACTTTAATTAATCTTAAATATAAATTAAGATTACATCGGCGTAATTTATTTTTCATTAATTTATTTATAATAAAAAAGTTTTAATTTCATCATGTCGGATTCTACAGCTGACGGGATACTGGTACTGTAAGTATAATAGTATAGTTTTAAAAATATATTTTTTTGCTTTATTTCATTATATGGTTTTTGTTTTTAAAGTTGCTCTCTTTTTGAGTCGGCCTCCAACCGAAATTATTGACGAAAAAAGGATTCTTTGATTGTATATTTCAAATTTGTCTTCTTACCCACAAAATTTCAATACAAAATGAATTTATCTCAGTTTTTTTAGTACAAGTTTTGCAGTATATTCCAAAAAACTAATCATCCAGTTATCATCTGGCTACTGCCAAAAAATTTAGTAGTATGTGGCTAATAAATTGTTTGGGACTTGAAGTAGTTAAATTGGTTCATATACTTGTTATAGTTATTCATCAGTCACAGTTAGTATCTCTAATGATAGGTACCCTAATCAAGTTTGTATTTCTGATGTGTTGTTCATTTTGTTAATGGTACAGAGAAATACTTAGTGATGAGATATAAAATGAAGCTAACTAACAAAAATATTCACTTCAATGTTATTGATATCTTGCGGTCAGTTTTGATTAAAAATATGACCATTGTTTTTTGTTTGTGGGAAACATAATAAACTTGTCTTTTCTGTTCCCCTTATCAAGAAATATATAATTAATTTTGTACATTTAAATAAAAACTCATCTTGAAACTGAAAATCTTTATTGTTAGCTTACAAAAGAAGTGTGTAATTGTTTTTGAGCTAAAATGCACTAAAATACCTAGAAAACAACATAATTTTAGTAAATTTATCTCTTACTGTTGAGTTGCTTCTAAAACCATACTTATAAATTTGTTATGATTGCATATCCTTAAGAACTTCTTATGACATAACATAACTTATACTTCCCTTACAATTAGATAGAACCGATTAAATTCAAGATGACAAACTTTGGTTTAAAATTTAACATCAAGTTTATCAGATCTATGAATATAATTTTTGTAATTGATTTATAAAATTAAAATAAAAATAGTTAGACAGATAATCCTTAAACTCACAGAGGACTAAAAAAAGATGGTTAGAATTTTGAAACATATCATAAGTAATGGTCAAAAGTGAATAAAAAAATTATTATAGATATAGACATAGAGTAAACTATTTCAAATTTAACTTGATTATTCATTAAACCTAACTCTTCTAGGTTCATTTATACTTATCGTGTCATGTACTTTTAATTGATTTGAATAATATATCTATGTTGGAAAGTCCTCACTGAAATTAATTAATAATTATATGATTAATAATTATATTGAAAATGTTTATTTTAGATACAGTAGTGTAATTAATAAACTATATTTGATTAAAATAATTTATTAGCAATAGGTGCATTCAGCTCTTAAGTAGTATAATATTTTAATAGAATTTTGATTAGATTTTAAGTTATTAAATAATATAACTAGGTTCTGCATATTTATATAAAAATATAAGATGCTCTGCTGAATTTATTTTAAAGTTCGCCCAAACTGTCGTATGTAAGATACATGCGTAACGAACAGCATCCGTCTGCACCCATTGCTATTGTGTCACCCGAAATATAGTTATCTCTTTTTATCCCCGACGTTATGAATGAGTCAAAATGCGGAGACGAACGAGTGTTCCCGACACTGAGACGAACTACGCGCAGTTGCCCGTTTGGCCTATTTCAGTAGTCCCTTGTTTCCGTCAAAACATTCACAATCTTCGGATCGTTTACTAACTAAAATATTGTTTACGATAAAAACGGATGCAGTGATTGTTTAGAAAATATGAAATACATTTACAATATTTTATAATCAGTTCCCATTAACGTTTTTATGAGGGTACAAATATTGTGTTATTAATAGACATTGAGTGCAAAGTGAAATCGGTCGTGGTCTTTTTGTGATCTTGTTGTGATGGTATTTTTGTGTCATATTACTTGTGTGTGTACAACTTGAAAAATATAATGGCAACGTTACCTCGTATGAATGCATCTAAACATGGCTCAAATGGTATCCCATCACCCTTTAGGTAAATAGAATATTTTAAACATGATAAGCAATAAAAGTTAAATATAAACAATTTACAGCATAGCGTTTACGATAAGGACGTTGACGATGTTCTCACTTTTATTGAAAGACCATTACTACATTATGATTTTTTGCAATATTAAAATCGTTAATAAGATGTTCATAATTTACTGTTATTTGTTAAATAAGTTTCAACATAAATTTAATGATTTTATCTTCTATATATACATAATCTTTGAGGGTATTTGCAAAGAATTGTACGATTTTTGGGCCAAATGATAATAGTATAAATATTTTCCATTTTCATATCACAATTTTTTTGCCTAGAGTATTGAAAGTATCTTACATGATATAATATTATAGATACTTGTGCACTTTAACCTCGTATGATAAATATAAATAAATATAAAGAGAGCGATATCTTTCACGAATATTATGTTAAATGTGTCCGGAACATGGTTGTGATTTTTTATGTTCTAACATATGCCTAGATGTTTTGGCGGTTCATCTAAACAAACAAAAAGACGAACGATTAAGTAAAATTGATTTTGTTCGGGTTCCGTCTATTTATATTATTGATAGAGAATGTAGGTAATTATGTTAATTATAGTTTTGTTAATTAATTAATAAAATTTATTGTTTTGTGATAAAATATAAATATATTAATCAATATGTACAAAGATATAATTGCCTAGATGTTTTCTCAACCAAATTCTTTTAGGAGATTTCGCTTCTCAAAAGCACTATGCACGCATTGGTACAGTTTCTGTTGTACCTGCGATGTAAGCTTGTGCTGAACAAGCTCTAAACGCCCATACAATAAATAGAAATCACTCTCCATACTAAATGACTAATCATACTATAGGGTTACCATATCTTCTTCTTTTTCTTGCCCTGGTCCCACTTTATGTAGGGTGGGCACAACATGTTCTTCGCTTCCAGTCTCGCCTATCAGCCGTCATCTCATCGGGTACCCCTTTCTTAGCCATGTCATCCTTCACGCAATCCATCCATCTTTTCTTAGGTCTACCTCGACCCACATATGATGTGTTGATCACGGTTGCTGAAAAGTATTCGATACTTCGGGAGTATGTAGTTGTTTACAAAAATAATGTCGTGACTCGCGTAGTATATTCGAAAAATATTCGTTACATTTAAATGATAAAATTCATTAAAAACATTTACAAGGACATATTATTTACATTTGTATATTTATTGCATTTAACATTCTTGACTCGACCTTATTAGAGGCCACTAGGATACCTTAATATGATGATAGAGGGTTACGTTACATAGCTTAGTGACCCTATTGTCTTTGACACTAAATTTAAGCATTGGGTTTTTAAAAAAGACTGTGATCAAAGATCAGCGTATTAGTAAAAGAATGTACGAATATCAACCAACACGTCCAAGAAAAGTTATAAGCTTCATGGCATAAGTTTCACACGTCATAGCCCTAATATGGCATAGTTGGTAACAAAATAAAAATAAATTTAGGCTAAAAATTATAGAAGATATTTTTGAGTAAAACATAATATTTGTAAAAGGAGAGTTAAATTAATCTGAATAAACAAGTATCAAACAATTAAGCAGTCGCAAACCTTAAACTTTTACTAGTTGTAAATTTTTATAGGTAGATGTGGCTCGGTTCCTAATTAATAAATTAAGCTTTATAATATTTAAATGTGTAATGATCATGTTATGACGCTCATGAAGTATGATGTTCACACTTTATTTAATCACTGTTAGGGAAGTTCCAGTCTTGTCTATTCATCTTGAACAAGTTTAATTAGAGTAAGGCTACAGTTACACAGGGTTATTTCAAGCACGAAAGCATACTTTTATTTGAGTACGTGATGTTTACTAACATGTGTGTCCAAGTGTTGCTGAAAATAAGCATGCTTATTTATATAAAAGACGCTCAAATTTGCTAATTTTTATCGCAACAGTGAGTGCTTGTAGAATCTTCGCATCCCACAATATAAAAGTATTATTGAAAGAAATAATGCCTACCAAGATCTACTAACAAATATGGAAGATCAATCCTTGAATGTTAAAAAAAATAAAATTAAATAAAAAAATTAAGGTCTGCGTACCACATTGAGCAAAAGCATTCTTTAAAAAAGCATGTGTAAGTACACATTTGCTTTAAGTATTGAGTATTCTTATTTAAAGCATGTGTATTGTGTAACAGTAGCCTACTGATAAATCATTTGCTATTAGGCTTTTATTATTAGTTTGTAAATTACCAAACATATAAAAACAAAACAAAAACATGCTTTTCCTGTCATGCCTTTATGGCATAAGTATTATATCCTATCTAATACTTTCGCGAGTATTCATTGAAATAAAACTAATATTTTGCGGATTTACTACGCACTATTTTAACTACATACTCCCGAGGTTTCGGTTGCTGAAAAGTATTTATTTTAATATACATTTTATTTCAATATACATCGTCTCTACTTAATTATGTTAATGCTTTTTCAGTACCAGTCCACGTAAATTGCAAGAAATGACTCTTCCCGCTGGTGATGGACATGGTACGTATTTCATTTATGAATATATTACTTCAGTGTATACCAAAAGCAAAAAAACACCTATTGTTCCCCCAGTTTACTGTTTTTGTCATAAATTGCCATAAAGATAACAATTTCAAGTTTAAATCTTAATCACAGATGTGACTACAGCCAGCGGCGTGAGCATGAAACAATATGAAGAACAACTGAACGGTTTGAGAAAAGAAAACTTTCATCTGAAACTACGAATTTATTTTTTAGAAGAGAAACTAGGTAGTGGGGCACCACCGGCGGTACAGGTACAATTATTATTTTTTTGAAATATATAAATTTCAATTAGCATTTTATAATTATTATACGTAATTAGTCGCTTGACTTCTTTTTCAAAAATATTCCTTATTATTAATTCAGTTTCTTCGATAATTTTATACAAAATAATATACTAGTTGAGAGCAATCTGAAGTCCATAATAATTTCATTGAATTGTCATACAAATTAAATTTAGGCGATTAAGTCATTATTAATTTTGCTAAAATATATATGGGCTTTCATTAGTTTTATAATGTATATCTATGTTTGTTTATTTCCAGGGTCTTTTAGAACATAATGTTCGTCTGCAAGTCGAAGTTGAGGAATTGAGAAGGCAATTAAGCGATAAACAGGAATTATTAGCCGCTGCTGCTGAAGCTATAGACGTCTTGGAAAATCAGGTTTCAAATATTTCTGTTATATATTTGTATAATGGATTATTTAATAGCAACTTATAAAAATAATTGTCATATAGGGTTCGATTTCAACGGAAGCTGCTGAAGTATCGATCAATAACAGTGTCACAGAACGAAAAGATGTAAAGGATCCGGCAAAAGTAAGTATTTGATTGTATATTTTTTATAAATTACCTTTCACGTTTTTTATTACGAATCTCATATATTTGAAACATATATAGTTAATAGTTGTATATTGCTTGATATAAAGCTATACTTGTTTTTAATGCGATAAAATTTGTTCAACAATAAATATTAAACTACACTTTCTACAAACAATAAATAAAAGAAGTAATCACACTACATTTAAGTTTCTGTCCGGACGTAATATAAAAGTAGACTCATTCCTTTTATTTGTTACAAGATAGTGCAATAATGTGATATTTTTTTTTCCATTTTTAAAGGAAACAGAAAACCAAGTAAACGTAGTAGATGAGGTTTACCAGTCGGAATCAGCTGGGTTAGTATATACTTAGTATGTTACGTAAATTTTTTTATAAATATTTCATTAAATATTAACGATTTTTTTCTTTTTTGGCAGAGATTACTTGGCGGTAACAGCCAATAACGAAGAAATTGTAAGTTTTGATTCTTTTTCATGAAATTGCATTTGCTGTGATATTTTAATATTTTTTAACCTCTCACAGGATCAAATAACAAAACTAAAAAGAGAAAAGGCTAAAGCTGTAGCAATTATAAAGGGATTTGCGAAAAAATTGAAACAGCAGGACAGAGAAATAAAGAGATTGAAACTGGTAAGATCCATTTTGAATTAGTTTTCGAAAATTGTCTTTCATATATGATATATAAAAGACTTTTATTTTCCGAATGATTTTAAAATCTTATTTGTATAATATAGGACAAAGAGTTATCATACGCCCAGGTCAGTGACTCACAACTTGAAAAATACGAAGAAATTTTGAAATGTAAGGATGAACATATCAAGGACTTAGAAAGCAAAGTACGGCAACTACAAAATAATGTTGATAACATGCAAAGCAGCGACGATTCAGGGTATATTTTCAACTTAATTGTGTGTAATTTGAACTAAAAAATAAATTTTATACTCACTTATATAATAATTTCAGAAATCTACAGCAACTGCTTACGAAGAGACTACAGGGTTTAACGTACTTCCTAGATAAGTTATTGTCGCATAAGTAAGTAAAATACTTTTGGTATAACCAACCACACTTGTTGATATAATTTCAAAAAATTTTATGTATTGGTGTTTGTTACATTGAACATTTTTGTTCCAGATGTGTTTTAGGAGAAGAAAAGAAAAAACTAGCCGAAAGTATTTTAGAACAAAGTTTAGCACTACCGGTTGGGTTACAGTTGGACGAGTCGATAGCACCAAATGAACTAACAATGGACGAAAGTAATCTGGATATATCGCAGTCCATGAGGTTAGAAGACCTGACTATGATGTTCGGACATCATTTGATGTGCAGCGACGATAATCGTTACTCTCTCAAGAAAGCATTAAGGAATATTCCTCAAGCAGATGCTATATCGGAATCCGAATGCTGGTCAGAGCCGGATAGAAACGTGTCGTTGGCTCGCGTCGGTCTTTGCGATACAGGAGTCGCTGCCAGGGAGTCTGTCTCAGAAGTCGCCAGATGTCGCGCGCGGCGATCACGGTTATCTCAAGGGTCACGTTCAGATGAGAATAAATCTTACGATCCAACTTTACAAGAGCAGATGGAATCAGTGTCAAGACGGAATCAAGTACTCGAAGAGGAGAAAATGGATTTGACTGAAAAACTTGAGATAGCTCTGAAGCAAATTAAAAGTAACTTAGACGAGAAAGAAGAATTGAAGGCTACTATCATCGCTGAAAGAGACAACGCAAATGAAGCAACTAAGAATATGGAATTAATGAAAAATACTATCGCATCTTTAGAAGTCCGAATCAAAGAAAATGAGCAACAACTTAATTACAATCTTCAACTTATAGAAAGGTTGCGTACGGAAAAAATTGAGATGGAGTCTACATTTATGGAAACGGAACGTTCACTTCGAAGAGCAGCTGATGAAGCGACAGTTCAAGCGTCGCAAGCGGCCTTGGAACGAGCTCGCTTACAACATGACAGGTTGAGAATTGAAAGAGAATTAGAAGAAACTAGAGATAAACTAAACGCAGCGCTGGAAGCTAATGCACAATTAGAAATTGAAGTCACTCGCAAACTGGCCTTCGAGGCTGATAATAAAATTAATGAACTTCAAGTTGGAATGCCATATGAAGAAGAACGCCCTACATCTCCAGATCAAGGAATTGATAGCGACAGGCTCTCCAGCCTAGAACAAAACGACGTAGTCAATTTATCGCCGCGTAAGTTTGTCACAAATTTAAACGTTTATTTAGTATTATGTACTAGTTAATTATCTTTTACTTTATTTTAGGCTCACTCTATGAGGAAAACGTTACATTAAAGCAGAAGCTAGCGAGAACCAAAGCTACTCTCGCCGAAACACTAACTCAGCTCAATGCAGCAAACATGAGAAAGAGAAACGTACAGCGCGCTATTTGCCGGGAGATTCACAAGACTCAAGGAGTGTTACGAAAGGCTCGCGATCAATTGGATCCTCATAATTAATTTTTAATCATTAACGTACCTCTATTTATATGCCAAGGTTCTCGAAGTGATATTTTGAATAATTATTGTGAAAGTTTATTAACATTGTGACGTTTTTAATTTAGTACTTATCATAAACGTAATTTGTTATGACATTTGAAGAATTAAGTATTAATAAATTTTTTAAAACTATGTTGTTATTTATATGCTTTACCCTTAATTTGTTTTACGAAGTAATCTTGAAATGAAAACAAAATTTCTATTCACGCGAAGGAGAAAATAATAGAATTGTAATTTTAAAATTTATTTAGCAAATAATTAGTAAGATATACAAATAATTAATAAGATTTTCATATCGATTGATATTTATTTATTCATAGAAATATTTTTGTATTACGTATGCTAAAAGTATTTCGATATTTAATATTTTTAAAATTTTCAAGTCTCATTGTAGATATTGTGGTGTAAAAAAGTAGTTGCAATGTGCAGTTCTTAGTGTAAAGTGTAAACTAGTTAAAAATAGAACGAAAACCATTGTTTTTAATGGTTTTGATAAGTTAAAGATAATTTTCTATCTGATTTGACTAGCCAGTTCGGTGTGAATTTACTTTTGATTATGTACCTTTTTTTATTATTTTTAATGAGACTGAAAGAATAAAGATACAAAATAATAAACTAAATGACAACATTGGCTTTATGTGATTTAATTCATTTGCATTGAAAAAAAAAAATTATGGCGGGAAAAGAAAAACACCATTATTACTGTATTGCCTGAGCTAAAGAGTATAGTATAGGAATTAAATGATGAATTATTATGAATACAGTGTTAGTATTCCTAATTTAAACGAATTAGGTTACCTCAAAGTTATCGCAAATGTCAAGGATAAACATGATCGTTCTGCCCCTTCAAATTTTCATTGGAAAGTACTTAAATGCAGGTAAGTAAAATCATAAATGCAGTTAGTCAGTGTTTTGCAATTGTCACTGGTAATTTTAGTATAAGTTTTGAATTTTCATCTTATTGTATTAAAATAATGCTATATTTTGCAGAATGATAATTTTTTCTCATTCGTCTGTATTATCTTGCCCGGACAAAAATGATATTAAAGAGGTCCACATAGTATTTAAAAAAGAAGGGCCAGATTACGATGAACTCACGTTATTACTGAATAAATTTTCTTTAACTCCAGTAAGTTTCAATAAACTTTAAGTATCGTAGTTAAAAAGAAGTATGTTCTTATTATTAATAAACTACATAAAATTGTAGAATGGACCCATTAGAAAAGTCAGTGGAGAAATATATTCAATGTGTTTCTGCTATACAATGTCTGCCAAACTTGCACCTACTTGGAATGTATTGGGATATAATTATTTTATAAATAACAGAGATTTTTTAACAGCTTCAGGTCCTCAGGATGGCATTCAATGCTTATCATCAGTTGACGGTAAAAATAGAATAATTTTCGTATACATTCATATACGACTTACAACAAATACGCTTATATTGATTTTTTTTAATCACAATTGGAAGACATTCGTCATATAATGACTTAATTTAAGTCCTTATGTCTATCTAGATTAAATTTCTTTATGAGTTTTACTTGTATATACGAACGAAAAAATAAGTTTTTTAAATAAGTAAAAATAAAAAATATACATATAAGTATGTAGGTATAATGTCGCATGCAACTCGTATTGCGAATTGTGATAATTTACTGTATTAAAACTGTAGTTTTCCATAAAGATTTAGTTATTTTTTATTAATAAATTAAACAATGACACTGTAATATATTTGTTTTTAAAATCAAACAAATATCGCTAAACTCTCAGGTTCGTCTTTTCTCCCTCACATTTCTCATCAACATTAAGGTATTAAAAAATTTACGGATTATTTTTTATAATAAATTTTGTTTTTTCCTAGATGATAATATTACACTAAAACTGAAGCCGGTAAAAATTCATTTTATTCGGTCAAAAGACAAACTTAACTCAGGGGAATGTGTGAGAGTTTTTCCAAGGTAATGTTTATAATTAACATAATTATTCTTGTAAAGACTAGGCATCGTCCGGTAAAACGTTATTTTTGATCGAAATTAGTAATATTGCACTTAATAAAACTGTTTAGTTTGAACAAAGCCGTTATTGAGGAATATCAAGAAACCTTGCCACAGGGTGACTTCAAGTGCTACAAGGATTTACGTCGTCATTGGAAGAATATTGTAAGTCTTTCTTAAAATAAAACGCTGAAATTTAAGGCAAATGTACCTATAAAAACTGTCGACTTACTTCATTGCAACATATTTTTATATGTAAATGTAGCACTCACTATCCATAAACATTTATAAAGTATGCGTTGATTTCGAAGCAAATTAATTTTCCACATTTATGTTTGAACGTTATATATTATTTTTCTTGTTTATCTAGCATGGTTATCGTTTACCTGAAGAAGAACCCAAATACTATTTAGTTAGGTTTTGGCGCGGAGATCCTTTGACGTATCCTGACATCTGTTTAACTACACACTATCCCAATATCATTCCAATGCCTAAAAATGTTGAGGTAAATAAACCAAAAAAGAAAAATTCTGTAAAATTATAATTCTGTAAAATTATAATATACTTAATTGTTCTTAATTTTATGAAAATATTTTTAAGAAATTAGTACTATCACGGTTCATCAATTGCTTAAAAAGTAAAATGCCAGCCGTGTTAGGATACCCATTAATAATTAAAGGAATGTGTTCCGAAAACAATTATGATAATGTAAGTAAAATTAAACAAACTGATATTTCATTAATTGTCGCTTAAAAAATATAATGTAATGTAACTTATCAAATATGACATATTTTTCAGACAAATACAGAAAAAATTGTTGAGACACAAGTTGTGAGTCTATGCACGCCCACACAGAAAACAAATAAATAGATTTTAGTAAAAATGATAATTTATTTAAACATTTACATTTCCTGTTATTCCAATGAAATATAACACTATTAAGAAATCCAAGCTACAGGTTACAAATATTAACAATGAATATAATTTAAAAATGTGTTATTATTTTGTTTAACTGTACAACTTGTTATAAATGTAAATACGATAGCTTGGTTTGGAACGTATTACCAGTTACATTAAATTTAATTTAATAAAAATGTTTTTATGATAAATATTGTTTCATTTTAAAAAATAACTTAAATAATTACTAACACTACTATAATGTCTTAGCCATTATAAAGACAAGAAAGAAAGGTGTAGTCAATGTAAATGAATATATTTTAAAGAAAGCAATTAGAATTGAAGTTTTTTTTCACAACTGAAACAGTACTTTCATTACATATTAACCGATTCCATTTGATATTCTAAAAAGAGTCTGCTTATAAGTACAGTAAGAGTTATGAAACAGTTTTCTCAATATATTTTTTTTTATTAAAATACACAACATGTCAAATAACAATTAAAACTAATTCCATTTTCAAAACATGTCACATTATTATACACATGAAATTCTTGTCTTAAGTATTTAAGACGCGTCAGATTATAAGTCAAATTAAATTTATATCAGTTTAATAATCGGGCCGTATTCGTTGAAGGTAGTACCCTCCTCGGACTGGGGGGAGGAGTTAATGATGGCTGACGTGACGTTAAGTCAAAGAAACGGGCAACTGATGGTGATAAATTTCTATGACTGTGGTTAGCATCCCTTACGTCCTGCAAAAATACGTCAATATTATTTCTATTTATTTAATTACTGTCAATTAACAAATTGTATTATTTAATTGGGTAATTTCTGAGATAAATATTAAACATTAAACGTGATGCGTTAACTAAAGAACAATCTAATATTATGGCGTCTCTTAAAAAAAGTGTTTGGTCAACAGGATTGACTCATTACGAATGCATTTACAACCTCTTTTCTTGTCACTGCTTCAACAAATGAAAAACCCTTTTTTATTATTTTCATTTCACGGTATTTCAAAATTGTATTTTATATAAACCTTACTTTCAAGGTCTTTAATGTATCAAAAAGTTGTCATGTGTTAGTTATGTAAAAGTTAAATCAAACTTACGCGTTCTTAATCAAATCTAAACAGAACAAACACTGAAACCCTTTTTTAACTTTTATAATATGAGAAGATAGTATATTAAAAAATACTTACAGTTCTAGGTCTTCGAGAGATGGGACTCGCTGAAGCTTGGAGAAGATTATTATTTACTGGCGAATTTAAAAGATAATGAAGTTTGTAGCCCTTAGCTAAATCTTCAACAGTTTTTCCTAAGACAAACAATTATAATTACAAAAAGATTGTCTATTTATTGATCATTTATTATAAATAGAATAACAATTAAAAAGAATAACCTGTTAGGGATGTAGGTATGTTTGTGTTACATCTTCCTGTGTCAAGAATTTTGCGTAAACCCTGACCATTGTTAAAAAATTATCGCTACGGCTGCACCATCTGCTAACTGAGACGAGTCACAGCAAGATAATAAAAATGTCCAATTATCAGTGTCCCAATGTAAACCGAAAAAAAAAAACGGCAAGTTGTAATGTCGATGCTCCTAGAACCGTAATAAACTTAACATTAATATTACTTCACATACTGTTTCTAGTATGTACCTATATAACAATAATTGAAACTTTAAGAAAATTAATTAACAATTGTTTCAATCCATTTTTGGTAATCTTAAAAATGTATATTGTTTGCTTACCTGCTTCACTTAAAATATGTGGATTCGCTCCATAAAGAATAAATAATTTAACCATAGAATAAAGTCCATAGCGAGCAGCTAATCTGATGGGCCACCCGCCTTCCAAATTTGGATCTAAGCCTGCGTTTAAAGCTTCCTGGACTTCACCCTCATTGTTGTTAATTATATTATTTTTCAATTTCTCTTTACTTCTCTCCATTTGTTTATATATTGAAAGTTTAATAGGGAAAAGAAAATGCTTGGTCAAATTATTGATACACCATATTCGAATGTAAACGATGTTAAAAAATAGTACCCTCGTTATAATCTAAATTATGAAAATTAGCAAGCGTTATATGAGAAAGCCTATACTGTTAGTACTGTCATTCTGCAATCTTTATATTATTTGAAGGATCTACCTAGTATAAAATTTTGCCAAAGTTTATTTTTCTTTACTCAGTAATACGTATTTAGATCGAAAACGGACATAGACAGAAAGAAGTAATGTGAGAAGTGTTTAAAATATCGGATGACAATTATACATTTTTTAATCTTTGCATTTACTCTTCAAACGGGATACAAGCAATGAAAATCTAAACCAAAAAAGTAATCATGAACCCATAAATCGATATTATATTGAGATAATTGCTAATGGCAAATAAATTGTTAAAACAACTGCTACAACTTAATTATTTAAAAATAAGGAAATTAAGTATTTGACGAATTTAGACATATTAGTTATTATAAAATCTTTTATAAACATAGATGCTATTTTATTTCCCCTTTAAGTTTTTTTTTGTATATTTATAGATACTACTACCTATAGTTGCAACTATTATGCGGCAAAGTATAAAATATTAAATAACTGAGTATTTTATTCTGTATTAATTAAAAAAAAATAGCAAAATACAAATTCACAAGTGTAGACCCATGACGATCATAATTTAAATAGAAAGATTTAATAATTTATATTGTGGTGAATGCTTAGGTTAATTTTCTTAATGTTCAACTATGTACATGTTGAATTATACAAATCTATCAGCTATCTGTAGCCGCCGTTTCAATCCATTGACTTTGACATTTTAATAGACAGAAAAAAACTGATGTGAGTTTGGTTTAAATTAAATATAAGTTATAAACCAACTTACCTTTTTTTAGTGTGTGCTATAACTTTCGCAAATAACTTACTGGCATTAAAGTATTTTGATGAAATGAATATCAAGTGCAATATATATGGGAAAGTAATTGGTCTTTTATTTAAATTCACTGCTTCTACGTTACTGTGTTTACACAAGGAATTTGTTAAAAATATTTTTCTTTAGGCATAAAGAATGGAGGAGAATTGTGAAACGGGAAAGAAGAAGGAGGATACGCAAACAGTTGGCAAAAGAAAGAGGTATGTTTTGATGATATGTGATTTTATATATTAAAAAATAATTAAGATAACACATATTAAAATATATTATTTAGATTCCGTACCTGATGGAAATGACAGTCAAGATTGGATAAAAGCACAAGAGGAATTGGAAGCATATATTTTGGAACAAGTTGAAATTTCAAACAAGGCAGAAAATGAAAAGTGGTTGGCAGCCGAAGCAGTAGCTTTAAAACAGTGGCAGGAACTTCAAATCAAAAAGGAAATATTGCTTAAAAAACAACTAGAATTACAAGCTAAACTACAACAGGTATGTATTGAAATATAAATATTGTCCAAAAGGTTAATGTTTTCAATTAACTGAAAATGATAATACATAAAATAAGTTTTAAGAAATCTATTTCCTAATAAATATATTAATAATATTATCATTAGGAATGGGAGATGGAAAAAGAGAGAAAAGAGAAGGAAGCTCAACGTCTCAAAGAATTAGAAGAAGAAAATGTTAAGAGACAGGAAGAGTTCATGAAAAACTTGGAAGAATTCCTAAATGGTGATTGTAAGGATCCTCCACAAGAGCTGCTCACATTGTATGAAAGTCGACCTAATTGTGACCCATGTCCATTTTATGCTAAAACTGCATGTTGCCGCTTTGGAGATGAATGTTCTAGAAACCACAAATATCCAGGTATCAGTAAGGTAAATCTAAACTTAACCATAATTAATTTTAATATTAAAAGTCCCTAATATTCCAACAGTTACATATTACTTTTTACTGTGTTATCTCTTTTCATATGTTAAAATTTTTACTTTTCACACAGATACTCCTAGCTCCAAATCTTTTTGGACACTTTGGGTTGGAGAATTCAAATTTTAATGAATATGATACGGATATTATGTTAGAATACGAAGATAGTGATACTTACAAGGACTTCAAAGAGTTCTTTTTTGACATATTACCAGAATTTCAAAAATTTGGCCAGGTTGTTGGAATTAAAGTAAGTATTTAGCTATACTATATTAACCAATTTAATATTATATATTGATAGATAATGTTAATAAACTTTTAAAACAAATTAAAACATATAAAGCAATTTCTAGAATTTCTTGTGGTAGTTAATTTCTTTCACACATATTATATACAGGTACATTAAGATAATTCAAGGGTATTTTAAACAATATGATGTATATACCAACATTAATAAAGGTTTGATGTTTAATAGGTTTGCAAAAACGTTGAAAAGCATCTCCGAGGCAACACATATATCGAGTACTCCGACATTCGTAGCGCAGTTTCAGCTTACAGAGCCCTCCATACAAGATGGTATGGAGGAAAACAACTTTCATTACAATTTTGTAGACTGTTGTCATGGAGTAGTGCAATATGTGGTTTGTATTACATATTATTTTAAAAATCTGCAGAATGCTATCTTTGAATCTCATATTGAATGGTAATAAGTTTAAAGAAAATTTAAAAAAATTGACATCTGCCAGTATGCAATATACAGGGTGACTGGTGAATTACTATCGATATTTGAGGACGTGATATTTGACGATCATATATGACAAAATAAAAATTAATATAACATAAATATTAATAAACTTCTAAGTAAAGTTAACCAAAAGTTGTGTAATTAATTACGCTTCGTGTGAACACCCTACAGATTAGGTATACACACACTCACACATAGGCGTGTGGCGGCGTGCTGATACAACACCATGCCGCCACACGCGTCCACACTTGGAACACTTGGAACGTGTCTACACTTTATTTATTTATACGGAAATTTGGTCAAAAATTAAGTACCTATTTTTTTTACATAATTCGAATGAGAATCATGTACCGAGTATGCTCCTTAAATATTGTTAGTAATTCACCAGTCACCCTGTATAAATGTTGAATTATATCAATTTATCTAATAATTTCAATATTAGTAAAAATCTGTATAAGAAATATTAATCTTGTCATAGTAGTCATCTTCACAAAGTAAATAATTTCTTGGGATTAAATTAAATTGTTAGAAATTATTCCACAAAACGCTCTAGCAGTTGATATATTATAAAAATAAATTGAAATGTGTTTGCAATTTAATGTTGGTTCTATTCAAGAGCTGCCATCAGTGAAAAACTAATTGCTAGATTTTTTATATTGATTTAAAAATTATAATTTTACATCTAGATTCATTTGATGACCCACATGGATTTGTAATTTCAACAAAGTGTAATCTTAATTTCATTTCTATTTTAGGTTTACAAGTGACTGGACGATGTCCGAAAGGCAGAGCATGTAATTTTCTGCATGTTTTTAAAAATCCTGTAGATTTACATGCAGACTATAAAAAACGTTATTCAAAAAGGTAATATTTATGTTTAATCACAATTTTTTTTTGTAAAAGACAAGATATGTAATTTTCAATTTTTTATTATGTTTGAAGGCAACAACACACATCCTCACGTTCTTGGAGATGGTCAGAATCGCCTGAAAGAGAAAGTCCAACCCCAAGAAGTAAAAGAAAAGACGACGGTCATTCCAAAAGTAGAGAAAGAAGACACTATCAATATCGGTCACCTAGAGCGAGATCACATCGATATAGGGATTGAACTGGATGTTAATTTTAATGAAATAAATTAATTTATTATATTTCTCTTATTTTCCTATACAAATAAGCAATCATATTAGTGATATGTCTAATGTGTATCAATACAAAAACAATGAATATATACAATCATTGATAAAGCCATGAAATTATTAGAATGTTTAGTACCTTTATGGGGCAAAACCTATACAATGCATGTTGAAAATTTTGCGACCGTTAGGGATCTTATACAATAATAGTTTTTGAATTTTATTCTTGGTAAAAATTTAAAACAGTTACCTATAGATATCGTTAACAAGTCATTTATTTTAATGTTTCTTAATCAAGCAGATATTTTAAATAAAAAAATTATGACACTAAAAAAGGTTTTGTAAAATAACACACTAATAACTAGAAATATTTTTTATAATTCAAATTAAAGATAGAATGATAAATAAAAGAAACTCAAGGATATCCATACTCTTCCCACAGTGCAAAACTTGCCACACATGATTAGATACTTATAAGAGTAACAAAATTTTGAAGAATTTTTTTAAAGGCAATCCATATACCATGTTTTTTTTTGTAAATGTTTTTACGGCTCTTGATACACAGTACCCATATACACATACGGTATAGATTGTTATTGCCGTAAAAAAATTGATGAAGACCTTGCTATTTTATTATAAAGTTGAATTTAGTTAATATTATAAAAAACTTACATCCATTAAAGATGTTAAAAAGTTAATGTTTTAATTTATTAAGAAAACGCTTAGATATCTACATTTTACTACTACTGGTAGCCCTATTTATAAATGACAGTGTCAAAAAGTGAATATACCTAATTGTAAATACCTATCAATAATTCAAATAATTATGAGTATATTAACGTTACTTTTATTTATTTGAGTAATGAGTAATTAATTAAATATTTATGTTCATTTTCGTTGTCTTCAGTTATTATTACCATTCAAACAATGGGCACAAAAGTGTGTTTTAATATACTTGATCGGACCGTAAATTATTTTAAATATTTCATGCCCTTAAAACCACAATTTACTTTAAATAAAATTATTGGTTATCATCGACAATTCAGCTCATATGAAGTAAAAAAACATAAACTTAAAGGTATTATCAACAAACATCATTGTGAAGTAAATAACACAAATGCATGTATATATAATCTGGTGGTTTTTTGTTCCAGATACTTCAAAGGCAGAATTGATTTCTAATCTTAATTTCAAATCTGACGCAGATGCTTTACCATTTTTTAAGTTGCCTGTGAAAACTTTAATTCATATAGTCAAGACCACACAGAATGATGTACAATGTGGCTACTGTGAAAATAGACTATATTATCTTTCCTCTCGCATAAAGGTAGGTACTTTCCAATCTGTATCTTAATTATTGGTATGAAATGTTAATAGAAAATTATTTCAGGTTCCGTCGCCTGTTTTAAGTGAACAAATTGTCAGAAGAGTTTTCATATATACTTTATCCTTTGATTGGTTGGAAAATTCATTAAAAGTTTTATTAGGTAAGAGGTAGGTCTTTCCCAAACATGGTAAATTTATCTTTAAAAATACACATTACTTTTTCTTATTATTTTTTATTTCTAGATATGAATGTACAAGGTGACCGTATACTAAGGGATTTGTGGGTGCTTAAATATCATCATAAAACCATAGAAGAGAGACTAATTAGAGTTAAAAATTATGGTATCACAAATTTATATCCATGGATGGTGAGGTGCTCAGAAAAAATATTACATAGGTATGTAATATATAAAATATTGAATAAAATTAATTACATTCTTCAATAATGTATTAAATTGAAATTTTAGGTATATTGAAATTTTTCAAGAAACAAAAAATATTTTAGGAGAAAATATGTCAACAAAAATGTATCTTGCAGAACGTCTCAATGTTTCCTCTGAATTAATCGAAGATATGTATGTGAAATCACCTGCACTAAAAACTATCAGAGTTACAAAGGTAAAATTAATCGGGAATCAATAGTAAAGAAGAATGAGAAATGAAATAATACCTAAATTAAATAACTGTTCTCCACTTTTTTGTTACAGTTAAAAAAATTCCTAGACTTTTTAATCAAAGAAGGATTTACTGTAGAAGATATTGCAATTAAATCTAGGATACTTGCTGCCTCACAAAGTACTGTGAAAAAAAGGCTATCCAAGCTTCGGAGTTTAGGAATGACTGAAATCAATTTAAATGTCCTATGTAGAAGTAGAAAGGATTTTCAAAAATACTGTGAATCAATAGAAACATCTGTGAAAAAATGATTTAAATATTTAATTCTACTAGAAGTATAATATTTGATACTATTTCAACCCATAAAATAAATATTGTATAACAACAAAAACTGCTTTTGTTTAAATGTGATATAATCACAGGTGTAATTAAAAATGACAAACAAAAAACTCTGTCATTGTAATTCTAACTTATTGTTATTTTAGAGTGTTTTTCTATTACTTTGTTTATTTTTTTGACAAATTCTAATAAAATTTAGACAAGACCAGTCTAAAATGCGAACGAATTTAAAATCCTTTACAAATATATTGTACTTGTTTCGTTTAAATGCTTGTTAATTAATTTAGAATTAAATTTTATCAAACATAAATAATTTAAGTTTAAATATATTGTTTTTAGGTTAACAATAATTTACTAAAATATTGACCTAAATGAAGTAACGACAGAAGCTTGTAAGCTGGCAACACTATTCAAATAAATTACAATAGAATTATTATAATTCCATTTCCGCATATACGTAGCTAGCTATGTATCTACAATGGCAAACGTCAATAAGGTATTTGCTATTGTTAGTCATTCATATTTCTTTTGCGTAGAAAACGTTGTGTATGAATCCTAACCTCCTTTGTAATATTTTATTGCAAAAGATGCTTATATTATTTAAAGGTCTTAATATACACAATATTATTATAGGTTTATCTACATTCTTAAAAATATCAGAGATGAAATAAATAATTCTAAAATTTTTCTAATTAGTGGATAGATTTTTTTTTAATATATGAATTTTATATTTATTTCTTTTAGTAAGTGTGACTTATTTCAATATTGCTTTCATAAAAGCGTTAATAAATTTAATTGCTTAAGGAAATGTGTTTTAGGGCTGATATTTACATGACCTTACAATGAAATACTATATATATTAGATAACATAACAAAGTTACATTTCAAATATATCATGATTGAAACATGTATGTAAAATAAGAGTGTTCTTTCATCAATAAACCAGGTAGCCCTTACTTGGAAATTTGAAGAGATCTTGAGGCAAATAAAACAATTTTTATTAAAATTATAGTTATTAATCTATGCATTTGCACACACACACCTGTGCCAATGGAATGAATAAAATCCCTTTACTAATATTTTAACCATATCCTCAATGTTACACAAAAATCCAATGATGATATGATTTTAAAGTACATGTACATAAAATATAAATAATTAAGGCAGTTTTATTGCAATGATGTAAAATGTTACATGAATTTTTATTCCAGACTATAAATTTGCATGTTGAATATTCATCAAATACACTATATCTAAACCTTTGAAGATATTCTGTCACATTTTAGTATTAACTAAATTATAGTATTGTAATAGAATGTGAGGTTTGAGTATAAACCCATAAATTAAGATTTAAAGTTTATTGATCTACTGGTGGGCACATTGAACTCCTGGTCCTGCATGCACATGCTCCTCATCGTCACTAGCGTAAGCCTCCTCCCTTGACCTACTCTTCTCACTAGCTGTATACTCCATCATATTAACTTCTTCAACATCATCTCCGGTTGGCATCACAAATGCTGGTCTAGGAGGTAGAATACTTTCAATTTTCTTTAACTGCTCCTCATTAGCGAAATGATTTTCTGGGAAGGTCACATCAAACTTAATGTATAGATTGCCCTTCTCGAATGGATTTTTGTGTTGAGGCATGCCCTCGCCTTGAATTCCTTTTAAGTCTCCAGGTTTGATTACCTCTCCTGGTAAATGTCTTACTAGTAAATCCCGTCCATCTAAATGTTTAACAACAAATTCAAAGCCGCAGAGCGCCTCTGTGAGAGTTATTTCTCGGACCATCAGGAGGTCATCTCCAGTCCTCTTAAAAAACATCATGAGGTTTTTGTTGCAGTACAATAATCACATCGCCTGGCTGAGTGTCAGGCATTTGATCTCCTTCACCCCTGAAGAAAATTTTTTTTGGTTCTCGCGCATTCCCTTTTCAACATGCACTTCTAAAATTTTTGTCTCATTTAAGACTTTCTTGCCCTTACATTTAGGACATTTGTCCTTTTCATTTATAGTTTCTCCTTGTCCTTGGCAAGCGGAACAACGGGTTTGGCATTGACGAGTCATGTTAGCACCTATTTGCTGATACCACACTTTGATACCCTGACCGTGACACTCTTTACATGGTATCACTGATCCAGGTTTCCCACCTTCTCCTTTGCATGGACCACATATAACATTTTTACTAAGTTGCAATTTGGTTGTTTTACCAACATACATGTCCTCTAGAGTCACTTTCAGGGGATGGATAGTATCTTCTCCTCGCGCGCGACCCCTACCTCGCCCACTTCCCCCCATACCAAAAATGTCCCCAAAAATATGTCCAAAAAAGTCTTCGCCGGGGAAGCCACCACCTTGGCCACCCTCTTGTAACCCTTTTAAACCATATTTATCGTAAGTTTGGCGTTTTTTAGGATCTGACAAAACTTCGTAAGCGTAGCTTATTTCCTTAAATCTATCTCCAGCTGCTGGGTTCTTGTCGGGATGAAATTCTTTAGCAAGTTTGTGGTAATTCTGTAATTTAACGAGAGGGAATACATTGAAATAAGGGGTTACAATAATTAAATCATGGTTTAAAAAACGAGCATAGCGTGCTTGACAAAGGATATGTTAGTTATTATAATGGCACATGAATTATTGTTGTGTAGAACTTACTCTTTTGATTTCTGAGTCACTTGCACTTCTTGAAACACCTAATATTTCGTATAATTTATTATCAGCCATTTTATAATAGAATATAGCTACGAAAAGGGAGTAACTCTATCGCAGCTGATGAAATACGAAAAGAAAGAACAAAATTTGCTATTCGTAACAGATAACAAAAGTAATGTAGAATATAAATATATAAATCTTTTTTATTAGTGTTAACAGTCTACAAAAATATTAGTGGTCATTTAAAAATTGTAAGGAATTTTAAAAAGAACATAATTTTAAATTTCAAGACATTTAATTTACCAAATATTACCAAAAATTTAATAAACAAAGGTCCTACTAAATAAATTTTTCTACATTAGAAACTTACGTCTTCAAACCTTGTCTTTTCTTATTCTAAAAACGAATACATATAAGTATTTTTTTGTTTCGACGATTTTTTGGGATTATATTTATCCTTAAATTTATATTTAGCTGAAATTCTTTTTTAGTATATCATTTAGTATATATTTTTTAAATGCAAACAAATTGAAACTGTTTCGCTAATAGAACAAAATATATCTATTGGCTCTTATTTAATTTAACAGCTGCAACAACTTTTTTTTTAACGTTAAGAAAATGCTCTTCCGCGTCCCTCGACCAGTTTGGGGAACCGACCGCGGGTATGTGGGACTCGCTGCTTCCAAAAACATGGTAAGTTTAAGCAGCCTCTACCCACTAAAAACTCAGCGATACTCCCTCTACACCGCCAATGACGGAGCCACGGCAACTATTATTATGACTTCCGCGACTCCTCCGACAGTCCACCTGCCGTGTGGGTCTGGCAGGCTCGACTTATTCGAGAATGTGGCTCATCCTCCTATCTCTTCTTTCTTTACGGTACTCAAGGAGTATAATGCGTAATATAACCATCTCGGGTACCCGGTGCAATGGGTGACGGCGTCCCCACCCCGGACAGTTGCAACAACTGTTTTATAGACAAAGTACATATATGAAATTACAGGTTTTCGTTTATATAATAAATATGTGGTTACCGAGCTTTGTTTAGTATTTAGGAATTTGTTCAGTATTTAGTATTTATTTTGTGTTTTTTTTTAAATTTCGTTTAGGCATTTTTAAGAGAACACCTACCACCTACTTTTGTTCTTTAACCACCTACGTGCGGTCACAGAAAACGTTCATAAATTTCTGGGGTTACATTTTGGGATCCATGATAAGAAAGTAAAGCTGAGTTAATTAAAATACATGGCTATACTTAATTGCTTTTTTATCCGTCACAAATTTACAAATGTAATTAAAATATTTCATAAAAAATGGAATAATATCTATGATATAAGGAATATGGCACCATAAATAACTATACTAAGAAAATGAGATCTCTTTTTCGCAGCAGTAACAACACATTTTTTACAAAAAGTCCAAAGAAATAGTAGTTTACATACAAAACATAGGTAAGCCATTTTGTGTTTCTTTTTTGAATCATACGAATTGTATTGTGATTTCATTAGTCTTATTTCATTCTTAATGTGTAGTAAAATTTTGTCCAACATCTCGTCCGTCAATAAGAGAGAAACACCAAATATCAAGTAGTCTAGTGGAATTATTAGGAATACTCTGAGTATTGCTTTTACATCAGGTGTTTGGTGTACAATATTATGCTGAGGTGTCTTTGAACGAATGACGTTAGGCACAAATGACCAGCGAAAACGGTTACTGAAAAGTATTTTTTTTTTCTTATCTTACCTCTGGACTGCAAGCGCGAAAACGGCATATTATCTTCCAACGAGTTGTGCTTTTAGGAAATCTGGATTTAGATTTTGGCCTTGAAGAGGTCACCCTCAATTTCGATTCACACTCTTCAGCCTGCTCTTGGTAAACATCATTACATCAGGTTCGACGTCGCTGTAATCCTCGCCAGAAAAGTAATTTCGTCCGAGATCTCTGGCTGAATCATTTTTCAATATTTTCGTCATTTTTTACTCATTTTGGCTCTTAAACAGGACTAATAAATAATTATAAAACAAGTCAATCAACCGCTGTCATGTCACACAACCTATGTGCGGTCATGGAGACCGCTGGCGAATTTTTTTTACTTACCCGGGCCAAATGAGACCATGTACACACTTGCCGAGCGCTTGCGACACCGTGAGCGGTGTGTAGAAAAGGTACACGAATGCGCCTTAATGCACGCCACTTACACGCAGAAATATTTGAACTCTAAAAATCGTTGCGGTCTCTGAGACCGCAGGTAGGTGGTTAAGGGCTAAACAAATATTTTTTATTATTAATTATTATTGGTATGTAGTATAATCGAACATATTAAAATAATGTAAATTGTCATGGTCATCGATTTAGATTCAATATATCAGATAATTTATCTTTGTTTGTAACTAGAAATTTTCGATCTTATGCCCCGTAGTTCAACATTGATCGTTCTATAACTCAAAAAGTATGAATATTAGAAAAAATATGGAGAGTAAAATGATGTTTAGATATTAAATTATTGACTTTATTTATTATTCCAATATCTAAAGATTTTAAAAGGATGAAATCTAAGAAAATCAATTCTTCAAGTGAGTCACAAATCTTGAACGAAAAGTTTTACAAAAAATATATATAGAAAATACAAGGTGCGATAGTTTATTCGGTACAACACTGAATTCTTTATGTTTTGTTATAAAATTAATAGTTTCAAAGGTATCAGCCAATAACTTCTTTTAATAGAGTGGAAAGGATCTGTCAGCAGTGGGTTAGGGAGGTAAGAGTGAGACTAACATAAAAAATGGGTCAGATATTTTCAATAAAATTAAAATTTTTAGGTGGTTGAAAATATAATAATTGGATACAATATGGTATAACCTTAAAATAGAACCTTACGACTAAAAGTTGATTGTAGTATTTGAAGTCTCTTATAACACTGCGTGTGTGATATTGCTATTTCGTAGCATAAAAAGTATAAAATAAAACAAAGAAGTGAAATTTTGTGTATCAACTGAAGAAAATTTTGTAATTGTTTTTATCAAACAAGAATTTATTTGTAACAATATTAGAATTACAAATAAATCATATAAATTACTTATTTTATAAACTAAATAATGAAAATTTAATGCTTTAAAAATAATTATAATTATTATTACCATATGTAAACTAAAAAAATAACCATGAATTTATAAATCTTTACAGTTTCTCAGGAATCGACTCATGTATAGGTACCTAAGACTTATTATTGACTGTTGTCTAAATAACTTTTTAAAAACCGAGGCATCCTTGAATGTTTTGGAGTAATCATTAGTTTACAATATAAATATAAAAAAATACATTATTATTACATTGAAATAAAAACAATGTACCTACAGTATGTATTTGGTCCTACATGTATTTGGTCTTTTGACGCCTTTAATAATTTTTTTACTTATACTTTTGTTTCAGAATAGGTAGAGAGCACATTTTAAACCGGAAAGAAACTTATGTATGCTGTCTATGTACCTACTGCATTAAATTATATGGGTACTTGCTGTTACAGCAAAACTATAGCATTTTATATAAAGAAAATGTAAAATCTGGATGTATGTACCTCCGATTTCATTGATTAGCTTTCAGGTTTTTTGCCTGTAAAAATAAACTAAGTCTCCTATTTGTTATTAACGACAATTATTGTGATAATAACGCAAATTAATCTTTTTGTAAGATAAAATGACGATTTGACGTTAGATACAAATAAGCGACGACAATGTAACGATAGTTCTAGTTTTATTTACATAATTTTTAACAAATTATTATATATTATATGATTTTTTGTGCTGCATGTTGGTTCACGTCAGCCAGTTATCGTTTTTCTTTTTATTGTTGCGGGCCTTCGTTACGCTGTATTACACAACTCAATAGCATACCACACCTCATAACAAAATTTCTACTGTCACCATACATGTAGGAACTCAAAACATTTGCTTTGTCATATGGCGCATTAGAGTTCGACGTTCCTCCGTGAATATTTATGACATCTGTGAAAGTTTCGCCCCAGAGCACATTCGACGGATCTAAACAGACTTAGGAAATGCAATTCAACATTGTAATTTTAGCACATATTCTGAAAAAATACGTAAATGCTTTTATTGAGAGGCATTAAAGATCTTATGTTTATTATTGCTATCAATATCCTATGATACATAGAAATTCATTCTAATATCCCTGCATTATTTTCCATATAGTACTTTAGATATTTATAGTACCTAAATTTTTTAGAAAATGTTTTCATACACAGTGATTCTTAAAAATAATTATCATGTGCATACTCTAATCCTCCGGTATATAAGTAAGTTTTAATGACATGCACCTTTTGTGCTAGTGGCCTCCACAATTTGCAATACAACTATTTAGGTTGCACCTGACGTGATGAATCTATATAATTACGAGACAATATGATGCTAAAAGTGCCCTATATTCAAACGAACAATTCGAGTATTATGACCGAATAATCGAGGTTGCATGGAGCTTTAACACGACCATCACGGCGATTCTTTTTGTATTACTGTGAACGACCTCGATATGTTTTTAAACTACTTATATTATTCTGAGTTTTAGTTTAACAAAACCTACCATATAAAATAAAAGGAATATGTTTATAAAACTATATGATATTAACCACTTTTTTCATTATAAAAACACCAAAAATAGACTTCAAACAACATAGACGTCATAGACTTTACACAATATACTTTTTAAAAAAAAGAAACGTTATATTTTTTTCGTAAAGCTCACAATTAAACCTGGATATCTACGTATTGCAATAACCGTGCATAAGATTCCTTTCACAACTTAATATATCAAATAGCGCCAAATTATATCAGATGATTATATCTTGCATTCGCTGACCTATTACGCGATACTCTGTTCTACGTGTTTCGATAATAAAGTATAGCCATCAGTGTGTAAACTTGTTTTACAAAGGCGATATATTAGTTTATAGCTATCACTAATCCTTGTAATTTAAAAGTATCTTGCCTTCTATTGCAAATGATGATGATTTAGAGTTCCTTTAAAGAGGTTTAAGCCGAGTAAAGTAATCAGCTCTACTTGTTATTGTCCGACTCTTGAAAAGTATTGCCATACTTTTTGAAATATCTTGATTTTTATCTTCAACCATTACAACTTCAATTATTGCTCCTGTGATTGATGTTCACAAAACATTAAAAAAATTATTAAAGAGAAACTAAAGTACCTTACTTTTAATTTGTTTTAGTTAATAATTAATAACCTACAGGAGGTTCACTAGTCAGTTGATTACAATTATACTTTAGATTAGACATCCTTAAAAGTTAAATGTTAAGAGTAAGATATACATAAGTATTATTATGTTATGCATCTGCTTAACGACCTGCTAATTTTGTAGAAAGTTGAAGTTGCATCACAATCATCAACACTAAAATTTTGCTTGAAGACAAGAAATGCCAAAACATTTTAAATGCATTAAATATGTTAATTTCATAACCATCACTGAAAGTTGCATAATAATTCGCATCAGAATAGCAAAAGGTCTAGATTACAAACTGTTTTATTTATTTGTACTTAGAAAAGTTACTATTCGAAAAGTTACAAATAGTGAAATTCTTGAGTAGGTACGTTATTTAGATAAAATTAAAGATTTTGCACGTTTGCGACTAAACATGTTTGGTTCACATCTTTGGTTTGTGTTTAATCTTTCTTCTCATTTATGAGAAATCTCCTTTTCCGTTTGCTTAAGTTTAGACAAAAGTCTATTAATTTCTACAACCGGTGCTACGACAGTAGTAGGCGAAGACAAAATAGAGACAGACACATCTTCTGTTTGGATTGTTGGACGTTTGGATAGTTTCGTTTAGGTATAGGATTTAGACAGAGAAATGGTTTCAGAAGTGGGAGGCCTAAGGTCATTTTCTTCTCAGTTCTCAAACCTCATGAACTAGCATAATAATGTCGAGAAACAGAATGAAGCTATAAGATAAAAATTATAATAAAGAACTAAAGATGCCGTCAAAGGTTAAAACTGACTTCCTGCCAAAGGGATTAACTCTTTATTTTTTGTAAAGTCCAGACTGAACGATTGCATTTTAAAGTCTTATTTCATATTTATGATTCACCCATAATATGATATCACAGGCTTAAAAAAAAACATATGGTTATGTCCTATGTATGACGTAAGTTTAAAGAACATTCAAAATGTTGTGTATATTAACCAAATATACCCAAAGATTTGTGGGACAAGAGAAAACGCGGTATAAGAAAAGTAAAAAAAACTCTTAAGTTTACGTTAAGTTCTTAAATCATTAAGCAGCTTTTTGTATGTAAAATTGGGAAATAAAAGATTTGGAATAATAACCATTCACCTGGTTTGGTTTCAACCTTTGTAGTATCTATAAAATATATAACATACAATTAAGAACATATTCAAAAAGCAATTATCAAAACTCTCATATATTAATTATTATTTATTATTCTTAGCATAAATGCCGTTACCGTATATTAAAAATATACACAAATAAACAGAAGCCAAAAAATGATATTTTATTTAATATATACATAAAATTTAATTTTTATGAAGATTATTTAATTCAAAACGTTACAATGTGTCTGGGCCGCAGATATGCAATTTAACAATTATCTAATATATCAGAATAAATCAGAATATAAGATACAAATGAAGAAGTCGTTAGTATAAAATCGTTAAATCGATGTTGACTTTCACTTGCTAAGATCTCAGGTTATGTCAAGTAATAACCATCTCGAAATATCGCGTACTACTTGATGACTGACACCAGTCTCGATTGAGTCACAACACAAATAAAAAAGTTATACTAAGTATTTATTTAATATTTACACGAAACTCAACTTATAACTCTCCCCTATAACCCCGTTATGCTAACAGAATTAATCAAACATTAGCTTGTCGATGTAATAACTATTAAGTGTTATCTAGGTATTACATTCTTAATGTTATCTTATTATGTAATACAAATTTCAAATATACGTATACTTACCTATATTTTTTTACGGAAGAGGTAAGAGGTCAGCTGTTTTGTACCCTTAAAATTTATCATTCTCTTTTTTTTTGTACGGTACTGAATTCAATTAACTCTTTATAAAAGGTAGTTTATTAAATTTTGTCTTTGATTATAATTTTGTTGTCGTGCATATGTTACTCTTTAGAACCTCACCAGGTGGATTTTCTATGATATATTATGATTGTATTAAAATGATCACTTTAATAAACTGATTTAATTTTTTTGTTGAAGTTTAATAGATAAAGTTTTTCCAAAAGTTGTAGATAAATTAGATTAATCGCTGCCCATACCACATGCATATACGTGTATATAAAATGTATTTAGAATATCCGTCAAATCAAAATTAAATATATATTTTTTGGTGATATAAGAACGATGAGACTTCGTATATATTAATAATTTTGAGTTTTCTATATTTTTGAATTTGACGTCACATTTCGTTCTACTTATGATGTTACGTTAGGCAATTTCGATTTTCCCTTTTAATAATTTGCAATTTATATTAATTTTTTTGATGGAAATTAAAAGAAACCTTATAAAGAAAATGTCATAACAAATATTTATTTTACATTAAAAAGAAATTTTCATATTCTCCTAAGATTATGTTTATTCCTGTTTCCTTTAAAAAAATAAAGTTTATTTGTAAATTTTGTTACTCAGCGCTGAGAAATATTTTATACATTATATTTAACACTAATAATAAATTATCCTTTGTAATTATACACCTATTTATATACTTAAATATATTGCCATATATTCTATGTGATGGGAGTTTAATAATAATTAGGTTTTTTTCCCTGAATATAAGGTGTTGAGCACAGAAGATTGCGTGTTTTGCTTTTATGAAAGCCTAAATACTTTTTTTATCATAGATATAGTCTTAGTCAATACATCCAGTTTAATTAATAAAACTTACCTACAGTAAAGTTCTGTACCAATGAAAACATTTATTTATTTTTGTATAAACTTTTAGATTATGGCAGTTTTTAAAAAATGGCAAGTATTTATAAGTATTTGTATTTTTTTTTGCAAGCAACACTTTCTACAACGAAAAAAAAAGCAAAAAACTTTTTCTACTTTACATGTATTTAAAAGAAATAATTCCATAATATACATGTTATATATTGTAACATTCGTCTTTGAAATAAAAAGTCTTTATATCCATAAATTCAGATGGTTATAAAAATCTTATAAAAAAGAAATTTCAGATTTCCATAAGGGTCATAACCAAATATTTGTATATATTGATTTTATGAGTATATTTGTGTTTTAAGTAATAAAAACATGACACTATTATAAAGTTTCATCAATACATACCCACCCCATTGGTATTTGTGTATAAAAATGTAATATATAAAATGACTTTCGTCAACATTATTTATATGACTATAATGTAAAGTTATATATTTTAATAGGCTTTCCTCTGGGGAATTATTTTACGATATTTTTAACATAAATCAACTCAAGACTTATTTATTTGTATCCACGACTCCACGAGGTATAAACATAAAAATCTTAAACCCAGTTAAAATGCCTACAACCTTCATACATACCTTTGTTAAGCCCACTTAAGGGAGTTAATTACCATCACATATAGAACCTTCAATAACATCATAGAAGTATATTTTTATTACCCTATGTCGTAATTAATTATTGGATGCAATTATTCAATTACTTGTTTATGGTGTGTTATATAAAATCGCGATTGTATCCGGCTGCGACCTCCAGAAGGTCTTCGATAATAACGTTTTACATTGAAGAGTCGAGGTGGTGCGGCGGATCTTCTCTAGTATTGGAAGTGAAAGTGAATGAATCTCGGAGGCTTAATTAGAGAGGACGCTTGCGCCTGCGCCAGTTCCTCTGAAACAACCGCGGTCGACACACGCTTCTTGCGTACAAACGGACGTACGCTCAGTTCTAACGCACGCAACAAACAGCTTCATTAAAAACTTCTAGAGGTACGCAAGTGAAGAATCAAGTGTCTACTACACATTTTTTATTTATATATCTGTTTGGAAGTTTTAAAGTGTATATTAGATTTATGTGTATAAAAAATATAACGCAGTGTCCGCTTATATTAATAACACTTCGTATAATAAATTTATAACAAACAATAAATTTAAAGTTTTAATAAAATAAAATATAAAGCGATTTTCTGTCATTTATTGTTAGCAAATTCTATTGACATGAAAAATTTCATTCATAGAAGACACGCCGAAAGTTTTGCTTTAAGTAAAATTTGCGTCAAATCGACGATTTCTCGTGCGGGCCACCTTTTCACACAAACGTTTAAGCATGCAACAAGGAGGTCAGCGGATCTGGTTTTGCTTTCACAAATACAACAAAATAAATTCATCTCACGTATCGATTGTCCTCGGGTGGTAATGGACTGCATAATGAAAGAAAGCGAACTCAAATAGAGTTAATTAGGTTTCATAGGCCATTATCGGCACACCGAGGTGTAATTTCTAAGTTTAGTAAGGGACACAAAAATGTTTTGCTCTGAAACAGAATAAAGTAATCATGATATCTATTTTTTCTCATTTATTGGTATTTTATTACGAACTTAACTTTTATTATAAAAAAAATAAAAATATATATGTAAGTTGAGGTTGTATATGTTTCTGTAAACATTGATTAATCTTATAATATGTTTATAAACAGATGAGCCGGCACGCTTGCTTGGCAGCAGCCGCGCTGTTGGCGGTCCTTTGCGTTGTTGACGCCCAACGACGCCTGGCCCTACCTGACCCCAGGAGTTGCGCCAACCGTACGTATTATACACCCATTATTGATTGAGTAACTATTTTATACAGTTTAATCGTAATTAATTTTCAATCAATTTATTATCCTCCTAATACAATGATCGTAGCGGATGTAAGTAAACGTTCGATGTCTTCAAAAGGAAATGACTTTATGAAATATAAATATTTAAATTTATGACACTAAACTTACACAGAGTATATAATAAAAAAAATACTAAAAATATAGGCATAATTGTCTATTAAAGAGATTTAAAGCACAGAAAACAGATAATGTCCATTAAAAGTCCGTAAATTTATTACCGATTCTAAAAGCTTCATAGCTGTAACACTTGAAATGTAATTTGCTTAATGAACTATTGTATATTTTACTCGTCATAAATGAGAAAGTAAAAAAAAAGAATCACTTCAATCTTGTATCACGAGAGCAAAAACCTTGTGATGGTTAAAAAATATATAAGTAAGGTCATTCTAGAACGAAAAACGTGTCAGTAACATATCCTCGTTACTTAAAAACAATTATAGCAATGATGAGCTAAACGTCCTTTCTATTAGTTGCACAAGCCATTAAATTGAAGAGGGAATCTGTGGCGGCTGGGTTGCCTTGCAGTGTAATTGGTTTGCCTTATGATTTAACGATATTTATTAATTATTATTGAGATAGCTATCTTAATTATAATTATTACCTATAGACAGATAACTAATAGCCTAGTTTAAATATTCACATATTCCTCTCTATTAGAATGAATATCATTTAATTTACTTTACCTTGTATGCTCTTCTGTTTTGTAAATAAACTTATTAAAATGTTACTTTCAACTTGACATTAAAAAAAATTAATAGGTACTTGACAGTGAAAACAGAGTTTAAAATATAATTAACTGGTAGAGGGTTCATCTCTGCTTATTTCTCTTATGAACATGTCATTAAAGTCAGTTTATTTTCTACTTTTAAATTAGTTTATATGTTTCTACCTTTGCATAAAGCATAGGATATATCAGAAATCTATGTAAAAATTCATTAAATATCTCTTTAACTTCATTTCACCTGAAACTGCTTTCTCTTCGTTATTAACACTTTTTTCATCATAATTTGTGGGAAGGTAGCAGAGGTTAGATGAAATCGATTGTTCCATGAAAAATAAAGATCTAGCGTATTGTAACTATGTAACAGGGAGTATACTTTCGATAAAAAGTTCATTGACCAATATATCCCTTACATCTTATCAACATGCCCATATTTCAAGTAAACAATACCTGCAAGTAATAGAAATATCTTCATTAAAAACTTATAATGTGATAAAAAAACGTGTGGGAAATATTTTATCATTTGTAAGATCGCAACTTAAAAATGTATGTTAAAGGGCGGCACTGCAATATTGTGGGAGTGTTCAGACTATAACAATTGACCGACAGTCTGTCACAAAGATAACAAAGAATCTTTTGTGGGCATCGCCATTTATGTCCCGTAAGGTACTTCAGTATTTTGAAATCTCGATACCGGATACTACAAATATATTCGATTTTGCCTCAAACTAATCTACCTTAAAGAAGGCAATAAGCTCTCAGAGCATGACTAAAACTACCGTAAGGTCGAGGGTATTTACCTTCGACTTTCTCTTCCAATTGAAATGTTATAATGTACGACAGAAACTTTTCACTTTCCTCTTGGTGTTTAAAATTACGTAAGAGAAAGAACTGAATTCCGAAAGTATGCAATTGATTTTTTTTCACATTTATGTACTGTATTTATTATCTTTACAAATGTTTCTAAAATAACATTTTAATCAATGAACTTTACACATAGCTTTTAAAGCTATGTGTTTTTTGAGGTATAATTATAATTAATAAAATCAATAATAAAAGGAAACTTGTAGCATTAAAAAATATTAAGAAATGATTTTTTTTAAACATTTTTATCCTTTGACATGGTAAATGCGTTAATAATAGGTATTTTGTTTCTGTTCGAGCAACTGATATATTGGACTTCAATTTGACTCTGAGATATATTGTGCAAAGGGATCTAACTAGTTCGAATGTTAAAATGAGTAACATAGTTTTGCAATGCCTTTACATTGAGTGTCGTCTTTCGTCATCTTAAAGTGCTTTGTATGAGATACTTTGTGGTCTGTACTTACTCGAGACATAGACGTTGGTGCTAAACATTTCTTAACTAATAACCAATGCCACGCACATTGCAAAATAGACAGACGAGGTGTTAACCTCATCAACTTCATAGTGCTTAACAGACATTTAGTAACAATTGATTGTTTGATTATACATTAAGATAACATTTTCATCAGGAATTATTGCCCAACGAAATTCAGTGCTGTATAATGTATAATCGAGGCTTATGTCAGTCATTCGTAAATTGTTTCGCGTTTTGATATCATATTTTAGGCTACCTGATTGTAAAAGACCGAAAATTATTAGGTATTCTCTTTAGTATACATTATCCACAACCTTTATTATTATAATTATTGTATTAATAGGAGTTCGTCACTCCACCTATCGCGATGGACGCGGTGTATTGCATTCGTACTTCTTCAGTTGGGAACACGCTCCAACACGTAGTTTGGAAGTTGACTGGTTGGATGCCAGGAACATCTGCCGACGACACTGCATGGACGCCGTCTCCTTGGAAACTCCACAGGTAAATATCTTTTAAAATATTCACCGATTCAAAGATTTTTTTAATTTATTGTGTATCATAGTCTACTATTATCTCTTTAAAAAGGTCATCAACATCACTCTACATTGGTAAATAATATTTAAAAAATATATAATTATTAATTATTTATATTAAATTTAAGAAATTAAATGGACTATGAAAGCTGAAGACAAATATTCCTGATTAAATATAGCAATTTATGTATAATTTGTTTCCGTTACGTAGTTTTAGCGTTTAGTCCCTTAATATCTTCTATGTTACATCACGTAATAGGGTCAATCGTGATGATACGCTCACTTTCCCATCGTCCAGTAAGATATAATTTAGAATGTAGCAAGCTCAATTTGTTTACTGCAATGACAAAACAAATAGGTAGATTTATTATTTTGGATATAAAGTCACATTCAGAAACTAATTTTTTGTTTAAAATTCAGAAAGATCTTGAATACATTTAGTTTTGTGTCGTCATTAAATGATTAATATACAATGTACATTAGAATACATTTAAATTTATTTTCCACTCAGTGAACACCACAAAATAAAGAAAAATTTATAAAAAAAAGGAAACTTATTTAGAAAATACATTGTAATATGACTATCACAAAATTCGATTATTCGGTTTTAAAAAAAGAGAAAACATATTTTTTTTCGACATTGATGCAATAACTTTTAATATAGGTAGGTATGTAGGTATCTACTATACACATACATGTATGTTTCTATAACACAAAGACAAAGTGTAAGATTTCGGATCATTTCCGCGTGTCAATTACCTCAACACTACTATTGTTTTTCATGTTATTATATAGTTTATCTTCCTTCTACAGTGGGAAGGTGTAACAATGGATGGATTACATATTTTTTTGACATTTCGCCTATTGCGTAAAACACAATTATCACTTTCAATCTAATTATTACTCACCTGTTTTTGTCTTATTCTGAAATTTTTTTTGTGTTTAACTGCAGCTATATTATTTTTTAAACATTCGATTTTGTCACACACCGCCTATTTAACAAGTGTTAGATTTGACTCCATATAATTTATAGTGAAGCAACAGTAACTCGTTAAGAAAATTAATATGTATTAAAATGGTTCGACTTCATACTGATTAGGTTTGTAGAGCGTGGAAGGAGTCCGTGAAAGGGGTGCAATGGCCGGCTGCGTCATTTCTCGATAAGACAACATACTCATAAGGTGCTCGCTGTACAAACAAGTGGAACACGACATACATTCTTTTGTAGCCGTGTTGCCCACTTCTTGTACCGGATACATACGACTCGATGGAGACGCATTTCCCGTCACTGACTTCGCTCCATACTAACCGTTTTACAATATATCTAAAGAAATTAACAACCATCTAACAACCAAGTTTCGTAAATTCTGTTTCGAAATCTATCATGAACTTCTCTCAAACTCTTTTTTTTTTTTAGGAGAATGAATTCATAAAGCAAAAAATAGCAAAAGGAAATGTTCGTTACATCTGGACATCGGGTCGCAAGTGCAACTTTGCTGGCTGCGATCGCCCTGACCTTCAGCCACCCAATGTGAACGGCTGGTTCTGGTCTGGCTCCGGTGCTAAGATCGGGCCAACCCAACAAACGTAACACTGGTGACTGGTCTTACACTGGAGGATATGGACAAGCCCAACCCGACAACAGAGAAGCTGCACAGGTAATTTACAGCATATTTTATAATTAGGTATCTTTCACAAACTAAACATCCGAATAATTTATAAATATTAATAATGTTTATAAAAAACACAACAAAAAAGTCATTCCTCATGACGTGTAAACTTGTTATTGACTTATTAAAGGAGCTTTCTACTGTACCGAATTCTTCGATAGAAAAACTATTCGATATTATAATACTCATCATAGAGACTTGATTTAGTTTCTCTTCCGGTTTTTAACGGTACTTAAATTACTTAGACCATCGACCGTGAAAATTAAATATCTATGGTATGAGGTAATCGATTCATCTTAAACAATTTAGTTTTGGCTCAGCTTTCCATGATTAATAATATTTTTTGAAGGGCAAACGACGAGTCCTGTTTGGCTATCCTGAACAACTTCTACAACGACGGTGTGAAGTGGCACGACGTCGCCTGTCATCACGTGAGAAGCCATTCGTGTGTGAAGACAGTGACGAGCTGTTAAACTTCGTACGCTCTCGCAACCCTGGCCTTCGTCTTTGAGTAACTCTATGATCCACTTCACAACCCAGCCCTCTACTTCAGACGGCTTTTGTACAAAAAACCAAGTGGCTAACTCTATTTAAGTTATTTATTTTTTAATATATACCTACAGTCGAACAGCTGCAATATTGTATTGTTTTCTGTTCTTCATTTCTTAAATCAGATTAATTAAGTTCTTATCATCGTCTCGGACAGTCATCTTGTAAAAAGTTTATGCACTAATAGGTTTACCTTATAAATATTAGAATAAAAATAATTATTATGACGAAATTGTTTTATTGCGAACGAACTATCTATAACTGTAAACGACAATGTATAGCTGTCACTGAATTTGTATAGATTTGGAATTCTTTAATCAATCGATTCGAGGTCCTCACATATTTGTTATTTTATAAGGTTTTACTTTAAACGTATTTCCCTAATCTCTTTTGCACTCAAAACCTTTAAAACTATTGAATCGTTACATAAACAAGCAATAGTGGGTAATATTAGGTATTTAAACATCTTATTAAAATTACCATGAATGAAAAGAATTTTGTGTAAAACTAGTTATATATCTAAAAAACACGTAAACAAACAAGGCCAAAAGTCTTCTGCAACACATAGTTAATAAAATGCCTTTAACCGATATCAGTTGATCCAAATAGTTAAGATCCGTATCCTCCGATATAAGTTTCAACAACCGGCTCAGCACAGAATTAATTGATCTAGCCAGACACAATTTTTCAAAGAAACAACTCAGTGCTAAGTCATAATACACATCGTTCAATGCAATTAAGTATAAGTAGGAACCAGGTTGTACATATTAACATACACGTACCAAAGTCATGACTAAATACCGTACTTCAGTAATATAACAGTAAATCTTTGACGTACGCAGTCAGTTTTAATTTTAACTACGTTGTGGTTGAATTTGTATTAAATTTAGTTTGTCTTCAATAATATGAATGCGATATATCCCCTTATACAGGGTGACTGGTGAATTACTATCGATATTTGAGGACGTGATATTTGACGATTATATATGACAAAATAAAAATTAATATAACATAAATATTAATAAACTTCTAAGTAAAGTTAACCAAAAGTTATGTAATTCATTACGCATCGTGTGAACACCCTACAGATTAGGTATACACACACACACACGCGCGCGCGTTTGGCGGCGTGGTGTTGTATCAGAACGCCGCCGCACGCGTCCACACTTGGAACACTTGGAACGTGTCCTCACTTTATTTATTTATACGGAAATTTAGTCAAAAATTAAGTACCTATTTTTTTACATAATTCTAATGAGAATCATGTACCGAGTATTCTCCTTAAATATTGATAGTAATTCACCAGTCACCCTGTATAAAACAAGGATACATTTATATTTTTCCTGAGCGCTCATACGTCTACTTACCGTTATTTGAATTAATTGACAACTGGAAGTGAGTGATAATAAACAAATTTTATAAAAAGAAAGCACTTAAAAAAATATTTTATTGCTAAATTCATAAAATAAATCAGAAAAATACACGATGTCAAAGTTAAAATACCAGTGAGACATAAAAATCACAATAAAGACACAAAAACAAAACAAACAGAATACGTAACATTAAACTTATCATACTTACACAATATTCTAATTCTACAGAAATGTAATAGAGAATAATTCAATAAGTGGTTTACAATACAAAGATTACATTCAATACACTGATATAACAGTATAGGGGCGGAGATAACACAAATATATAAAAAAAGTTAAATACAAAATGTTCAGCGACGAGAAAGTTTTTTAATATGCTATTATGTAAGGAATAAATATACATTAATGATGGTCTATTGTATTTAAAATATTTTCATTTCACTATAGGCATATTACAATAGTTGTTATCGGAACTATATAAATATAATAATAAAAATAAGAAAGCCGTATATAGTGATACGTATTAAAAACTTAATTAAAGAGAATGTCATTATAAAACAACAATAAATATTTGTCAATCAAACACGTGGAGTTATTGGAAAAAAACAAACATTCAAGTTATATATCGAAACTTTTATATCGAAAGCTATAAATTTTGGAGAAACCTTTTATTGAGAAAGTATTATCAAATATGGGCATTCAATAAAATTAATCGCTATTTCATTACTAAATGGCATTTCGTTATTACTTTACTCGATGAAAAACATCTTTATAAGTACTTTACACTCAAGAAGCAAATAACATTCAGCTTATTTTTGATTTGAATAAATTCTTTTCGGTTTCCTTAAAATGTTACGACAGAGTAAGGAAGTGAACATAATATCTAACAATAAAATTATATTAAAACGGAACCATATCTAATATGTATAATGTCTATAACATACATATGTGAGGTCGTTATAATAAAACTTGCGATTAAAATTGATGTAAAGCAACAAAATACTATTAGATTAGATAACCGAATAATAGCTCAGTTACATAAGTTTAAAACTTAAAACAATACTTAAAAAATAGTAAGGCATCAACTTAAATCCACTCAAACACTTACGTTCTCAGATTTAAGCTAAACTTGTCCAACATAGAATTAAACAGAGATCTTTTCATTATAATGAAGTCGTTAAATAGTTAAATCTAATATGACAGTTCTGTATATCTAATGAGAAGTGAGACAGGAGGTGTCAGCTAGTATGGTTGAGAGCAGCGGTCGGTCTTTTCAAAGCAGCGGCCAGTTCGTCCTCGTGCCAGCGTAACCTGACCCGCCGCCCCCTCCCCGCTGTCCGCCCCGCGCCCCCTCCTCCACCGTGACCGCTCCCAGCGCTTCCAACAGCGACACAGCACTACACATCTCGCTCAACTCCAGAGGCGCTATATTACGAGTCTCCGCAACTCTGAAAGTTAAATTAGAATTAACTAAGATGTATAAAAAATATTACTTTTGTATTCTGTATTGATAATAATACATTACATATTTATCAATCTGTTGATTCGTTTTTTATGCAAAAACATGAAAATCCGTTCCGATGTTAAAAATTCAATAATGCAACTTTAGTATACCTCGTGGCATTATAAACTTAATATACGTAAGTAATATATGTATTACTATGCTAAAGTGAAAAGTTGGGTAAATTTGTAATAGCTAGAATTTAGTGAGGATATAAACGGCAGAGGAACGATTGACGTGAAAATTTTAAACGTTACTGCGGACGAAAAAATTGGCAGAATTACTAACCGGATGACGAGATAGGCAGCTAATGGGGCACATGAATCTTAGAACGTCATTTCCGGTTAAAAAATTTCTCCATAATGGTTCTTAAATTGTTGAATATCATAAAAGGAAATTACCTTTTATAAACTTCGTGCAACTTTCCCATGATGATTTCTTTGTTTCTTCCTTTGCTCAACATCAGCATGAGGCTGCATAATATTAGTTTTTGCTGCATAGGAAGTCCTTCGTCCACATCGTTGTCAATTTTCCTCGAACATCCATACACGTCGTTCAACACTTCCAGGACTTGTTTAAGTTCGACCGTCACAGATGAATCTTTCATCATATCGTCAATTGAACGGTTTTCAGAAAATTTACTTCGTCTCGCCAAGTCGATCACTCTACGTCCTATATCTAAAGCACGTCTCATGTCCCCGGACACTGCAGCAATTTTGGCTAAAAGAAATAATGAGTTAAATTCATGGATTACCAGTATTTGTCTATTATAAACATCTGCAAAAAAGTTTTTTACGGTATAAATCCACGTGATATTATAAAAATGTACAAAATTTCTATATTTATTAGGTCCAGAAAGGAATTAGCGATCCAATAGCTTACCAGCCAACATCTGGAGGGCGACAGGCGAAAACATATTCTTCATATCATCAGCGAGTGTGCTGGTGAATATATTAATGATCTGTTCCTTAGTATATGGAGGGAAATGCATGGTAGTCGGTCTCAGGCCTGCTTGTAGGCGTGGGAGGGCGCGCTGAGTGAGGTCCAGAGCGTTGGCCACTCCAACAAGAACCATGCGTGAAGGCAGCGCCCCCCACTCGAACAACGTGTACAACACACACTGACGCTTACTGTCCAGCTGGTCTATTTCATCTAGAACTAGTATTCTATAAAAACAGAAAGAAAAGAAATATTAAAGGTATTCTTAAAGTACAAAATTAAATTTGATATGGTTTATATGATTTTATTTAGGTCCTTATCATTTTTAGAAGCTGTTAGCATTTAAAAATTAATATTATTAGAATAACTTTTAAAAAATCCAGTATTGAGTGAGATGAGAGCCATATTATATTCAGTTTCTACTTGAAAAATAAAAAACTTATAATAAACCTTTAAAAAACTATATGATCTTTAACTTTAATATACATGTTACCAATCTTAGTAAGTAATAACTCACATCATTTTATGTTTCTTAAACAAATATTTCTCGAGGGCGTTATAACAAGCCTTTTCACTGGTCCCAGTGGTTGGCACATGCAGTTCTTTACAAATTCTACTATAAATGCTGGCTGCTGACTTCATCATGGTACAGTTTATGTATACTTGTTTATATCCCTCTCGTATCTGCAAAAATAAAATCAACGTAATATTCACAATCAAACTCAAATCAAATTCCTGTGTTTTCTTATTTATAAAAACATGACTTACTCTTTTTTAATATGATTATTATTATTTTTATTATACAACTGCCGGCAGGCAATAAAAAAAATCTCATAAAACTACAGTTACATATGTATGAATATTGTTTAACAGAAAGATCTTTGGAAAGCAACCGTGACAAAAATTTTCTAGTCATTGAATAAATAGGTACACTAAATACATATTACTAGTCAGAGTATGTTTTAAGTGTTATTTAGAAAATTACACAAAACTCACCTTTGGTGTTTGTAATATATATGTTAAACTTGCTGTTTTTCCAGTACCAGGTTGTCCAGAAATATATAAAGATGCAGATTGTTCTTTGTCCAGATGTTCAATAAAAAAAATTTGTCAACCATTCTATTTCTTTTTCTCTACTCACTAGAGGTTTTAGAGTATACTCTGTTTCTTCTAATCTGTTGATGAAGTTATAGTATGTAATTATTATGTTTGAAAGTGTAAATTGTTGTATAAAACAATTTTTTATAAACTCACTTGTTATTAGTCGTGATTGCTTCTTCAAGTATGGATTTTGTATTTTCTTTCCTTTTAGAAATTTTCTTTGGAGAACAGGTTTCTGTAAGTGTGTCACATTAAAATATTATAAAAACTTTATAATAATTACAATTACCAAACATACAGAAACAAACATACCATCTTCAGAATTATTAAGATCATTCTTTGCTTCTATGTTAAGGAAATTTTCGTTTTCATTATTGACTTTGCCTTTATTTTCATTATAGTATGTTCTTTTCCGCGACTTAAAAGGAATTATAGGTTGAAGAGTCGCCATCTGAAAATTAAAAAAAAAACTATTATATCTCGTAAGCAATCTAATTAGATAGTTATTAAACATTCAACTTTACCTTTGTTATTACATATCTTATTGTATTAATATAGATGGGTGGGACTTAAAATATTAACACAAATATTATTTATATTATGTATTTATTAATCAGCATAATGGGAAATTATATCATAAAAAACTAATTCCAAACAATTAAAACAAAACAATAAAATACTTAATTAAAGAACAAAATTCAAATAAAAGCTGGATGTTAGGATAAAAATACTTCCATTGAAATTTAAAATTATTTATTACAAATGTAATGTCACAAAGATATAAAAATATAATACACCAATCATTTTATTTCTTTTATCATTATATGTACATCAAACAATTATAATTACACACAAATAAAACAGGCAATCACTTCTATTTGTATAAAAACAGTTAAATATTGTACATTTGTATTACAAATTATTGTTGTTTTAAAAACTTAATAAATATCATATATTCACTATTATTGCTTATCTTTATTATTGAAATCGTTCTGACTTTGATGAGGTGTGTTAGGCACATTTTTAAACATATCAAAGTGTCTCTGAGCATTCACCCAAGCAATGTTGTTTAGAATTGCCTGTTGAGTGTGTAAATTAAAACTGACTTTGAGCAAGATAGTCAGCTGCAGAGTTCATTGCATAAGTAGAATTAATGTTGGCGTTATTGGCTGCCTAATGCCAGTTATTTTACCTGAAGGCATTAAAGGTTTTACTGCTTTAAGGCCTACTTTAGATGGTCCCGGTGAAGGTTTAGGAGATTCAGTTTTTGTAGAGCCTGAGCTGCTAATTTGAGTACTTGTTATTGATTGGACTGATTCACATTATGTTCAGAAGCAGAGTTATTTCCTTGTTTATCCTCAGCTATAACTAATTTTGGTGAAGAAACTTGGAGAACGTGTTTGTGATCTTGGTGAAGGGAGAGTTGCATTTGGTGAGTTTAAATTAAAATTTGGAGATTTGAATACTAGTATTTGAGTTACTTGGATGTTTTATTTGATTACTCTTTTGAACTTGTTCCTTCCTAGATGTATTTGCTTGTGATGCATTGGCATTTCATTTTATCTAATTTAAGCTGATTTTATGGTATTAGCTGAGGGCACTCTAAGGGGTGGAGCAGTGGGTAGAGCTCTAGAGGTTAAACTAGAAAACAAATTTGCTTGAGACATTGAAATTGGAGTGAGTTTAGAGGGCATACTTTGCTTCTTTGCCAAATTATCAATTGATTTCATGGGTTTCAAATGCTTTAGACTGCTGAGGACCCCAATTGACTTTGGAATATTATGTGGGGTAGACAAATCCAGGGCTGTGCCTGTTTTATTTTCTAACATGGGAGTATTAATAGGATTTGATTTGTTGGAAGCGTTAAGTTTATTAGCAGCACTAAAAGATTTTGGTGTGGCTGGAACTAATTTTGGAACTTGAGTTTTAGTTTTAGGCAACTTAGATTTTTTTTATCAGACTGTAATGACTGTAGTTGTTGTTCAAATGTCTGCTGGAATGTAATGGGAGCTGACAAATTACTCTGACTAGCTTGGGCCTTAGCTAACTTAGTATCAGCTATTGGTTTTTAGATTGGGTATTGGGCCTTTTGCTGAAGATTCAGATGATTTGACTGCAGGTTTTGCTGGCATTGGGCTGTTTTCAACTTTAGTTTGACTATTATTTTTATCTAATAAAGTTTCAGGCTTGTTTGGCTTCTTAGTATCACTATCAGGAAGTTTAAGAATTTCAATATAAAATATGTACAGGTGGACTTGGAACTTTATGAGAAGTTGAACCACCACTTGTTAGATTCTTGTTAACAATATTCTTCTTTTGGATCTGTATGTGTTTGGTCAGGACTTCGTGGATCTAATTTCTGGTCTGTTAATGTAATGGACAAAGAGGAAGGTATATTAATTTTGCATGAGTCAAATAAGGATTTTTAAAGGATCTCCTGATGTGGGTTGCATATTAGGTACAGGCAGAGCAGATTTCACTTGTGACAATATTTTACTTCTGTCCATAATTGGATCACAATTGTTTGCTAATAGGTCCATTCTCAGTCTGTCTGCAACAGGGTGAACTTTATTTTTGTGATGATGCATTTGAAGGAATACTTGGTTTCAAATCTGGCATTTTCTTGCTAACAGTTTTAGGAGTATCAACATGCTTGGGCAAAGTAGAAACAGCTTCTGGCTTTGGTATTTGCAGTTTTAGAGGTGAAACTGTCTTTTGAACTAAAGGTGAAGGTTGGGCCGCTGTTGTTGGTTCAGAAGTCTTTCTTTTAGGAGATGTTAAGGTCTGTGCTGCTGACACATTTCGTTTTTCTGTACAGGACCCTCCGTTTGTTGTTTGAATGAAGACACTTGTGGAGGTTTAATATCTTTTGTAAGGGCTGGTACTGGAGATGACTGGTTACTATTATCTGTTGAGGCAATTTTGGGTGTATCTGGAACACACTTGCTCTTTTCTGATCCCTCATTTACAGTTTTTTTTGCATGTTATTAGTACTTGATACTTTAGCAAATTACATTATTTCAGTAGTAGGTGATTTTGTTTTGTCTACTTCAATTTTGATTTTCTTCATCTCTGGTATTGCTTTTGAAGGTTCAATCTTTCTTTTCAAAGTTTCTTCAGTCTTAGACACTGGTGTGCTGACATTTTTAGGAGTTTCTTTCGGTAATGTAGCATTATCATTGGTACTTTTGGGAGAAGATGTTTTTGGAGTCTGTGAATTATGTTTAGCTGTAAGTTCAAAGGAATTTAAAAATTGTGATTTCTCAACTTCATCATCATTTTTCTTGAAAGGAGATGGGCAACAATTTAATGCAGATTGTTTAGAATCATAGTTTTTACCGTCCTTAAACTTTTTGTGCTTCCTTTTTTATAGTATCACTAAGTTTCTTCAAGTTATCATCTGGCATAGGGCTGTCCGTACCAGATGATGCCTCAGACCCATTGTCATTTATATGTGGGATAGGACTGCTTACATTGGTATCTTCTGTACATGTTGGACTTGGTTTCCTATCTGGGAATTGTGTTCCCTTTCTGTTGATATCAAATATTCTATTTCTTATAGCAACATAATCAATTATTTGGTTAAAAAAATCTCATGGGTTCATTCCTTTTCCAATTGTATATGTAAGCAATATCCATTAAAGTATAATAGTCTGGTAAGGGAACTCTCTTATATAATATGGTCTATAGCAAATTGAGAACTGTCTATATCAAATTTCATACTAAGGAATTTTTTGAGATGATTTATATTGACCACAGCTGGACATTGAAGGTACCTCCGGGTGGAGGCTGTTGCAGGCTGTGGTTCATTACTGTCTGATGACTTACTTGATATGCTGTCTGTGTCAGTAGCATCAGAATACTCTAAAGAAAATGATATTACATCTTCTGGACTGAAAATTATTCTTTCTGTATCTTCTCCTCTTTGCTCTGGCGTTGCTGATGCTGCTGGACCGGGTCTAGATGCGTAAAAATTGTTGTCGACGCTCCATCTCTTTTTGAAAGAGAGACCAGGTACAAGTTTGTACACAATATCTTGTAAAGCTTTATCTAGTTTTATGTTAGGTTTAGCTGAATTAATCATCATTTCACAAACCGGGGCAGTAGCTTTTAATTTGCAAATGCTTTATTATACAACTACGGCAGAACGAATGTAAACACTCCACGATGGTAGTAGCATCTATGTAATAACCTCGACAAAGAGGACATGTTATTTGTTCGTTTGACTTCGCCTAAAAGTGTTCGTTGAGGCATCACTGCACTATTGTCTTGCTCAGCCATTTTTACCACCTTTTTATCAGGCTGTTTGTTAGAGGTAACCATTTTTACATCGCATACCCAGCGTCACTATTTTAACATTAACGGAAGCAATAAACAGTCACCGTTTCAAACATTTTATTTAGGTTTGACAATACTATAAAGATAACGATTTAATAACTGGTATACAAAATATTTTTGCTTCGACTATATACAAAAAGAATCGATAAACTTAGCGCAAATCACAACTGGCACTCGGTAGACATGACAGAAGTAAAGTTGAAATGTTGGCAGCACTGTCATAGTAATAATATAAATGAACTCGTATTTAAAAAATCTTTTAAAATCGTAATATTTTACATTCTACAGCGACAATTATATCTTAAACCGAAAGGGACTTACCTCTATTAATCGATTCCAACTCACTATTACGTGATTACACCGTTAGGCACTTTTATTATACCAGATTTATAGTCAATATTTTGGCGCGAATAAACTTTAAGCCCTATCAGATGTTAATGTCAATTATTTGTGACAATTGACAATGTTACCCTATTACTTTTAACAATATTTTCTTGAATCAAAAACAAGTTGTTATTGAAAGGAAAATTTATATTTGATTTTAAACAAATAAATAAAATAAGACATTAATCATTATATACCTTATTGTATATGAAAAAAATATATGATTCATACAATTTAAAAAATGTAAGTGTTTCTTTATAGAGCAGTAGATATACATTTCAATGAATAACATAAAAAAACCAAGTAAACCAGCTCTTAGAAACGACAAAACATTGTTATGTTTTGTTTTGTTAAGTTCTTAACATTTTCAAAAGAATTACTATTTTTAGTTCCATCCATTGAATATCAAGAGGTTTTATCTCTCTATTTTTTATGATGTAAATGGTTCTGATAAATCTAAATATATATTAGTCTCGATAAAAATAACCTTACTTTTACAAAACAGATAAAACCTGAGTCATTAGATGGTTACACAGAAAATTGTTTCAATCTTATGTTTGGATATTAGATAGAGAAAATTTTTTCTCTTTATTTTTTTTCTTTTTTTGCTATTATGTTTTTATTTAATACTTTGAGGTTTTCAATATTATTTATAAATGGTACCATTTTTAAATAATTTGCACAGTTTATAACGCCTTTTAAACTTTAAGTATTATTTGACATGGCAATACATAATTGACAGAGTCTGATTTGTCAAATACGGTTTCGTTCTTTCTTGTAGACATAGCTCAAGAGAGCGCATCTTTCTATCCGAGCAGTATAATTTAATCACTGCTAACTGAGCCACTTCTTATTTGTTAGCCGGTCGGCTTAGTTCTTCTAAACATGAGAGCCAAGGTATTTTTGTGTTTAATCTATTAAATATCACATTACAATGTATGTAAAATGTGAAGGTTTGTTCATAATAACCTAAATTTCTGTTTGTTTCCAGTGGCGTAAGAAGCGTATGCGTAGGCTAAAGCGTAAACGCAGGAAGATGCGTGCGAGGTCTAAATAAAAAGGTACGTTTTTATACATTTCACTAATAACTAATCGATATTGGCCGACATGTGTTTGTCTCATTATCAAGGTTTAACTTAGACTTGAGCTTCAATTACATTGAAATTGAAAGTAGTTTATTTCTCTACCATGTCTATTGAATAAGTCTGAACAAAGTTTACTATAACGTTTCGATATAACCACTTGCCAGAGCATGTGAGCTTAACGGTGGTTCTAATTAATCAAATGTAATTTGTACTTACATGTTTTGTAATATTGATTATAACTAGAAGATTATATTGTGATTCATGAAATTTTATTGATAAAAGGCACATTTCAATTTTATCCCTTAATTTTTCAGTGAAATGTTAAAACAAAACTTGTCTCAGACAACTCTTAATTGACAAACAACCTAAAATAAAACATGTGCTTATGTTTAATTGATAATTTTAGGACTTTAATTCAATAGCACGTTTCTTCAACTTAAAACACAATAACAGAAGTGAATACTTGATAAAGTATTAAATTCAATGTACATTCTAATGTAAAGAAGCTTTCAAATTTAAAATTGCACTACATGGTGTCTTCCATAATCTTTTTTATCATGTAACATACTGATAGAGTAGATGAATTTTACTCATATCATAAAAAATATTATAGTTGTTAGGCTGAAATACTTAGAAACTGTATAATAATGTTCATTTACTTAATTGTGGCTAAAAATATGAAAGTTTGGTGTATAACACTATGTTCTTTAATATTAATTGACAAATTAATGTATGTTTTATATGTAAACATAAACACATCCCCCTTAGGCAGTCATTACCTCCTTTGAGGATAATGCAAAGAAAAGGGGGATATATAAAATGCTGACTCCACCCTTTTTAATTTATAATAATACAAAAGGACTATTATAAGCAAACATTTTACTTAATCTAGAGAATATTCCATTTTGGTTCTTCACATTTATTTTCAATGACAACTATTTAACCAATTATTTTTGTTACAGGTGCACAAGTTTTGGAAGGAAACAGCTATTGTAACTTTCTCTACCTGTGTATACAATAAAATTTAAAAAAACCCACTTTGTGTTTCCTTCCCAAAAACAAACCCAATACTTAATGTATCTTAAAGTGAATATTTGAAATTACCTTTTTTTTATTTAACTAGAAATTCACGAGATTAAGTGAAAACATGTATTATAATTCATAAATATTAAGATCTACTAACTACTATATCAGATAAAACTTTTTAAGATTTAATAGAGAAGTTATAGTCCATTAGGCTTAAGCTGAGCTTTGCATTTATGAGTGAAAATGAAAGTAGAGTTAGACAAAACACTTGTAGAATTAAATCTTATTACATATATTTTAAATAGATACATAAGTGGTAGAGCTATTCTAGATTAAAAATAAAATAAGCAAAACTTGTCAAGGGCCAGAGGAAATGTAGAAAAAAAATATAAGAATTTTGAAAAACTACAAAAATTTTTCACTTGGCGCTGTGTTTTTCAACTTTTGATCCTGCTACCAGTACAAAGGGTGAAGTGCGGGGCGGAATAAAAGCAGTATAAACCTGTTTTCAAACCTAAAAAAGCACGTGGCATTCAACAATTTGAAATCACATCTACACTATCCGTGAGCCAAAGCTAAGCTTATGCCTCACGCACTATACTTAAGTTGTTCTCGAACAGTACCAAAACGATCTTCAGGTTTTTATATTTTAAGCCTTAATGCCTTCGTCTAACGAGAAATTGTCATTTAAAAATGCATTAAACTATTTTTTTTAATCAGAACAGAAGACTGATTTTTTTAAATTTATATATGAATTTAAAAATACGGAGATCTATAAAACTCAAAAAATCATCTTATTAACACTATCAGATTACATTGAACTCTTCATTATTATGACTAATATGTTTTAGACAAAAATGTTAGATGGCTGGAGACCTCCATTTAATTTTATTTTTTAATATATCGTACCTACTTGTATATATAACAATAAACATTAAATGACAATTCAACTATTAACTTCATTTTACAATTTCATTCGGCTATTTCGACTAAAATAGAAAGAAAACTCCATAGATTTGGAAGATGGGGCGCATGACTGGCATCAAATGGGAAAAAGCAGCGCAATGTAGACCAGTGCATAATATTATTTCATCAGATTTCCCTAAATACAATCCACAACCTTGGAAGTTTATGGTAATTTATTTAATTAATTCGTTTGCCTTATATGACATTTTCTCTTATACCTACTTCTAATATAATTTAAAAGGAAGGAAAGTCTCGTATACAATGGCTTTTGTCATATGAATATCAAAGAATGTGGCTCGAAGAGAGGGAAGCTTGGAAGAAGCGCATGTATCCCGAAAATACTACTGTAAATGTGTGGATATTGTGAAGAGTTACGTGTTGACATTCAAAACTAATCATCAGCCAACAAAACCGGAACAAAAGAAACCATTTAAAATGAAAAAAGTAACAATAATTTGTAATAAACTTAATTAACTTTTTTCCCTACCAAATAAAATTTAATTCTTTTAGATTTGAAGGAGTGTGGGCAGTAAAACAGTTCATAAACGTGCTCCTGACGACAAAGCTATGCAATTCGAAAAAGAAAGATTAATAGAAAGAAAAATTTTATATATCTAATTTTTTTTCTTTTTATAAGAGTATAAATTTGATATTTTTTATCTTATTTGAAAATTTGTTTTAAAAATATAGCATATTCAAATATATATATTTTTACTTTTATTAAACTTTTAATTATCCATTAAAGACAAATTACAACTAGTCATACCTACGAAAATAGACTTTTAATATCCTATAAAACAATTATGTGTACTATGAAAAGGAAGTAATTTGGGAATAATAATAAAAAAGCATAAGTATTAAATCAGTCGATGTAATGGTTTTAATGAGTATTAAAGTAACATATTTTATTCTCACAAACATTTTCTATGATAAAGGCAATAAGACATTTTGTAAACCCCTAATATCAGTTATAATTTAAATATTACTTTGTACTAAGATAACTACTTGGTTCTTTTATGCTAAGGCAAAGGTAAAACAAAACATTTATATAATTTTTTTTTTTGGTTTATTTTGGTATTAAAAGTGGCTAGTGTTAATTTTTGATGTAAAAAAACAAAGAATGAACAATTTTATTTTCTTTTAAAAAATGGAATGACAGAATCAGACATTTGTATAGGCTTTTCTTGTTGAAAAAAAGACCAATATTATTACTATCCAAATTGAAAGCTAAAAGCTGATCCCGGGAAGCCTCCACCTGAAGAAAAGTCAAAACCTTGTCCACCGCCGTTAAAATAGGTTTGGAACATCATATTTGGATCAATATCTGAAAAAAATTAAGTTATTGGTAATTATAAATGGAATCAATCAGGTACAAATAAGGACAGAACATTGAGAATGTTAAAATATCAAAACAGAAGTATGACTACAATTTGTATTTAGTATGTATGAAAATATTTAAAATACATGGAATTACTGTGCCCTTACTTAACTTACAATTTTTGTACATCATAACAGTTTTCATTGTACTGGCAATACTATATTTATTAAAGCAACAAGCAATCCCGGATATGAATAGTTATGTCAACCCTATTATACAGGGTGACTGGTGAATTACTATCGATACTTGAGGACGTGATATTTGACGATCATATATGACACAATAAAAATTAATATAACATTAATATTAATAAACTTCTAAGTAAAGTTAACCAAAAAGTTATGTAATTAATTTCGCATCGTGTGCACACCTTACAGATTAGGTATACGCATACACTCACACATACGCGTTTGGCGGCGTGGTGTTGTATCAGCACGCCGCCGCACGCGTCCTCACTTGGAACGCTTGGAACGTGTCAACACTTTATTTAATTCATACGGAAATTTTGTCAAAAATTAAGTGCCTATTTTTTTTACATAATTCGAATGAGAATCATGTACCGAGTATTCTCCTTAAATATTGATAATAATTCACCAGTCACCCTGTATATGTTATATTTGTCTATTTGCACAAAATATACAGAGAGTAGCATTTAATTCGACCTAACAATACACGTTTCATAAAAATATTAATGGTTAATACTAACTAATACCACCGGAACCGTCATCAAGGGTCTTGTCCGTGGTCGTAGCGGGCTCGTTTCTTGGGGTCACTAAGCACTTCGTACGCCTCCCCCACTTCCTTGAACCGGCGCTCCTGTTCCCTGCGCTCGTTGTCCGGAGCCCCCGCATGTCTGTCCGGATGATGAACTAGAGCGCGCTTTCTGAAATGCAAAAATGCCTAATGTTAGAGGTGATTTGATAATAATGAAAACATGAAATATTGTTAGGTGTTTACTATAGTATTTTTTTATGGCATACGATTTTCATAGATCGTTATAGCAATAATTTTCATGTGTAACCATGTGATTAAGAAATTCACGGTATTAGTGATAGGAAAATTAAGGGACCATTCATTTATTAGGTAAGACGATTAAGGGGAGAGGTCGACCACGTCTTATTTTTTTTTTTTTTACAAAACGGTGGGAGGGAGTCTTGATTATTCTTAAGTTACTATATTTTTAAAACGGTCAAAAATGTGTTAAGTCAAAATTATACTTTTAAAAGAGCGAGTGAAGAGATTCGCGAATACGTAAAGGCACGATATCTTAATCTTTTGCAGGTAAATATTTCCAGATGTATGATTTTAAGATGAATGATTAAAATCAAAGTTTATTACAACCGAAAAATAAAAATTATTAGCACTTTTTTAGCTACAAATAAACAGTTCTAAAAATGTTTACTTAGAAAACTTCATTTTTCCTTTACTTTCCTATGTAATAGATATTTAATAGGGATAGGGGTTGGCCTATTCTTATATTTTCAAAACTAGCGAAAATAGTCTTAGGTTTTAAACGTATGGCCCCTTATCCCTTTAATCGTTTTGGCGAGTTTATTTATTATTTAGAATTCGATAGTAATTTCTATTTAACTGATCTCAACTCTTCATAATGGAACTCACAGTGTGGACAAGAAGTGAAAAAAGGATACTTGCTTAAATTTTAGGTTTCAATCACCATTTTTTTTTCATAATGTCAGGTTTGAATTGCCCAGGATTATTCGCCATTTATTGAATTTATGAATAATTTACAAACCTATAAGCTTTCTTGATATCGTCTTCTGATGCTGTTTTCTCAATGCCCAAAATCTTATAGTAGTCTTTGCGTTTGGATTTCTTTAAAGCCAGTTTTGCCTCATGGAGTAACTGTTTGTGTTCCTTATTTTTGTCGATCTTATAAAGCCTCTCGTAGTCCTTCACAGCGTCTTCGTGATTCCCCAGTTCGGCGTAACATTTGGCACGACGCAGCAAAGCCTTAACATAGTTCTCATCTAACTCCAATGCGGCTGTGCAAGCCTCTGCTGCTTCTTCTATTTGATTTAATTTTGCGCACACAGTGGCTTTATTAAAATATAGTTTGGCGTTGACTTTTCTGTTATTTTTATCAATGGTGAGTGCTTCGTTATACAGATTTAAAGCTTGTTGCCATCTACCCATTTTAAATGCCTCATTGCCTGAAATGAAATAAATTACTCATATAAAATAATATTTAGCGGAAACAAATAAATAGATGATAATTTACCTTCCTCTTTCTTTTGTTTTAGTAGCTTGGCCTTTTTATAAGTCTCAAGGGATTTCTTGTGGTCTGGTGCAAGTCTCAAAACTTGTTGGAAGTGTTTGAAGGCTTGCTCATCTTTGTCCTGAAATAAAAAATAAAATAAGGATATAATTATTTTTAGATTTAGATTCACCCAATTTTATTAATAACTAGTTTTTGACCGCGACTTCGTCCGCGTTAATTTCGTCATTAGTAATACAGGGTGACTGGTGAATTACTATCGATACTTGAGGACGTGATATTTGACGATCATATATGACAAAATAAAAATTAATATAACATAAATATTAATAAACTTCTAAGTAAAGTTAAAAGTTATGTAATTAATTACGCATCGTGTGAGCACCCTACAGATTAGGTATACACACACACACACACACACGCGTGTGGCGGCGTGGTGTTGTATCAGCACGCCGCCGCACGCGTCCACACTTGGAACACTTGGAACGTGTCTACACTTTATTTATTTATACGGAAATTTGGTCAAAAATTAAGTACCTTTTTTTTTTTTTTACATAATTCGAATGAGAATCATGTACCGAGTATTCTCTTTAAATATTGATAGTAATTCACCAGTCACCCTGTATATGAAAAGCTGACTTGGCGAGCTTTATTCCGTCTAAGAGGCCATAAATAATCAGGTTTTTCCTGTTTCAATCGAACAGAATGATTGACATATTAGTTAGTTGTCAAATCTAATGTCAAAGAAAAACTTTTGTATGGGAAATAGAAAAGGGCTGTTTTTAGAGTTTTCCCGAAAATAAATAATTTTTTTCAGCTTTTAAACCTCCCTGAACCTCCACGAACATTTCAAGACTAAGATAAGATAAATCCGTTCAGCCGTTCTCACGTTTTAGTGAGACTAACGAACAGCAATTCATTTTTTTATATATATAAAAACAATAACTCACCTCAAAATAAAGGCACAATCCACGTACATATATTGCCTCTGTGTCTAAACTATCAAATCTTAGTGAATCATTTGCTATTTCCTGAGCTTCCTGACAGCGTCCAATCATTGCAAGGCACTCAGCTTTAATAAGTTTCGCCCTATGTAAAATATATTATTAAAATAAATAAAACATACCTATAAAATAAAGCAAGTTAATGAATATAAGTATAATGGTTTACTTTATACTTGAAGGACTGTATTCTAAACAGCGGTCCATGCAGAAGACCACACGGCGGTAGTCTCCGGCCTCCATGGCACGCTGTGCGTCTTCGTGTAACCGTCGTAGTGATTCTAACGCGCGACGTTCGTTCGATGCACAATCTGGCCCACCGAGTTCGCTTGCATTACGAACCGCCTGTTCTGCACCAGATATATCACCTGAAAAATATATAATGGAAAATTTATACATATTTGCAACAGATCATAATTTGTGAAGGAATAATTCTGTAGTTCCCATTCCTCATCTCTCATCTCATCAACTGCGATCAAGGTTACTGTAAAGTAAACCAACACGTCGGGAGTATGTAGTTTATAGTAAAAAATAAAAAATTGCATAGTAAATCTGAAAATATTAGTTTCATTTAAATGAGTACTCGCGAAAATCTTAGATCTCATTATCTGGACATGTTATTTTAAATTAAATACAATATTAAAATTATATACCAATATAGTTCATTTAACATAAAAAGAAAAAATCATTGAAGATCAGTTACAAGAAAATATTATTCTACATTAACATTATCTAGTATGGTTTTTGGATGCAAAAATTTATCTATTGCGAAGATTGCTATTATCACCAACAAACCACATTTCACAAAATAAGATATTATTTTTATTTAATTTTTTATTTAGGTATTTGTGATATTGGACAAACTGTAATGCTATAGAATTTTCAATAACGACTTGAATTTTCAGTTTTTTATTACTTTTAAAATTATTTGAGTAGAGTATATTATTCTTTTTTAAGAACTCTATAAATACAAACTGACTGTTTATTTATTTATTTAAATAAATAAACAGTGAAATTTAGGGAATAATCGACACATGTCCGCTCTCGACTAAAAATATTACTGACTGTTCACAAATACGGCAACATACCTACAGCAATATGACATTTAGCCATACGAATATATCCTTTAGTGAATGTTGGGTCAAGGGCTACAGCTTTTTGAGCATCCTCTAAAGCTTTTTTATACATCCCCAGCATCATGTAGCAGGCAGATCTGTTGCCATAATAGGCTGCATTTTCAGGACAGAGTTTGATTGCATCTTCATACATGGCCAATGCACCCTTATAATTTTTGAATTTATAGAGATGGTTTCCGCTCTCCTTTTTTTCCTCAGCCAGTCTATGATAGAATATATTAATTAATATTAAAATTCACTGTGCTATTGTATACATTTTGTGTAGGTTGAAGGCCAATAAGTAGGTCAAATTGTATTACTTGAATATTGACATGCTATACTTTTATTGATATTGTTTCTTATTCCTACATTTTGTTGCAAAAAAAAACAAAGAAGTTGACAAAATTTATATTCTTATGGAACAAAGATGAAAGTATTCAATACATGATACACTATGGTCAACAACTATATGCTATACCTTTCTGGACTTTTGGGAACTAAATCATCGATTGTTAGATCCAAATCCACTACTTCTGGCTCAGCCATTTTGTATTAACTAATATTTTAGTTTTTTAAAAATTAATTGTACTTTATTTTGGCAATGGATTACGGAACCTCAAATGACAAAAGAGAATGACTGAATGAACATTGAACTATGAAGATTGATTAATATTGTCTATACAACTAAACATAACAGCATCTACATAAAAAATAAAAAAATATATATTTATTAAAAATAAAGAAAACAATAAATACTATATTCTATAAATTTTATTATTCTGTTATTGTATAAATAAGAAAGCTAATGTAAAGTTTATTTTTTTTGTATATAGACTATAGCAAACATGAAGATGGGAAGACGTCACCAATGTTATGACTTATCTTGGACACTTATGCCAAAAAGTGTCATATTATTTTGTCACAAAATGTTTGTCGTTTGTAAGTTCGACAAAAATTTCTAATAAGTATGCTATATATTAGATGATATTAGTTTTAATGTAGAATTACAAAGTATTTGGGAATAGAATACTGACATTGATTTAAAATGGATAGTACAATTTCACCCGTTAGCGAAGTTTTTATAAACAATGGTGAAATTGAATGGCAACCACTTGCTCTCACTTTAGTCGAATATCCAAAGGGTATCTATATTTTTATATTTAATTTTAATCCAGCAACAACAAATTGAGTAGTTCTTAAATTAACTCTTGTTATTTGAAATATTAAATTTTGTATGTTTTCAATAAATTTTCTTTCAGGAGATCCAATAGGTAAATTTTTTGCACTGACCAGCTTAGCTCCATTTGGAATTGGCGCCGGGTTTGTTACTCTAATACTCTTTAGGAGGGATCTTCACACAGTAAGTAAATGTGTATAATATGAAGTAGGTCAGTTCAATAATAAAGTTTATAATGCCTTTTCTTTTAGATTGCATTTTTTATCGGCACATTAATCAATGAGGCCCTGAATATTGTTTTGAAACATTTAATTTGTGAATCAAGACCACTAGCACGAGGACATTTGTATAATGAATATGGAATGCCATCATCACATGCTCAATTTACATGGTTTTTTAGCATTTATGTGTTATATTTCTTTATAATAAGGTAATAAACACAACATATTTCATATATATATAACAAGTTTCTATGAAACATAAAATGTTTAAATAAAAAAACATTAAAATAAATGACTAGTATATTGTGCACAAATGATATTTAATGAAATTATATTTCAGGCTACATCATATAAACAATAATAGTATTATATCGGCAGTATGGAGAGTTATTATAGTAGGCAGCTGTTTGGCTCTAGCTTTAATTGTGAGTATAGGACGAGTGTACCTACACTACCATACTACAGCACAAGTAGTTGTAGGTGGTATTATAGGATTCATGTTTGCAACTATATGGTTCACTGTAGTACATAGGGTACTAACACCATATTTCCCTCAACTAGTAAGTCTGTAAGTATATTTTGGTATTTTTATTCATATTATAAATAAGTCAATATAAAGCATTTTCAATTTTTAATTACATATTTGATAATAATACATGGAGAAATAATAAACAAAAACAAGAATACAAACAACCTTATATACAAGAATTAAATTTTTTGATGTCAGAATTTTTCAAAATTTTGTCACATAAAGTATTCTATTGTTTATAGCTATATATTCTTGATTTTCAGTAAGCTATGTGAAATGTTAATGATAAGAGATACAACATTAATTCCCAACGTCCTGTGGTTTGAGTACACCACGTCAAGACAAGAGGCTAGGACTCGCGGTCGCAAGATGGCCGCGTTGAAGCCGACCCAATGACGGTGCGCCTGCGCACGCTCCACGTACTGCAGCTTAAAGCGCGCGTGACGCTTGATAGCCGCCGGGGTCATAGCGCTTCTTGGCGGCTTTATTATAACAAAATCAGAACCGCGTTCAATATTATCATATTGAAAAATATTTATTTTGAGTTTTATTTGTTTTATTTCATTATGTTCTATAAAATAAAGACCTTCGTGAACAAAATAATACAAATACAAATTTCGTCTAGTGTCACGATTATAATATAAGAACTTTATTATTATAAGTGTAGTCGTTAAAAAACGTGTTGTGCTTAGATAATAACAATTTAGTTTTGTTTATTATGATCAATTTATTTTTGTGGTATAAATAGTTAGTGCATTAAAAGCACATAATTTGTATATTTCATGCATAATCCAGATTTTGTCATTTAATATTTAGTGCGTGTTAGAAAATAGAAAAGACGCATATAAAACATATTTTATGTAAAGGTTGTAAATAGCAAAAGTGTATAGAAATTGACAAACGCAACAATATTTAGAAAACTGAATGTGTCGCTTGATATGCCGTCCAAATTTACCAATAGTGCTAGATAATATGATGAACAATAGTTAAAGTATAAAATTAGTTTAAATAAAGTCAAAGAAAACATATATATAAATACATATAAACTATTCATAGGTACGTGCTATATTTGTCGTCTCATCATTAACTTCAAAATACCAAGTGGTAAACATTAAAATATATTCTTTAGACTTTAATATAGAACAATGTAGTCTAGTTTTGAGTTTGGTTTCAATTTATAAATACTTAAAGGAAGATTATAGTAATTTTTTTATATTGTTGTATTGGTAGAGTTCGACTTGGTGAAATCATAAAAGGCTGCTACGTTAGTGCCTAATTAATCAAATAGCAAGTTTACAAATCGTTTCAGACTCCGATCAAAATAGGTCCCTGCCTTTTTAAATTCGTTCAACTTTTTTGAGTGCAGTTTGTTACTAAAACATAAACTCGAAATAACATTCATGCTACGAAAGAATAAAGTAGTAATTATACTGAAAATCCGACTTAAATCTTCTTAAGAATCCCCAGAAGATCAAAAGCCCTTCAAAAGAATTATTGGCCCAGCCTTTATATCTGTCAACCATTCAAGGTCGTAACAAAAATGATCAGGCGTGAGAATCATTTATGTCCCCCTGAACTAAAATAGCATAAGGCATTCGACATACGCCGTTAAACGATTAATAGTATAGAATCATTATAGATTTGGGAGACAACGGTAAACAAAGCCGCTGTTTTTTAAAAATTTGTTTCTTAGTTTTTTGTTCTTCCACGTTAAAGTCAATCCTAGACCGGTGTCTATAATAACCGAGTGAAAACTAAAATGTATATACTAAATATTATTTTAATATATACATTTACTAAATATTATATTATTTTATACATATATTGTATGCCCAGATTTAAAATGAAATTATACGATTTGTTATTTACGTTTACATGTAATCCTATGAAGTTTAGATGATACCAAATTATTATACCTATGATTATTTATAAATTCGTAAGATTGTTATCCAAGGACAACCTTGGATGTACTCTCAACGACATGACCCCCGATATATCCTCACACAATAAGTCTCATATTATTTTCTGCTATATATAGCTCCAAGCATTTAAACATTAACATTTTTACATTAAAAAAATTCATAGTGCAATTGTATAGTAATTACGTGTAAAATTAAATTTAACGATTATTTAATTTTTTCCTTCTCTTAATACTTACTTTAATTTTAATGTAGTTGTTAAATAGAATAGATAGTTTATTTGTATAAAATTAATTAATAATCTATAAGAACTAGACTTCATGGCAATATTTAGGGATCAATAGAAAAGCGATATAGACGTTCTTATGTAAATAATATACTAGAAATTATAAAACCTAATTTAATATAATGAAATGGCGGTTTAGATAGTTAAAATATCTTTAAATTAGTTTATCTCTTATGTAATTATATATTAATTGAAAAGTACTTTTGATGTTAAACCTTCTAAATGTATGTATATTCTAATTTGTTACTCTGCGCTGCCTATAGAAAATACATATTCGTTAAACAATAGCTATGTAAATTAATCTAAATTATCTTGTAAAATTTAAATGCCTTAAATACGCTCAAAGCCCAGAAATAAAATATTAGAAAAATATGAATCCTTTTATTTTTTTGCCATTTTGTTTATTCTACAAATCAGCCTGTGACTTTAACAAGAGATTATGTAGTCAACTTTAATGGTTATTTGTATTTAACTCATTAACTTTGATTTTTATTTGAAAAACCTAATAGTGATTGCTCGATAACTGTTTCATTTGACGAAGCTTATTATAAGAATCTCATCATTATTCCAATTTCTGTGAAAAGTATCGTTTTAATGATTGCATTTTATGTTATTTCCCAAAACTGGTTATTATTATTAATAATAATCCAGGATGCTTACCAGTCTGTGTCGTTAACAAAAAACAGACATTAACTGTGTTTTTGGGCATTCATTTAAATTAGGACTATTACTGGATAGTACATTATTCAAGAATAGTATTCACATACTGATGAAGATTTATGAAAGAAGTCTGTCTGCCTTAAGTGTACCCTTTTTTTTGTTAACGCGGTGAAAGGTTTTATACCTACCCCTCCGACTAGGGGAGACGGAGGCGGGTATGTGGGACTCACGGGCCAGAAGGGCTTATGCTACCCACTAAAACACCAGCGGTCACTCTCCGTCGCCTCCTACTGGGTCGCCACGGCATTTGATCAGTAACATCATAATCATATAAGCCTATAAGCGTGCAAAAGCCAATTCTTACTCTATATTATGATCACTTTTTATCACTAGAATATTTTGTTTACATGGCTAAGTTTGACATTTTATGAAAAGATCCGTAGTGTTGTGATATCCTCCCGGCGTCGGGACGTGACGACCCCATCGCCCACCGGTGTATTCCGGTGCAATTAGTCACGGGGGGGAAGGGCCTTGACCTCCTCGTGGGGTCTTGGCCCGGGCTGGGGGTGCAGCCCATGGAGGTGGGTAGGACGAGGCTCGGCGGTGTACACCGCCGCTGCCAAGTTCGGCCCTACGTGTTGGCGGGTGGCCTCGGCCACTGTCGGCGCAGTCCGGCGTCGGGACGTGACGACCCCATCGCCCACTGGTGTATTCCGGTGCAATCAGTCACGGGGGGGAGGGCTGGGGGTACAGCCCTGGGAGTAAGACGGTCACGGATCTGGCAGGAGGCCGTCCGTGGCTGTCGGGGGGGGGAGGGGATACTCGGGTCTCTCCGGAGGCCTGAGTTCGCTTGTGGTCGGTCGGTTTCCTCTCTGTCTGCCGTCGGGCGCTTGCGCTCGTCGGTGGGTGGTTGGAGACTGGCCGCGTGGGCTTGGGTGGGAGGGGTAAGGGGTTAACCCTCTCGCGATTAAGCAAGCCCGCCAGGCGGGGGGGACACTCCTGGTCACTTGGAGTGAGCCCTCGGGGGGGGAGGTGGCCGTTCGCGGCCCGCCGCCGGATCGTCGCGGATGCATGCTTCGGCGTTTCCCGTGGCGATCCACTTGGCGGCAACGGAGAGTGACCGCTGGTGTTTTAGTGGGTAACATGGGCCCTTCTGGCCGTGAATCCCACATAACCGCCTCTGTCTCCCCTAGACGGAGGGGTAGGTATAAAACCTTTCACCGCGATAACAAAAAAAAAAAAAAAAAAGTGTTGTGATATCCTCGTTTAATATAATGATAAGAACAATTTTCAGACAATGTAAAACTACTAAGTATATATGTACATATACTTAGTAGTTTTACATTGTCTGAAAATTGTTATACTATAGTATATACTAAGTATATAATATATGAGAACCGTATAGTAGTTTTACATTGTCTGAAAATTGTTATACTATAGTATATACTAAGTATATAATATATGAGAACCGAAACCAATAAAAATTGCAAATTACTCATTTTATATTAAAACTTGGTTAATTAATAGTATAGGTACTTACTTCAAAAAATTTTTAGTTCTTATTCTACATAGTACAGTGATTAATTATGAAAGATCCATACAAAGACGAAAAATAAAACTTTTTATTAGCGAAGTTATTTATTGCATTTGTATAAGGTACCTTTGTATTGGATTATGCATTATTTTACTTTTCTTCATCAGTTTCTTCTGTATCGGCTTCATAGTCGCTTAATAAATCTTAATTACAAAACAAATATACATATTAATATTAAAAGGTTATTTAAGACCATTTAACAAAAAGCCGTGTAAAAAATAACTTACAACTACTTTGAAAGCTGGATTCCTTAGAGCAGCACGCTGGTGTGTTGTATTCGCTTACACTATCTAACCATTTCTAAAAAAATATTGACTTTTAATATTTTGAAATATAACTTTCCAAACAACTTTCCTGATATATCTTTATGGACTTCCAGGTAAAAAAGTATTAAGTAAGTAATTTTATATTTGCTGCCAAAAGAAAGTATATAAATCAACTTTTTAAATTGTTTTTCAGCAGCCGCTATACAAGTTTCGATAGGTCACAAAACGAAATTTGTTGGAACATCTTGCGCAAAAGATGGACCAAGAACTTGACACATGTTATGGAATAAGCAAGCTCTACTTATCAGTTAGAGTTTTAAAAATATTCTTTTATTCAATGTTGCAAAATTATTTTTTTAAAATATTTAAATAACTGTAATGTTGTTGGGGTCCTAACATTCTTTACCTTATCAATAGGAATAAGTCGGTTAACTTTTTTCATGAAAGCGAAGTTGGCTTTTTGCCCCACTAGATGTTTGGTGACCTCCGTAGTAGACATTGCTTTATTTAGCATCCCTTCGACCATTTCTGGATCCTCATCAAGCAATTGAGGAAACATGAGCATAAGTGGTTTCATTTGGGGACCTTCCTCACATTCAACCTATAATGTTAGTTAATTAATTAATTTATTGCACAAAACAGTTATGAAAAATTAACATATGTAAATATTTTACGAGCTGCAATACAGCTTCATCATTGTTGCTATCTAATTTTGAATTGCTCGGAGTTTGTACAATATCAACCCATTCAGAGTCTTTAGCAGCCAACAAAGTGCACTGTGGTTCTTTAGTAGTGTGGCCGATGCCAAAACTGCTTCCAACTGTCTGAAATCAAACATCAAAGCTTAATTAAAACTCTGTGACCTGATTACGTACAATCAGATATTTAAATCAAAGTTCAAACAAATAATAATATGGTAATATAATAAAAGTATTATTTACAGGTGTATTCGGTCTTGTGGTCATCAATGTTTTCCGCTTTGGTCGTTTATTTTTTTGTTTATATGAGTCATGGCCATTCATATTGTGGGTTTCATTTTGATTTTTTTAATACTAATCTTTTAAACTGAAAAAATATAGTTAGTAATAATATATATCTGTTCTATGACTAGTGTATTGACAATTTGTAACAGGGTTACTGAAATATCCAATAGACAAATCAAACCATAATCTAAATGAATGACATGAATGAAATGAGGTTTTATGTGGTTTGAAATAGTTATAGTGAGACAGATTTTTTCATTAATAAGTTACTGTAATATTATAGTAGATACTTTAGATTACTACGTTAGGACTCTATTTAAAGAATCTATCAATATCAACGCCCTAGTTTGCATCGTCACATTACATTGTTAGAATTGTCAGTTTTACATTAATAAATCTTCGCACATTTTATTTTATTAATATCATATATTAAATGAGAAAAGAGCTACGATTCGTATATGTAGTGTGACGATGCCAATTTGTTCTAAACGTAGAGCCTAGAGATATTTCCCAGTAAAAATATTGTCGGCAAAGGATAAAGAGCAAAAGTAGCTCTAGCTAAATATTAAGTACATAAGAATTCACAGTACACAAAAAGCCCTTCGAAAAATTGCTAGGTATAGCCTACAGGCCCCGCGTTTCTTAATCCTCCAATAAATAGTATAATGAAGAAAGCAAACAAGTTTTTTCCTTTAAAACCCATATTAAAAAATTATCTTATCGACCTCTTATGCAAGTCAGAATACACGTTTTTATGAGTAATGTTTTCAGTACTATGGAAGACTTTTATATACCTACTTGTCCTATAACTCTGGGAGTGTGTTTTATGGACTTTTTATGTAGCTATTGTTAAATTGCTTTCGAGATGTAATTTGTAAATTTTTCAAAATTTATCTACATCAGTAAAAAACGTGATACAAAAAGTACTACTTACTCGATTTTAGATCGATTAATTTGGAAAATATGATTTTCATAACTTCTATTTATTAATATTGCGTAGTAATTTGATAATAAGGAACCTCTCGTATTGTGCGCTTCTTTGACCTTCTGGGTACCAGACACTTACATTTTCTTTTTCAGGAAGGTTATTTAACAACCTTATTTATTACTAGCTGCGCCCCGCGGATTTCAGGGATGTGAAGTAGGCTATGTGTTACTCCTGGACGTCAGCATCCTGTATACAAAATTTTATCAAAATCGGTTCGGCCGTTTGAGCGTGAAGAAGTAACAAACCTACACACACACTCACAAACTTTCGCAATTATAATATTAGTAGGATTAAATCACCTATTTCCAACACCACATTGTAATTTCGACGCAGACAAAAACCTATATCTCAGACGATTTTTGTAATAGGATATATACTTCTTCCTACTTTGGTATATTTTTGTTAAGGATCTTGAACAATTCCATAATTTTTGTTTTTTAATGTTATTCTATTTATATAATCAAAATAGTAGAAGTCTTTATATTAATAAGTTTCAAAAAATCTCAGTAGTATATGTAGTTAAAAAATATATATATTATTTCAACCAATTCAATAACTGTGTTTTGAAAGGATTTAATTTTACATTAAAAATAACGAGACTATTTAAACATTAAAACACAGCACAGCTATCTCTTATTAACTCAAGAGATATTTCTTGCTGCATTCACCATTAGAATAACCTACATGGCTCTTATGTGAATGATAAATAATCAAGTGTTTCACAGATTCATTCCACCGTGCACAAGGCAAAAGAATTTCCAATTTCCAAACTGATGCTAAAATTTAGAACAATTTTCAAGAATATACACAAATTAATATGTATGAAATATTTTACTTCAAAGTATTTTTTTTATGACAATTGGTTTATTAGGAATAGTCGTCATCATCATCTTCTTGTGATTCCTGTTTCAGTCCCGATGGTGGTGGTATGTAGGCCTGAGGCATTCCATCAGGACCGGCGAGACCTTGTTGCTGCAGTAATAACCACTGCTGCTGTTCCTGCTTCGCTTGTTCTTCTCTAGCCTTTAAAACAATAAATTTCAATTTACACAATGCAATATTGAAAGTACTAAATATTTCGACAATCAATACTTATTTATATACAATTATATTGTACTATTTGAGCTTAGTGTTAAAGTATAGTAATACATAATGAAATCTAAGATTTTCATGAGTACTCATTTAAATGAAACTAATATTTTCGGATTTACTGCGCGATTTTTTACTTTCGACTAAAACATATTGTTATACATATTTAATTTAATAAGTATATCAAATAGGTTACCTTTGCAAACAATTCTTGTTGTTGTCTAAATAACTCTTCCTCTGGGATACCAAGATTTTCTAATCTAGTACTCTGTCTTCTTCGCTTTGCAGCCACTGCTTTACAATCTTTAAGAACCGCTTCTGCTTCAACTGTGTAATCACTAAATCCTAATCTATCTAAAGCTGAAAATTTTTATTTTTATTAAAAAAATTACAGTCAAATCTTTAATTTTATCTTAATTTGAATTGATATCTCTAAACAAGTTAAGTAATAAATTAAAAAAAGACATACCCATGAGAACATGTTCAGCATTAATCGTTTTCTTGTTACTTTGATTACAAACTTCATTGGCTTCTGAACTGATAAGATGAATGAATTCTGTACAGCAATTGAGAATCAATTCTCTGGATTCAAAGGCTACGCGTACAGAAGGGACTAATTCTTTAATCATCTTGTTTATACTTGCTCTAGGTAAAGTAAGTTCGTCTTCTTCCGAAGGTGGAGGGCACAATTCTCTCTCAGGACTCCCCATCTTTTTTTGATTTGCTTATCATTAATCGTTGCTAATTAATAATAATTACAACATATGTTTTTTAGTAATCATCTGATTTGCTGAGTTTTTTATTGTATCACAAAATTATTTTATAATTAATGTCTACCTTTCAAAAGGATCAAATTAATTTTGAAACGAAAGAAATTTTAATATCGTGTAACTGTTCATACGTATAAAAGAATAACACTTTGTTAGTGTGAAGGAAAGTGACAACTAGTTGTAAGGACTACAAATTACAATAGGTGATACCCATTCTAAATTTACGCATTAGATACTGTCAGATCGGACTCCAGAGATTAAAAAAAATACTGAATAATGTTTATCAAAGTCTGTCTTATATGATATACATTTATAGGAACTGGATGGTTTTTGTAACACAAAAGTATTTGAACAATATATTTATAAATTTTGGAGAATGTAAAAAAATTATGTATGAGGAACCAAAGTCTGGGGCAACGGATTCATCTCTAAGTAATTTTGTCGAAAACCTCTGGGCTGAATGGATTTATATGAACTATGACTATGATAATAATATAGTTAAAATGTTTAAATAAATTATTTAAAGTTATTGTGTTGTGTAAAAGTTATTACTAGAATATAAGTTGCTTCATCATTCATTTTAATCACAAGAGTTTTTTTAGATAAAGTCACAATTATGCTACATTTATTGACTCTGAATTCAATAATGCTATTGGTTTTATATATATTGTATTCTTTAGTGCAATTATTTTTGTACAAGTCTACTCCTATTTTTTGTACTAGTCTGTATCAAGTTAATGACAGCGTTAACAGTGACATAAAGAATAATAATTTAATTCTTAGTTTTATTACAATGTGGATTTTGTGTTGATTTCTGTTTCGTATCAAATATAAAATGGTTTTCTATTTTACAAGTAATGTTGTTGCACCACCGGTTACTCTATTTATGGGAGCCGATAAACATGAAAGTAAATTTTGTATAACACAAAACTTCCACAATTTTGAATATGACATGTGAAAAATGTTTTAATTTGTTTTACATTTTCTAGATGAAGATTTAATTAAGTGGGGTTGGCCTGAAGATGTATGGTTTCATGTAGACAAAATTTCATCAGCCCATGTATATCTACGTTTGGGTCCAGTATGTAAGCAAAACATATTAATTAGAATGTCAATTCTATTATTGCAATTAATTTTAATTTCGCTTTAATAGGGTCAAACTATCGATGATATACCGAATGCTGTACTTGATGATGCCTGTCAGCTGGTAAAAGCTAACTCAATAATGGGTAATAAGATGAATGACATTGATATAGTTTTTATACTATGTGGTCAAAATTTAAAGAAGACACCCAGTATGGAGGTACTATTAAGATTTTGATACAATATAATATTATGTTGTAAGTACAGTAGAAACTGGTTTATCAGGTCCTCAGTTATACGGATTCGCAATTATCTGGACTACGGATAATTCCAGACAAGAAAAAATGTCAAAGCGTAAGAGAGTGGTGTTATTGAGAGTGGCATACACTTAATGACTATTACCAAATATTTTAAAGCAAATTAAACTTCTAGTTTTAATTCCTGATTACCAATTGCAAATTACCAAATACATATTATAATTTATTTCATGATTAAATTTGTTTTTAGTACATATATCTGTATATTTATGTAATCTAAGAAAATGCTTCCTTTAATTACTTATTAACAAACATTGATTTTCGTTGATACGTATTTGTAATTTTTGTAAATAAACATAATGTACCACATATGCATAAAAACGTCTTTTCTTCATACATTTGATTAGCCAGATTTTTGATTATCCGAATGGCTATCGACAACAATTAGTCCGGTTAATTGAGTTTCTACTGTACTACTAATATTGTTTATATTTTATTTACTTTCTGTATCTATCCATATTGTCAACAATGACTTGTTAAAAAACATATAATATGTGAATTACATTATGAGGGTGATCCCATAAATACAAATCCCACAAAAGAAAAACAAAAATTTGACAAAGTTTTAGACAAATTATCAACAAAGTTTCATGCAGGATATGATCCCGAAGGTCTTTTGAGTTGCCATCAAGGAGAAGAGGCACCGTTCTCCAGGATTCAAGCACTCTTTGATTTGATACACGATTTCCCTTCTGTAAAAGAGTCGAATCGTCGATTAATAGTATTTTTTTTGGCATTTTACGCGAAAATTGGCGAACACGTCGGTTTCCACACGCGTTCAAAACTAAAACTCATCCGATTCGACTGAAATTTCGGCAGTAGCAGTCTACAAGAATATTTTAGAAAAATTGTCTTGTGACAATGATGCCAATAGACGTTGAGGATACAGACTTATGGGGCCACTCTCATGTATTTTTGAGGAAATTAACAATGAATATAATGCAATATTAATTTAATCTGTTTAAGGTTGGTCAAGTTGCTTTTCATAGAGACAAGGAAGTTCGAAAAGTCAGAGTTGTAAAAAGAATTAATGAAACTATAAATAGGCTCAATAAAACCAAAAAAGAATCATTCCCTGATTTAAGACTTGAGAGGGAGACAAGAGATAGATTGGAAAGGGAAGATAAAAAGAAATTGTTAAGAGAAAAGAAAGAGAAAGAAAAGGAAGAAGAAAAACGAAAAAAGGAGGAAGCTGAGTTAAGAAGTTATGCAACTTTGATGAAGACAGAGAATATGACAACAAATTATGATGGCAATGATTCTGATGATTTTATGTGAAGAATTAAAATAATAAAGCAATATATAGGAACTGGACTGTTTTATTAGAACATCAATTCTTATTCTAAACTGATCCCTACAGAACTTAGTGAGTTAACAACCCAAGATGGAAAAGTTTTTTGTGGATAAACTTCATTCATGAATTGCTTGACAAACTCAGGGAATGTGCCTTTTTCAATATTTTCTCTCATAGTTCTCATTAACCGCATCTAAAACAGAAATGACAAAATTTTAATAAACTTGGATAAAGTTGATTTTTTGTGTAGATATTAAAATAAAGTATTACCTGGAAATATATATTATGGACAGATATAAGGTGACAAGCAACTGTCTCTGATGAAACAATACAATGTAAATATGCCCTAGTATATCTTTTGCATGTTTCACAGAGACAATCTGTATCAATTGGATTCAAATCACTTTCATAAATCTTTTGTTTTAAATTCAGTTGACCTTTGTTGATTAATGCACATCCAAATCTCTGGAATAAAAACATATTGTTATTGATTTATAAATCATAATCAATTTAAATTAAAGCAAAATTTTTAATTGACTTACAGCAGTACGTGTGGGGAAAACACAGTCAAACATATCTACTCCCAAAGCTACACAGACAACCAAATCAACAGCTAAACCTACACCCATTAAGTAGCGTGGTCTATTATTATCTAATATCCCAGTACTCAGACTGACCATCGGCCAAAAATCATCCTTTGCTTCACCTCCACTGAAATATAAAAGTAATAAAAAAAGGCTTTAGTATATTTTGTTTTTAATTACTTAATACATAGATGTTGGTAGTAATATATACTTTAATTAAATTGAACTTGTTTTCACAATATTTTGTTTTAAAATATAACTCATTAAAACTCTCTTGATGATGCCTTCATTCTTTAACATAGATCCAATACCAAACTAGTATTAATGTTTTCAAGAATCATAAGAAATATATATGATAGATGTAACTTGATTTTTACTATATTATTGTTTAAATCCAACCTCAATCCTCCAATTGCAAATCCATTAACATCTTTAGTCATATGTTCCTCAGCACTTTGCTTTCGTAAATCAGCATTCAGCAATCCTTGTACAATAGGAAATATGTTCTGTTCAGTAGGACGCTGATGTGCACTTATGCATCGGTCCAGCCATCTACTTGTTCTTTCAGTGGCTTCTTTAATTCTGTCATAGTCTTGAAATGTTGTTTGGACAACATCATCAAGTTGCATAATAATATCTGCACCTATAGGAGGAATTAAGTTACTGATGGCACTAAAATATGATTTAGTAGGTAGATGATTTTCTTTCCAATTCTCATATCAATTATAAAACATTATTTTTAATGTTACAGAGTAAATTCTTGATAATCTTCTATATATATAAAAATGGATTGCTGTTCCTTAGTCTCGCTAAAACTCGAGAATAGCTGAACGGATTTATCTTATCTTAGTCTTGAAATGTTCGTGGAGGTTCAGGGAAGGTATAAAAGGTGAGAAAAATTGGAATAATTGCCGGGCAAACCCTAAAAACAGCCCTTTTCTATTTCCCATACAAATGTTTTTTTTGACATTAGATTTGACAACTAACTAATATGTCAATCATTCTGTTTGATTGAAACAGGAAAAACCTGATTATTTATGGCCTCTAAGACGGAATAGAGTTCGCCTGGTCAGCTACACCTACATATATTACTCTTGACCAAACTAATGCGGACGAAGTCGCGGGCAAAAACTAGTTTTAATTAAATGAAATGTGTGGAATACCTATGCAATTTTGAATTTCAATAGATTTTTCTGGAGTTAACATAATTTCACTGTTATCATAGGGAGATCTAAATTTTACTCCTTCTTCTGTAATTTCTGCTAATTTCAATAAGGAAACCATTTGGAAGCCTCCTGAATCTGTTAGAAGAGCTCTATTCCAACCCATAAATTTATGAAGCCCTCCTGCCTTTTTAAGTACATCAACACCAGGTCTATTCCCTAAATGGTAAGTGTTTCCCAGTATAATTTCACAATCTATCTCTTCAAGTTGATCTGGTAGTATGCCTTTCATAGTTCCCTGAGTTGTTCATAAAAAATAAAAAAGTGTTGTTAGGTGAATAATTCAGTACAATATTTACAGGTAAACCTATTTGTAGGTATCTTATTTTTATTCATATTTACCTGTGTTCCTACTGGCATGAATACAGGTGTTTTTACAGTGTAATGGGGTAATTTCATAAGTCCTGTACGTGCACGTGTTTTCAAACACTGAGATTGCACAGTAAATGAAAGTGCTTTTGGCGTATTCTTCATTTTTAGGTTTATGATAACTTTTATTCCTTATTAAAACTGTCATATAACATTCACATGGACCAAAGAAAAGCTGTTTACTTCATTTTTTGTACTTATAATAATTACTCATACCTAAGAACTATAAAATTATAAATGTTACACATAAAAATTATTAAAAAGGTTATACGATAGGAATCGATATAAACAAATGAACTGGGAAGAATAAACTGTCATTTTCATTAAAAACGTTGCCATTACGCTTTAAGAAAATGTATTTAACATATTACATTCAATTGCAATAATAAACGAGGGCGGAAAGATTATTATAATTTAAGCCAAAATTTTGAAAAACTGTGAGATTAAGTTTGATTGTATCTTAATTTTTAAAATTTTACGAAAGTAAAGAATGACAGAAATTAATCTATGTTATGCGACAGTCTTTCAAATAAGTTTTTGTCAAATCCTTGTTGTCTTTGGTGAAAACGAGACAAGATCTAACCTAATACAGAATATTAGAAAATAAAATTGGAGTTTATTTTCCATGTGACAATATACTTTATTCGTGTAGAACATTTTATCAACCAGTTTTGCTTTTGGTGTCATGAGTATTATAAATAGCTATGCCATCGACGTTAAATGTATACGTAAGTAGATTATGCCATATTTTAAGTTCATTATCAAAAAAAAAATGTAAATTCAGTTTTTACTGGAAGGAAATACCTACTTTGAAATTTATCATTGCAGTTTCAATCCCCACCTCTATTTCGAACTTGTTATTATTTTGTTACTTAGGTTTATATTAAGCACGTGTTAAATATAAGTTGCTGGATCGATCCTAACAAATTGTAAAAACTAAATTTTGGTAAAATTATTATTTGAAACTATTTTTCTATAGTAGTTGTTAATTTTATTTATTAATTAAAAGTTATATATCGTCGTTTGTATCCATTTACAAAGTTATGTTTTTTGAAATTGAAGACTTAGATAGTCAAAATATATATTTTTTTAATATTTCATATAAAATTTTAGATTAAGATCCAAAATTTAATTTCATCTGTGTTGTTGCTTCTGGTACAATGCATAACACTCTTGTATCATTTTTGAATATCCATAGTTCAAACCTCAGTTTATTGAACCTTTTTTATGAATTTTTTAAAAATTTAACATTGAATTATAAAAGAAGTTGTGTATATTTTACTTTTTTAAATATTTTTTTAGTTCAAATAATCACATAAAAGGCTTTAAAGAGTAATTAAAAAGAATGGAGTCTACAAAGTTACTTAAGAATGACGCTCCAGAAGTTTTGGTTTTACCGCCTAACATTTTAGAAAAATTGGGCATTGATTTAGGAAATATTCAGCCCTGTAGTAATGGAACAAATTCAAACTCAGGTATGATGATGCAAGAATATGAAATGTTAAATCACCACAATTTATGTTTAATTAAATACCTGAAAATACTCAAAAACCTTACATTTCAGGTATCAGTGGACAATCTGAAGACATATGTGTAACAGATATCAATAGACCTGATGATGTGCCTGGTAAAAATAATGATGGACAATGTGATGGATCTTCGATTTTAGAAACAGCAAATTTGATGAAGGCCTCAGTTTTCTTAAGTCCCACATTTACAAATTTGAAGGCTACAAATGGTTTAAATGATCTTGAGTTTAATAATTTTGATAATGCTATAGCCACTATAGAGTGCAATGTTTCCAAACCTTTAAAAAGTAATAGCCCAAAAAGGAATGGAGTAATTAATGTATCTGTAGATAATAAATTAAACAACTCTGAGCCTGTGCAGAATAATAATGTGAAAGGTAATTAATATTATATTATTTAAGCTTTACTTTTAGTCTAACATCTTTTGAAAAGAAGTGCAACTGACATTAGCGAAAATAAGTAAATTAATTTTCTTTTTATAAAATTTCAGGAAAACAACAAAACTCAAAAAATAAAATAAAAATAATATCTGAAGAAGTTATTCCCTCGGAGAAAATTAAAGATTTAATAACATCTGAGATACCGATTAGCAAAAATCTTGTTTCTGTGCCAATTAACACAAAAATAACAAAAAAAGTTACTAATATTAAAAATGGTCCAGCTTCAGTACTATTATCAAAGGAGAAAAATAATAATGATTTTAAGGATAATAATGATAAACCATTCAATGATTGTAAAGTAAAAGAAAATAAAGTTCCCAACATAAATAATGGAATTCAAGGTAAATCAGACAAATCAATTAAGTTCCAAATAGATAATGATGGGTTAAAATTATCAAAAGAAATAAGTTTGGGAAGTAATACGAATAAAGATATCATTACAAACAATAATTATGAAGAAAAGTTTTCTGATGAAAACCAAGATCTTGTGAAAAATTGTGAGAAAGATTTAAAGATCTCATTTGAGCAGCAAGATGAACATGTTACTTCTAGTTCAGAAGAAATTGTAACTGTAATTCATGTTATAAATGAAGATGTTGATGAAGCCGATGCAAGTAAAGATTTAAATTTTTCCATTCCTGATACTGTATGTAACTTCAATGTCACAGAAACAATTGATACCATAGTCCCCGAACGTTCCGAACTTAGTATTAACGACGATCAGGAAAATCAATCTTGTGACGTAAAAACTTCAGCAGATGAAACAATTTTAGATAACAGAAAAAAAAAAAAACCAAAATTAATAATGAGAACTTAGAAATATGTACTAGAAATAAAATTATAAATGTCAACCAAAACAAAGTTAAATCAAAGCTGTGTATACAAGGTGTCGAAAAACCTGGTGGAGACGATGATAGTGTAAAAAAAGGTATTTATGATAAAGATTTAAAGACTTATTCTAAAATAAAACAAACAAAGTGCTTGAAACAGTTGTTTCTAGATAATCAAGACTGCATAAAAACTAATTTAGATGTTGAGGTAAAAATAAATTTAGATGTAAATAATATTAATAGTATATATGAAAAGAAATCACAAAAATTTTGTGTATGTAAAGATTTTGGTTATTTTTTCTACTATGACAAAGATGATGATTATCAACATATACATTATTGGGAACAAAAAGGTGCTGAATGTTCTCTAGATACATTACTTAGTATTTATGAAGAACGCAAAGTATATGATGTAAATATAAAGGAACCTGATTATAATATAATAGAAACGGTCAAAGAAAATGATAAGGAACAAAACAGTACAGATGTTTGCAATATATGTTGGAAGAGTGTAAATAGTGATATCGAAAATGAAGAATTAGTCGAAATTAATAAAAAAGCTGAAATCCATCAAATATCTCAGTCAATTGAATCACAGACTAAAAATACTGATGAAGGTAAAAAAAACAAACTGTTACATTCTCAAGATGTTAACAGAGACTTGGAAGATGTAAGTATTTTTTATGAACAACATAGAAACTATTATCTGTTTTTAATATTCCTCTGAAATACTAAAGTAATTACTTCTTAATAGGTTTCTTCAAGGTGCAGTAAAAGCAATAGTTCAGTAACGACGCAAAACAAAAATAGAAAACGCACGATTGATGATATCGAAGACGGGTCTATGAATGAATTGAAATCTACAAACAAATTTCGTAGAAGAAGTAACAGAAATTCCGTACGTAATAATGTTACCAGTGAAGAAAATATAGCTGATGAGCCAAAACTTGTAAAAACTACAGAAAATGTGTCTTCCGAAAAAACATATAAAAATATTTTAAGGGAAACTAAGTTCGTATATGGTTCAAAGAAGCGTTCGGTTGTAAATGAAATAAAGACTTTTAGTGATGTTAAGACAAATAATAGTGAATTAAATAGTACCATTGATTGTGATAATAAAAGCACGAGTGAACAAAACATTGATACCAAATTAAATGAAGTGACTAATGAAAATCATCACAAAACTGCTAAGGTAAGAAAATTTAATACAAAAAAATATTTCATAAGTAAATGACGTCTTAAATAATATAGAATTTTCATTTTAGAAAAGAAACAATTCTATGTCAATAAACGATGTTAATCCAGAAGAAGCTAAGAAGAAAAAGATAGATGATGTTATAGAAAATAGAAATATTTTATGTGGTTTATGTAAAGCTACGGTGGGAACTAGTGAATGGGATAGTCATGTTAGGGATCATTGTTATATAGCCTGGGAAGAGGGTCAGAAATTTGTAAGTGAATATGTTAATTATTCTGATAAATGTTTGCATGTATGTTCCTGATAGTACCTTAAATTAAAGTTTTTGTATATTTTCATTTCCAGGATTTCAACAATGAACTTCTATGTGATCGACTCAAGCAATATTTGAATGATAACGGAAAATTAGTGTGCGTGATATGTGATAAAGTTATTAAACGGGTGAAGAAATTTTTAAGTCATGTGGAAGGATGTATTTTATATGTAAGTGTATATAAAGCTTATTTTAAAATTTTGTATTCGTTACAGTAAATTCACGCTCCAGCTATAATGTTTTCGTGTATTAGATAAAATCGTGGTGAAGTTTTTAGTGTTAGAAAACTTAAGATTTTTTTTGTGTTTAAATCACCGAATAAAACATACAAACGTAGGGGAGAAATATTATAAAGAATTTAATTACTATTGTTGATGCCAGTTGTGTCAAAAACTCTACTTTTCACTTTGCCTTTCCCATTACTTATAAATAGGAGGCAAAAATTTTGCAGTGTCATAAAAGTACCACTTTCTTAAATGCTGCTATATTTAATAATTGAATGTTTTCTTTAATTTCAGGGTCAGCTTGAAAAATCGGATGATTTAAAAAGAGATTTGTCGCGGTCCTCGAAACACATAGTATGTGGAGTTTGCAAGACACAAGTCTCTAAAAGCTTATGGATAGAACACATAGCCAAAGAACACAATTATATGGCTTGGAGAGACGGAGATAAAGTATTGGTAATTTATATATTTTTATGACATTTGTTACTCCTTGTTTCCATGTGTTTTTTTTTTTACGTATTTTTGTCAATTTATCATAGCGCCACCTAGCGGTAACGAAACATTAGTTTGTAGTGCGTTGATTTTTGACTGGAGTTGTATAGTTTTTGCCAAAAAAGTAATACCTAATATTGATAAATATTCAAAACACTTTTCTATTTTGATGTCATGTATGAAATTTAATTGAAATGTATAATTATAGCAAAATACAAAAAGCCTTTCTATAGTAAAGTTGTTAAGTGAATATTTGAAAATATTTTCAGGATATTCGAGATGAAGAAGCAGTTAATAAGCATTTGAATATTTTGGCTTGTGATGTTAAGAAATTCGAGTGCAAATCCTGTGGCACTAAACGTAAAGCGGACTCTTTCTTGAAACACATACAAAAATGTGAAAAATTAGATGAAGAAATGGTGAGTGCTTGAAATTTAGGATAAAAATATAATAAAGTGAACATTTAAAATATCCATAAAAATTGTAACTACATATATAAAGTGCTCCGATTCTTTTTAAAGAGTTTGTTATATAACTACATTTTTAAGCAATTATCATTATTTGAATGTAGACAAGAAGTTCTTGGTAAAAGCTTGAGAAAATGTCTAATTTAGTTTCTTTTGGTAGGATACAACAGATTATTCGTCGGGGACTAAAGATGAAACCTCAGTAACATGCGGAGTTTGTCAGAACGTGATGTTAGCTAACGAATGGCAGAATCACCAATTCACTGAACATAAATATTTAGCTTGGAAGGCTGGGGAACAAGAGTTGGTGAGCTACTTATATAGATTTTAAATTTACCAACATTTCTATAAACATTTAAAATCTTTCAATAACTTTATCTCAGTATTAATTTTGTTTTGATCTTTTCAGGATCTCAATGACACTGAGGATGTGTATACACATTTATATAATCTGTCCAAAGATCTAGGTGGACTTCTGTGTAGTAAGTGCGGGTGTCGACGCAAGTATGTCAATTCATATTTAAAGCATATAGAAAAATGTGATGGGGAAGAGGTAAGTTAATTGTATTTGTTGTAACATTTTACTTGAAATTGAGTCTTAATTCACATTATAATATTTTGGTTGGCAATGATAGCCCATCATGTTGCACTACTGCAGTTTGATGTTCCTTAGAATTATGGTGAAAATGGTAGAAAGTCAAGATTTTTTTTTTGTATGTAATATCTATAACATTTAAACAGATATATAAATGTTGACGGTCAAGTTTCGAACACAGGAACTGTTTTAGAAAGACATAATAAAATTATAAATTCATCATTAATGACAAAATATTATTACATTTTACATTACAAAATATTACATTTAAATTATTCTTTCAGAATCCAAATTGCACATTAGATTCCACTATGAACGAAAGTAATATGTCAGTGAACAAAACTTTGGAAGACGATGTTATTGGAGATTTAGAGGGAATTGTTAGATGTGGAGTGTGTTCAAAGGAAATTGAAAGGAAACAATGGGAGAATCATATAAAAAAAGAACACTCTTATAAGGCTTGGCAGGATGGACAGACGCCAGTGGTAACAATGTTTATATATATAATTCTTCTGTGCGTGTGTATGTCACTGAACTTCTGTGTGTTCAAGGGGAGCTGGGAATTGTTTAGATTCACAATTTTGTCTGCTGGACAATGTTTTTTTACTTAATTTTTAATTTATTAGTAGTTGTTGATACAAACGTTTTTGACATTAGATCTGACAACTAACTAATATGTCAATCATGCTGTCGCACTTTAAAACACGGAGATATATGGCTTTAATAGGTAAACTCCAAAAATATAAACAAAAAAACGTAACAGATATTTCTTGATTATAGCGCGATACGAAGTTCGCCGGGGTTTTCTAGTAATAATATATGATAATAATTGAGTTAAATATACATAGGTGGTGTAATATTAATGTTTTGTTTTTTTTTTTTTTTCATATATAAGACCATAACTAATATTTTGTTATATATTTGAAGTTATGAAATTTATATATAATTTTTGTTCATAGAATTTAAATGATGAAGAGGATGTATATAACCATCTGTATGCAATGAGTAAGAAATATAACGGTCTGGTTTGCAACAACTGTGGCACCAACAGGAAATATGTCAAGTCGTTCCTTCAACATATTGAGTCTTGTACCTCCCAGGACTCGATTATCACAGAGGAAGTCCTTAAAAATGGTATTCATTTAATATTATAAACCATCATAATGTTTGATTTCACCGTCCATAACAATTTGAAATTTTTACATAAATACAAATTTTAACGATTATAATATAAAACTAGGCTCTGATTTATTGCATGAGTAATGTTTAGTTTACAAAAGCTATTAATCATATTGAATCTGTACGTTCTAGAATCTAGATCATTGAATCACAAATCGAAATAGCATTGAAATAAATTTTCATATTTCATGTAGATAGGAGATATTTTTTTAAGAAAATTATGTAGTGTTAAAAAAATTACAGAAACCTGTAAATGCGGTGTTTGTGGTGAAGAAATTCAAAGTAAAATGTGGAAGACGCATGCTATGAAGACACATTACAACGTGGCGTGGCTGGAACAACAGACACCTATTGTAATATAAACAGAGATTTAATATTATTATTTGTATTGTAATAAAATTCTTTACTGTTAGTGCTTTACTAAATTGTTTTAAAGTATACAGGTGTTTTGAAGTAATTATTGTACTTTATAGGATAGCAACAATGTAACAGTTGTTGAAAAATGTTTGAGGGAATACAAGCAAGTTTATAATAAATTCGTTTGCAATGTGTGCGGTATAAATCGCGCTTCAGCTGTTGGGTTCTTCGCCCACGTGTTGCAGTGCGGGAAAACTGAAGAGGTAAACAATATATGGTGTAATAATATGTATATATAAAATATAATATATAATTAAATATATCTTATATATTTTGATATCTATGTACACGTATCACGTATGATCTGTATAGACCTTATTTTTTTTAGGAAATCGATAAACATAGGGGCGTCTGTGATGTATGCAATAATAAATATTTACTGATATATAAGAATCAACATATGTCGATGCACAGAGATCAGGAGTACGCGAAACAGAAGAAGCTAGAGTTACAAGTTGAGAAGGAAGAGAAACAAAACCAACAGAAACACTCTGGCACGTTACCAGAGAAGAGACAAGCTGCTGAGAGGTGAGGGAAACTGTAGATCAAGAACTAAAAAATATATATTTTCCTTACTAATATTAAAAATTTGTTTCTTTTGTTAAGCTTCGAATTCAACTGCCAATTGGTTCTATCACAAGATAGCACTCGACGAAGAATTATACAAATATATTCATTGTATCATTACTATATGATCTGCCAAACAATTAGCATTACCATATAAGCAATATATAAAAGATGTAGATTTTTAACTCTCATTATATTTTTTTCTTTTCAGAGCGCGTCATGTTATTGAAAAGTATAAAAAGGTATATTAACTTTTTGTTATTAAATTACTATCAATACTAAATATAAAGTGTTGATTATAATAATTACTTTTATATATCAAATTAGATAATAAGTTTTAAAACTACTTACAGCAATATAAGTATAACTGTCCTACCTGCGACTTCGGTGGTGACTCCGAAGAAGATCTCAAGAACCACACATGTTCTAAGACAAAGTATAATTTTAGCGAGTCAGAAGATTCTTTGCAATTAAGTTCTGAACAAGAATCTGAGGACAGCGACGCTAACAGTGAACTATTAGACGAAGAACTAGAAAAACCTCAGAAGAATAATTCTAAAAAGAAAAAACCAACTGACCCAAGTGAGTTATATGTTTGTATCTATCGACTAATTTATGATTCCTTTATGAATGATTTTTATTTATTTCCTCTTAGATCCAGCTACATCGTTGTTACCTTTTCCCGTCAAAAACACGCAGGCGTATTTAGCTGAAAGTGCAGAGGACTTGTGAGTAGAGCAATCCTGATTATTTGGATTTCAGTTATTTTTTTAAGATATAAACAATATTGTCTTGTGTACATTCTATTACTTATTATTTATTATTAATATTTATAATATGTGTATTGTTTCAGTCGTGAGAAGTTCTTAACGAGCGACGTACTGTACCCGCAGTGGAGGACGTGCGAGTACGAGGTCGTGTCCGACGAACTGTTGACTAATTACTTACCGACTTTGGAGGAATCGTGCAACATACAGATACAGAATGACGAATGGATAATATTGAAGAAATTTGAGTCTATTAATGATCACAAATGGGGTACGTTGTGTAAGCGATATGCTTAAATTATGTTTTCATAGTATATTAAAAAATGAATATAAATTGAGAAGATTTTTTGCAAATTCAGATGATATTTTTTACATAGAGATATTATCACACAATCCACTTATCCCAAAATAAAAGCACACTTTCTACCTAAATTAGTACAAGAGTTATCTATCCTACTAATATTATAATTGCGAAAGTTTGTGAGTGTGTGTGTATGTTTGTTACTTCGTCACGCTCAAACGGCTGAACCGATTTTTATAAAATTTTGTATACAGAAAGCTGACGTCCAGGAATAACATAAAGGCTACTTTACATCCCGGAAATCCGTGGGGAAACACCGCGCAGCGAAGCTAGTAGTATATGTTATTCGTATGTGTTCCAGTGAGCGCATCCTTCACGGGTGGTTGTATCCAGTGCGTGTCGTGGTGTCCGCCGCACGTGTCGGACGCGGAGGACGCGCTGGGTCACGTGCTGAGCGCGGCCGTGCACGCGTCCCCGGATCCGCCCCGCCTCGCCTCACACACCTGCTACACGCACCACGCCATGCTACAGCTATGGGACTACGGGGATATGCGCACGTTAGGACATATTATTGTTATCTTCTTCTTCTACTTCTACTACTTCTTATTCTACTGTAGCCAGGGTCTGCCTTACATGTTGTGAATAGTTTTCGCTAATTGTTTTACGACCGGTCGCCTGCCTGACATCAACTCTCTTTTGGGAATGCATTAATCAGTGTTGTCTAAATAACCTTAGAAAGTACATATGATTCGTAAAAATCACATTGGTACTTGCCCGGGCCAGGATCGAACCCGCGCCCTCATGTATGAGAGGCAGGCCTCTTAACCACTAGGCCATCACTGACTGAGGACATATTATTGTTATATTATATCTAAACTAGTATGTAGCTGGAATGCATCATGTTTGTAGGTCATTTTATTACGTATTATTATTATCAACACAAATATTACGATTATGATAGATTCCATTTTTTTTAGTTACAGTTATGTCTTCTTTTAAGTGTGTGAGGAAAAGATAATATCAAGATCTGTTTTAAATACATAGATTTATTAATCGTTCTTCTTCATTCTCTTTATTACTGTTATGTATAAATTAGATTATCTTGTCAAGTACTAAATTTATTATTTTTTAATCTTATTATGCAAAAATAAAAATTTCTTAAAATAGCAAACGACGTTTAAGGAAAATGTTTTAAATTAATCTCATAAGCATGAAAATAACGAAAATGTTTATATAATAAAATAAGAAGATTTACATTTAAACACTTTTATATGTTCAATACAGAAAAGTGTTTTGGAAGTGTTTTAACTGGAATTACGAGACTCGGAATTGATGTTTATTTATTTTCTTTATACACCATAAAAATAAATCTCGCTCATAACTTGATGAGATCAAAGTGATATACTGAAATTCATTGTATTGTTCGTTGGATTATTTATTTATTTTCTTAAATTAAAAATCCGTCTGAAGTTGATATAAATATTATCTTGCTAATACGATTAACATATCCACTAAGAAATTATTTCGAAAACACAAAGTTCATGACCGTTTAAGTGGCCGTTTGTATTTTTACTTGGTTGTTGTGCTGGTTTTGGTAAAAATATTTAATATTTTGCAGGAAACCAAATTTTGCTCTGGGCATAGCTCTTGATTTTGGGACAATTGGGGCGAAAGACTGGTGTCCATCAGGCACGCGTGACATGTTGAATGAAGAGTCGACAACCTTTAAAAGGCTTGGTCTTTTATCTATAGCATGCTCAAACGGTTCAGCGTACATATTATCAGTACCCTATCCTTCAAGCATAACTGCCGGGTAGGTATTAATATATTTAAATACATAACATATTTAAAATATAGCAGCAAACTTATATCATTTTACATTTTTCTTAGCGAGAAAAAGATTTTCAAGCTAAAGCCAGTCGCCGAGCTTAGATTGACTCGTGGCGATCGGCGGAAGTATCAAGCTACAGCTATCAATTGGCCAGCGGTGAGATAACAGTAAAAGCATATATATTATTTGATATAAATATATTTCTAATTTATTCGTTCATTTCAGCAAAAAGGGCATTCCACTATAGTAGTCGGATATTCAGACGGAACAACCGCCTCGTATAATCTGTCGTGTGATTCTCCTCTTTTAACCGAAACAGAGGACGGCGTTAAGATATTCTATCCTTATCAGGACGAACGAACACACAACTCATGTGTCACTGGTAAGATTCTATATTTCTCAGATAGCATTCTTACTTAAACAAACTTTATTTATATTAAAATAATTTTTATTTAGATCTAATTTTGGAATCCATCAAAACTTATGGTTTTAAAAATCTAAATTAAAGTGACCACAGATAATTGTTAGACTAAATAACAACATAATACCATTGCTAGCCTAACAGATTAAAAAATGTATGTATGTTTTCAGCGGTGACGTCATTTCCCAGTAGCGGCGTTTCTTTCCCGGCGGGGTCGTCGTCTGCCACGGGCGGGTCGCGGTCCGTGTGTCGTGACGCTGGTCGCGGATGTCGCTCCGCGGTCACCGCTACCTCCACCTGCTTCATGCCGCACTGGCCCGACCTTCTGCTGGCTGGCAATGACGCTATCGGTTCGTTTGTTTAATTGTATAATAAAAATATATTCAGTATCGTTTTTTTTTTTAATTTTTATTATAATATTGTCGATTTTGTTGAGAAAGCAGAACAATTTTTAAATTAACCTGTACTGTCAGAAATGTCTTATAAAACTTAAATATTTATTTTTTTTGTCATTTTTTCATTGTTAAACAATATTTTAATATCACATTTTTTGTTAGTTAAGAAACTAAAACATAGTACTGACTTTATTAATAAAGTTTGCCATATATCATATTCATAATATAGTTGTAATATATGTAATAGTTTTATAAATATTTCCAGTATATCAAGCTCCGAACGTGTTGTCGTGGGTGGGGAGCGGTCGTCGGCTGGGCTCGCAGCAGGCGTGTGCTGGATGCAACACGTGCGGACGAGTGGCGCTGGTGGCGCCGCCCGCGGTCAGACTCGTCACTACACACCCCGTGCATCACGACCTTAATAAGATTGTTAGTGTACATATACTTTAAACACCTTAATTAGTTTAGAGTCTAGACAGCTTATTAAAAGTCTTTAGAAGGATACAGTAGTGTAAAAGATTAGTATGCAAAAAATCTGCTTATGTAGAGTTTAAGTTTATTTTGAATTTAAAATTACTAATTAATAGTGTTGTAAATGACATTGAACCAAAAATTGTCCTATACTATTTTATGTAAGCCAAATTTATTTATTTATTCCTCTTTGTCAGACTGTGGCAGTGTTACAAATGAAACCGCTAGTGGATAAGAAATCCAAGCAGAAGAATGACGAACTCGCCACGAGACTTGAGCCGGTGACTTATGAAGACGCCGTCAAGAAATATGGAGTAGAGTTGAAATTAGCTGACAGAAGTGACAAGGTGAATATTTATATAATATGTTGCTAAGAACTTGCTTCACTGGTCTACGATAGGCCTCGAATAAATTATAATATACACACATTTAGATAACGAAGATGTGTTTTGCTAACTCACATTATCTTAAGAAATTATGTTGAAACAGAAATCTAGCAGAAATACATAATTATTATTTAAACTATTATTAACAGTGATATTTCCAATATTTTAATTTCAGAGCTACCTCCAACAGTCAAATAAGCCGAGAGATCACTACCCGGAGAGATTCCCGCTCACAGATGTACCAGCTATGGCCTTCAACCTCTCTCCGAAGCAACACAAGAAACTGGCGATTGCTATACATTCTGGTTTTATTTTCGTTTTGAATGTGTGAAATATTATTATGAGGAAATTTTGAAATGTATTGTTCCATACAAAAAAATATCTTGTGTTTATAATAAGTAAGTTATAGCAATCGGTTGTAAGACATAAATTTCACTGCCTTTGGATACGAAAGTAGATGTACAAAATTAAAATATTCATATTCAAATCAACTTTTTAAAGCTTGTATCATTGCTCATTTGTCGTATTGTGTCAAATTTTAACATTCAATTGCTAAGGAAGTGGTATGATGTATTTGATTGTATGATTGATTGTGTATGAAGACAAGAAAATCATTTTAAGTCAATAATCTGTAAAAATCGATTTTAAACAAATCAATTGATAGATTTTAAGAGACTTGCTACACCATTTTAGTGACGAATTATACATAAAGAAACCTCTTTCAATATTTTGTAATTCCTTTTAAATAGTCTTTTCACCTTGTTTCATCTAAGTATTGTTTTTTAAATAAGAAATACTAACGCAATTTATATGTTTATAACATGCCAAGAAAATGCGTATTATAATATTTAAGATTTTGTTATTGTTAAAACGAAAAAGAAGTGTGAAACTACTTACAATATAACCAAATAATATCTTTAGTTATCTGTTATTTCCAATCACAAGAGACTATGAAGAAATGAGGGCTTAGAAGAAAACAGTTTTGTGAGTTTCATTTTTGTATATATTATTGACGTTTTTAACACCAATATATTTGATATGTCACAAGTAAGACGTTCATACAAGCAACTGACGCCATCAATGTTTTTTTTATATGTATCTAGGAAATACAAGTATTACAGCGATTTTAACACAAAATTAACCTAAAACCGTGTAAAATATCATGTTTTATTTTATATATATTTTTTGTATTCGATTAAATGTGTCATTTAAAAGTGTTATTTTTATCTAGTTTATACATGGTGTTCACAAAGTGAAATTTTTTATGTATAGTAATTTCAATGTTTATAGAAACCTGTATAAGAAAGTTTCTATGTATTTATTTATTTTTAGTACTAGTACAAAACCACGTATATCGGATTACAGTGATATTAATATATTATATTCGTATCATAAGGAAGTATGTTAAGCTTGTTGCCTAATAAAGTTTTTAAAAATACTTACGTCTTGCATTCATTGATAATCGGCATAAAGTTTATAACAATACTAATATATAATATGTATTTGATTGTATATATATTAACTTTTATATTCATGACTCTTTCACAAAGTACTTAATAGTTAAATCTCACTAAACAAAATAAGTTTAGTTTGAATACCAGTATAATATGAACAATTAGACATACAAGATCCTACTGTCTCATCTTGGATTGATTTTTACCGTATATTTATTTCAGATATTAGTTTCATTTAAGGTACTTACAATAATTAAGATTTTACCGACTTTTCGTGAACGAGTAACATAATACACAAACAATTATACAATTTATAGCAATTTCTTGAAATCAAGTAAATCTACGAGTGACTAAATAGTCATTACTTACTGGAAGCAGATACTGTTTTAAAACAAACATTTTTCCCTATATTAATAAAATATGTAAGCTAGAGAGAGGAGCATGCATGGTGGAAAAAACAAACAAACAAAGGTTTAACAAACGTCAGATAGGGATACCGTAAACCTACACCTGGGTCGCAAGCCCCAGGCACTGTTGAGGCTCCTCACCCTGCAACGCGATGGACCCGGCACCCGCACGGTGAATCCATTGAAGTCTGAGAAGTTTCATCGTAGCTTATTAGACTTACGACATTTAGATTTAATAAAAGCATGATGTCTGTCTGACTCGGCCTCTAATAGAATCCTACAAAAAAAAATGTTTTTTTAAATATGAAATCATAAACTTTTCCGCGGCAATAAATATTGTGTAGAAATAAATATAGTATAAACGTGAAGTTTTCCCAAAATATTTCTGTCAAACTTTGTTTAGGAACAAGAAAGAGTTTCGCATGTTAGCGCTCTTGATAGCGATCGGAGATCACAATCACCGCCAGTGAGAATCCAACCGTAGCGCGGCGAGAACGCGTCTTTAAATTGTCGGCGTGCGCTCTCTGTATTCGACAACAAAATCATTTATAAAGTTCTTGAAGTATGAAGATTTTCACAAATTCGCTTTAGTATTGAGTTAAAACATGATATATTAATTTTTTATTGATTTCATTGTAATTTATATTTTTAATTGACTTAATTTATTATTAAAAACTATTTAAAATGATGATGGCAAGTGCGAAATTGGTGAGGGACTGTAGTTCGGATTTAAGTTCCGACGTGCGATCTTTGTCGGTTTGCTTCTTCCACCGAAGAACAGGAGTCTACAGCCACAGAATCAGAATATTCTGAAGAAGAAAAGGAATATGAATTAGAAGATCTACAGATTCTTAAAACAATAGGTAAAGTAATGAGAGTTTTCTGATTTTTTCTAAATTTATTTATTTCATATGAATTTCATTTTTATATTGAAAAAGACTTGCAAAATAATTTCCTATAATAAAATATATGTATTCAAAAAATAAAAATGGTATTCGTATGGAAATTTAATTTATATTTATAGGCAAGAGATACCTACTTTAAATGTTTAAATATTGTTATTCTGCCAGTTCACATTATGCAATTCTACTTTAATTATATCGTGATTTAATCTTTGGTTAAACTGGTTTGATCAAATAGATACTTGTTTTCAAATAATATTTCGTTGTTGCGTGCAACTTGATGCAAACATTTTAATTTCATCTGTTGTAATGTTAATTGGCTAACAAATAGAATGCAGTATTGAGTTAGTTATCTATAATTCTGATCAACTAGATACATTTGTCAAGTTATTTTATGACCGAGTAGTTTTTTTTAGGAAAGAATAAAATAGTTTAGATAAATGAAAATAACATCTTAAAAAAATTATTCTATTCATAAAACATGACTGTTATCGAAATTTCCAATTCATAGTAAATGTATTTATTACTAGGTAAAAAATTTATATACAAATCTTATGTAGGTATTTTAAATACATTATTTTTTATGGATTATTATTTATTCGTTCCTGTGGTCAAATACACAATAGCGAGTGCGATATGTTTAGAGAATTCGAATTTATGTACATGCTATTTCAATAGTTTAATAAGTAATTTTTTATTCACCAATATTGGAAAAATTTCAACAAAATTCTAGAATCAATAAACAATTCCGTTAAATTAAAAGAAAAGTCTCATAATTTCCATATGAATGTTTACTGACATGATATAAACATAAAAAAATATTGCATTTGCTTAGAAATTGTTTAGAAACTATATTATTTGCGACGTGACTAAGGAAAGAGGTGAAATAAAATTTCGAATGCTTATTTCGTATAAAACCACTTAACATTTACGACCCTTCACGAGATCCATCGAAAGTTGTTCGCTATCAATAATCCGATGACGTTGATTGATTGTAAGTAAAAATATTAAAGATTTCTATAAAATGTTTATTAATATCCATCTAAGTACGCTGTGAATAAAATCGATCGTTATTGCTCAGATGCAAAACGAGCGTAGGAGTTAATTGAAGTGTGTTTAAAATAAAAACCGAATTGAAATATGAGTTCAATCCCGAACTATGTGTTAACCCCGTATCGTAAAAGTTTATTGTGATTGGGGACACGGTAATTTTACAAACAGACGATAAACGATATCTGCGACCTTGTTCTAAATATGTCATTGCGGAATTGCAAAGCGCTAGGTATACCATGTTCCGTATCCCCCTTTGACCCATTTATGGCGGGGGGTTCGGGTCAAGGACACGACCACTATAATCTATAATATAAATTATATTCTACAATACTATAAATTGTATTAGTTATAGCTACATTTTTGTCCATATTTTCAGAAAAATACATAATACAAAGCTCAAGGTATTTTCTTTAATAAAATAGAAGTAGTTTCAAATATTAAAATGTTAAACACAATATTCACATTGTTTGTTTTGAATATGTTGGCTAACAGAGAATCCATTGTTGCCATTTCAGTTTTCATATAAATATACATTTCAAATGCGGTGCCATGAAAATAATTTCACCTCTCGAAACCATTGTGCAGACGCAAACAGAGCACAAACCGTCTCAGTAGTATCTAGTTTACCTATTATCCTCTGTGTCCCAGATACAACGGTAACATCTAACAACTGCATCACGAATATTTCTTGTATACAACTATATCATATTTCAAATGGTCTTTAAATATCTGTTCAACTTTCTGAATTATATTAAGGTATCTGCGATCGCTCGTATTCATTGATAAAGTTTTGTCATAATGTGATTAATATTTTTTAATTCTAGTTTAGTGTAATGAAGTAAATAATTATTTTGTGTTATTTTATTTGTTTTTAAAGATTGTTGTGAGATTAAATTATTTCTAAAGATATTTTTTTATTTTCAAAAATAACTCATTAATTACGGTAATATAATGATACAGATTCTGTAGATAAGTTATTTTTTTTAATTTAAGTAACGTAAATTAACAAGTTTAATAATATTTTTTTCCTTTATTAACGTATCTCCAATGCTATAATATTGTCATGCACGATTAGTAACAGAATGTAGGTCAGGTTATCACGCAATCTGTTTAGATCAGAAAGTAATTGGTACGCACCTAGCATAAAATTATCATAATTAATAATATTTTATCCCCTTAATCTATGAAAGAAAACATGACAAAACAAAGCGTTTTAATAGAGCTTATCTAATGTCCAGCATGCCGCTTGCCAAACGAACTGTATGTTTTGTAGTTGCTTTAAGGATATTCTTAGGTCTATGTTCGTATATTGATGTGACTTTTGATTTGTTGCCACAATTATTGCGCATCATAAAAGACATAAACACGATAAACCTCGTTGCCGGCCACGTGCAACTATTATGACCGTCTGCGGTGTGTAATGTGAGCACGTTGCGTTCGTGAAAGTTACTCTGTAATCTGTATACAATAACCCTTAATTAAATTTAGGACTGCAGTCCTTTAGCATTTGTACGCCTTTCGATCTTTGAACCGATACGATTTTGCGGTATGCGGCAATATACAACATTCAGAAACGTATTCCAATTGGCGGACTTATTTTATTGTTGCTAATTTGAACTTCTTTGCACTATTATATTCTAATGTGTTACGAGAATAGTATCATTCACACAGATTACTATGACTCGTTTGACCTGGAAATGGATAAAAAAAGAAAGTAAATGCATTAAGAAAGGCAGATTTATCCGTACTTTTCTACGTATAAACACGTGCAAGTTTTGAAACAAAAGCTTTTGTTTAATTAAATAATATATCAACATGGATTTAAATGCACTAATTTCATACTCTTGTTTATCATGCACACTTCCGACTTGAAGAGCTTAACTAGAGGGAAAATTGCCAACATTAAGTCAGTGCTATTTGAAATAACAATGTAAGTAGATTTTTACTGTTAATTGAAATAAAAGCGTTTGCGATTATTCTAACTAGATTTTCTACAAATCCTACCAAACCCTTTGAAGCATTACATAACAACTGGTTTAAGTGATATTGTAGTTACTAATTAGTTCACTAGTTACGTACAACCTAATTTTCATTCAAATTGATTCGAAGCTTTTTGTGTGATTGAATAAAGAATTTTTTTTTCACATCAACAATATTAAGAAAACTCGATATAAAATTAGTTATAAATATTACATAGTTATTATTAATTAAATTAAACATCGACATTAAGCTAATAAAATTCATTGATAGTTAGCAGACTTTCCACTTGATGTTCAATTATTACCTTGGATATTCTCTCGGATTCACCTTGCACTTTGATGCAGTACCCTTGGCCGATTTCAATTCTGTTTATTCGTCTTTATCATTTTTATTTACTAGTTATAAGTTTAATAGATGCGGGTAATTCGTCTATAGTTTTGTGTTTTAATACCTTGTGAAGTCTATAGAATACTTTTGTCTTTGGTTCTCGTCGTAATAAAGTTTAATGTCGTTTTAAAGTGAGATTTAATTTATTTTCTTAACGTACACACTTGAAAAACGTTACATAATCTATCAGCGGGCGTATTGAAGATAGCACTTTCACTGAGAATGTGCTTTTACTGGATTCCGTGACATTGTATTCGTTTCGCATCCTATGAAATTGCAAATGCTATCCACCTAGAAACTAAATGCAAGCTACATAAATCTTATGGATATGTGTATATTTAATAATTAGAAACGCCAGAAAGCAACAACCATTATTATTAATATGGAATTGTTACTTTTTATTTTAACAATAAATAATCGATTTATCCGTGAAAGTATTTTGTATTTAGGTACATCATATAAGTTTTCCAAGTGATTTACACAAATTTCTATAAAAGTTAATAAGGTTAAGAAAGCTATTAGTTTTAAATAATTAAAATGAATGATTATAAGCAATGAGTTGCAATTAATTAGAAGCAAAAAAATTAAGACACTTTTATAGATACGTAATAATTGTTTATGTAACCCAGTGAAGGTAGCATGTGGTGATTTTTGTTAAGTACCAGAGTCTTATCGAAAGCTGCAACAGGTTTTGACTTGTATGTCAATAAACTTGTCTCTACTTTAGCGGGAACATGTAAAGGAAATTGGTAATTACGGTTTTCACATATTTAGGTGCGGGAGGTGATTTATTACTTCAATATAATGGAGGAAAATTAACTTTTTAAAACGACTCTTAAGTTTTATAGTTCATATCCGCTTGACAATATTTAATGAATAAATAAAACTTAATAGTTCTATAGACTTTTTAGTTTATAGACTTAGGTATCTAAGAAAAACCAAATTATATTTTTGGATTTAATTCTATGGCTTTAAATTATAGTTTAGAGAAAAAAAAAAAATAAAGAATAAAATGTGTATTATTCGTCAAGGCTTAGAAAAATTCATACATATTTAGTTGTGTGTTTCATTATTTATGACATTTTAAATATTTATGACCTACATAGTAATACATATGTACATGTTCACGTTTTATTGCTCTTCACCTTTAATAGAACTTATAGACATTTCTAGGCATTAAATTCTTTATTGCGCTGATTAATTATAAACGTTGTTATTTGAACAGATTTTAAATAAGAAAAAACTTGGTTATAAGATAGGGAAAATTTACCACTTAACAATATTATTTAGATAAAATAACTTTATTATCAGTAAAATTATTTTTGAAACCAAAAGTAAAAGTAAATAAGTTCGAACCAATTCAATCTATCCGTCTAATGGATTGAATAAATACTAAAATACCCTTATCATGCCCTAATAATCTATATTTTTATATAAACAAAAATAACCATTACAGTTTGCGATCGCTGAATCTTCCGGTGAAATGACCTATTTGTTCACAATATCTTGCCGTGCTCTTCCCACGCTTCTGGGAATCACTA